GCCGCGGACCGCCGGCGGACCTCGAAAAGCGGTGACGTAAGCTCACGTGATGCGCGGCCCGCGGACCAAAACAGCAATTTGGTCCGTCGTGTGGATACACCTTTACCGATCCAGTGGATCCGCCGAAATGTGTACCCAGGTGCCGCTTCGTGTACCTAAGTGCCGCTTCAGAGGCGAAATCTGCATCCTTTGCTTTGCAAGCGCCCCTAGTTCGATCGGCGTCCGTCGCAGTTGTGTTTGCGCGAAACGGCATACGTTTGCTCGAGGCTTATGGTTGTCTGCGAGTAATATCCTTCTAAAAGGTGTGACTTTTTTTGCGCGTGCCTGGGAACTGCATTAAAAGAACCGTATTTCAGTAACGTACTGTTTAGGAGACTATATATAATTCGAAACAAAATACAAGACATCCATCAACCTACGCTTGTTATCCCGACCATCCGACAAACCTTTGCGTTTTGTGACGTCACGCAGCACATACGGATGTCAGCCATTGACACTGGCGAAATTCGGGGTGCAGTTTCGTACATAGGATCATGAAAGGTTTAATTAATAACGGGAGATCATATATCAAAATAAAAATGACGTTTGTCTATATGAAGGCTCCCTCGACGTAACGAGCGCAAGAACTTAAGTACTTCCGGTTTCGACCGGACAATCCCTTTAAAGGGGTACTCCACCGATTTTTTGAGCTACCTCAACTAAGTATATTTTCTGACTCCCCGGCCTTTACTCTCTCCGGTATGTTATTTAGAATCGCGAAATTCATAATAGTTATTGCGAAATCGGCAAATAAAAATGATGCAAAAACCAACATTCAAATATACGCACGCTTTTCAGGGCCGTGACGTCAGTGGCAGGCAGGCTTGCCAGTCGAGCAAGCAGCCAAAAAATAGAATATGCCAATCATTTGTTCCGTGCTGGAGCGCGGGTACTGCAGCGAGCTTCCCAAGCATTCATTTGACACTATGAAACTGCTTCGAATCAGTTTAAAACAAAATCTACAGCCCAAAGAGTGAACCCCTGCCTTCCACTGACGTCACTTTTTCATTGTTGCCAGTAAAGACTTCGAGCTTGAAAAACACGGTGAGGACCAAAACTGTAAATTCAATAACTTCGGGAAAAAACAATATTTTGACCTAATATTTGGGATACTATTTTCGCGATGTTTGTTGGTTAGTTTAGCAAAATTTCAAGCAAATCGGAGACAATGAAAAAATCGGTGGAGTAGCCCCTTATCACCATGTAGTATGAATTTTGGCACGTAAACGAAGTAAAAAAAAAAAAAAAGCAGACGCCAAAGTGTGGTGCCTGGAAAGTGACAAAAGTGCAAAAAAAAAAAAATTTACCGCATCTCCATGGTGAATGATGTTGATTGGGGCGAAGCTCGGGTGGTGCTGATTATACTGATTTTGGTCATAGGTAGTGCTGATGGTGCCGTTTTCATTCATGTCAGCAGGAGAATGTGTGGTTCCCTTCTTTTTCTTTTTTCGAGGAGACAGATGGGATGACAACTCAGAACTCCCTACTCTTTTTTTTTTCTTTTTCTTGATACTGATTTTGGTCATAGGTAGTGATGATGGTGCCGTATTCATTCATGTCAGTAGAAGAGTGTGTGGTTTTCTTTTTGTAAGAAGACAGATGGGATGGCAACTCAGAACCTCCTACTCTTTTTTTTTTTTTTTTTGTTCTTGATAGTGATTTTGGTCATAGGTAGCGATGGTGCCGTTTTCATTCATGTCAGTAGAAGAATGTGTGGTTTTCTTCTTTTTCTTTTTTTAAGAAGACAGATGGGATGGCATCCCATCTGTCTTCTTAGCCCTCTATTTTTTTTTCCATCTTTTTTTTTTTTTTTCTTGCTCTCGCTGTTGAACTCAGGAGCAGGAGCTCGTGAGCTCCTGCTCGTGAGCTCACGAGCAGGAGCTCACGAGCAGGGGCTCGTGAGCTGCTCGTGAGCTCACCAGCAGGGCTCGTGAGCTCACGAGCAGGGGCACGCCGAACTTTTTTTTTTTTTTTCCATTTTTTTTTTTTTTTTTTGCTTTTGCTGCTGAACTTACGAGCAGGGGCACGCCGGACTAAAGCCCCTCGATGTGTTTGCGTTTGTCTTGCAAGTAGCGTCAAATGCGCGAGTGCACGAGGCCCATGTCTCGAGCGGCCCTTGGAAGCAAATGGCGGCGCAGCACTGAAATGAGCGTGCTTAGGAAGCGAATGGCGGCGGAGCACCCGCTCATGGCACGTGTCTCGCGCGCTTCCACAACAATGGTTGGCGGTACTTGTAAAAAAAAACGCTTTTATCAAGGGGCTTTACGCCGGACGGCATGGCTAGCCTCTAAGGAGCTTTGCCCATAAAAACCTCGAGTACACTCGATCACTTGCACGTGATCTCGAGCAGGTCGAAAGAGTCTGTGCGGTGAGATTAGGGTGCTAATCACCCTGGCGCGTCTCGATAACTGGTCTTTCAAAACTAAATGACAGACAAGCCTTCGACAGCCTCTTCTGAACTGGAAAAAAACTCCGCTGCGTCAGAAAAGAATTAGTTTTATCCCAAGCTCCTCGCCCAGGCAATACGCCCTAAAATCTGAAGGAAAAAACAATGCTTGCTACCTATAGTCGGTGACAGGTCAAGAACGAAGTGGAAGCTCCACCCACCCCTCTCAAGTTTAGTAGAGCGAATGTTGGAGGGGATTCAACTTCCTCTCTACTGTTCACTCCGCTGAAGTGGAAAGGGGTGGGAGGAGCTTCCACTTCGTTCTTGACCTGCCATCGACTGTAGCTAATGTTGAATAAACCAAGTGATTACGCAGAATCAACAACTTGATGACACAGTGAAATAAATGACTGCAGTTTAACTAACCGGTACAACACAAGACAGGTTTTGTAATCGTTTGTCACAATTTTAATTCTCGTAACAAATAGGAATGGAGCACTGCTGCAACGCAGTGTGGAAAAGGCGAACACAATGGGCAGGGATTTGTCATTGACATGGTACATATTCCTAGACTAGTTACTTATATTGTAAGAATTGGCCTGTTAAGTAGAGGATAAAAAGTCCTGCATCGAAGAGAACTTTGCTTTGTCTTGATTACAAAGTTGTGAATGCAAGTGGACACGCACATGCAAATATTCCAAACTTTTTTTTTAATGCTGATACGAACATCTCTGATATTCGATTGTATCTTCAAATTAAATAGTATAGCATTCATACTTGAAAACTTTTTATGCTTTTTACAGTATTTTCACGAAGTGCCATGAATGACGGTGATGCTTTTGTGCAGGCGACACTGTACAAAAACAAAAATAATTGTTTTAAAGCCCAGTTTAGAATGTAGAATATTGATGATACGATCACGGTCGATTCGGATTTTAAGATTATGCAAATTTCTTTAAAAAAAAGAAGGCTGGAAAAGCCTTATTTGTAGTGTTATATATCGGGATAGTGCGAATGCTCTCTCGGACCGCAGTGGATGATACAAACAAAAGTGCCGACCTCAAGAGGGTCAGTTATCTCGATTTTAAAAAGATCAAGAGACGTTGACAAAAACAACATTGCCGCGCTTCCTGCCCCTCAGGGGGCTGTAAAGCTATTCCAAAGTATTCCAAAGAAGAAAACCTTGATATTCCATTCTACTAGCTGAGATCACATCCCATTAAGTCATGATCGACCCCTTTGCGCAGCTACCGCGGCGCAAGAAATCACGACTGCCGCAGGGCCACAGTCGCCACGGCTAGAGAGCTACGGTTAGGGCTAGGCTGCTTTCCTCTAGCCCTAGTCGAGGCTTTTTTAGCCACATCAGGGCTAGGATAGAAAAAAACTTCAACAAATATGACTGATCCTGGAGGCAGTGCAATACAGCGGTATTGCATTGCCTTCAGGATCGAAGCAAGTTTCTCATCCAGAGCCATCTGTTCTCACCTAGACTCGGCGACAACTTTTCTTAGCTAAGCACTGGAGAGGAGGAGAGTCCGCGCACAGCTTTATTCAGCGCTCAAAATGGGAGAGGGAACGCATGCCTGCACCCTCCACTTTATTGACAAGAAAAGTTGTCGCCAAGTATAGTATGTATATTTTATTACTTTTTTGGAGCTCGTTTTGGATAATGCAATCTTTGATTATACAAATATTTTCCACGACCCCGAGAGATTCGTGATGTCAAGATACCACCACTCGTTTTTGTTAGCCTTTACATTTCATAAAATTTATTCGATTCCACATTCAAAATTATTTGAATACTATACGACTACTATTCCATTAATATCTGATTCAATCCCAAAATTGCTATTTGTACAGTCTCCGGCGATATGAAAGACCCACTGGGAGCGCGTGGCCGAGGCGGTGGCTGGCGGGGGCGCTGCGAGCGCTCCGGGCAGTTCCGTTCTGCTTCGAGGGGAGAACGCTCACTCGGGGCTCAGCTAAAGCGCGCGCTTATCAGTTTGTGCTGAGCCCCGGGTGAGCGTCCTTCCCTCGAAGCAGAATGGAATTGCCCGCAGCGCTCGTAGCGCCCCCGCCAGCCACTGCCTCGGCCACGCGCTCCCAGTGGGTCTTTCATATCGCCGGAGACTGTACATGCCCACTTAGGGAGATCATGGCTACTGCGCAATATTTATCAAAGGAGGTTTGCGCATGGTAAAAAGTGTCAATTACAGTGATGGAAGTGGCATTTGACCTTCAGAAGCAGGTTTTGTAGCAGGCATTTAAAATATTGGTTTGGAGCAGCAACTGACACTTTGGAGCAGATGCCAACTTCTGTTAGCATGTCACTTGAAAAATGAAAGTAATTGCATCAATCGCTAAATGAGTTCATCTCAGATAATAAATGAAGCTCTCTTTCTTACTGAGGCATATTACTCATTACCTTTCGTCAGGCACATGGCGGGGGGGAGGGGCCCGGCCCCCCCCCCCCCCCCCCCCGAAATCTTTCATTTTGCTGGGACCTCCTCTCCTCCCTTCCCCTCATACAGCATTTTGCCATAAATGCCCCCCCCCCCCCCCCCAAAAAAAAAAAAAAAAAAAAATCTCGGCTACGTGTAATAATAGATGAAATACAAAAGAAGCACACAGCTTTCTTTTTTCATAAGGGCTGAGGTAAGAGTAGGTTCCATTTACAATAAATATTAAAAGAAATACTTTAAAAATGAAGCATAATGCAATACTTCCATTGAGATTAAGCCTCTCTCCCCCTCCCCCTTTTACATTTTACATAATTCCTGTGAAATGCCGGCAAATAACAGAATATCCGCTAAGTACGCCTAGCAATAAAAATGTCACCCCATGTTTCAAGAACATACCAAATTAAAGATTCTAATATCATAAACTGCAAAACCAACCACCCACCAATATTATGAAAACCCACAGCTGTGCTTAAGTTACACTGCACTATTCCGACGTTGGGACCAGAGTGGAGTCAGCTGCCCTTGACAGCTGCACATGAGCTAACTTGACTACAATATTTATTCAAATATACTACTTTTCAAAATTGTTTCGCGACTTTTAGTTCCTGACATTGCCGACATCGTTAGGAAATTCAGCCGATGACGGGGCAAGCCAGAGCGTAGCCGACGCTATGAGCCAATGAGACCAATCGAACAGTGTCAAAAACACGACATCATGGCATTCATAATCTTTCCGTGCGTATTCTTTTATTGGTTAAATCAATTAAGTGCCCCAGCGGATGCCTCGCCATTTCAGCTTTTAGTAAGCTTTCGCGGTTGTATGTTTTCGAGCCTACGACTGTGCTCTGACCTAAGATGAAACAACCTATACAATTGAGTATAGACGCTGTGAAATACATTTGTACTACCATTTTCCTTTACTTCTACTTGTCTGAATAATAAAATCGACCAATAAAATATTTTTATTGTTTGCTTTGTTTAAGCCCATCTCGGCGCAAGGGTGGCGCAATTCTTAGCAAAAATGGCATTTTGGCGCAAGACGTAGCAGACGTTCGTACACGATGCAATTTGGCACAAATGGTGCAACACTTCCATCACTGCAATTAGTTCTGGAACAAAAACGCAAAAGAGAACTCTTGCAGAGGAGGCTCTCGACTAAGTAAAAAATGATCTTCTTGGGAGGCACCAAAGCAAACTTGTTTTTCCAGTTTACACATTTACACTGAAGACGCACCTACAAAACAGGTTGCGCGTCCCCAATGTCCTATGCAGAAACTCTCCAAACTCTCGTGTAAGTGAATCGGGACTACAGACAAAAACCCATTTATAACAAACCTGTTACATAAAATAAGTTCATTATAGTATTAGTTATCCTGTGTAGTCAAAAGATCAATTATGTTCCTTCGCTCGTACCAGCGCTGAACTTTTTGCTTTTCAATTTTACGACCGGCCAGGTCATCCACAAGGATAGATAAATTTGACTTACATAACGCGGCCAGCCTCAATTTTGCTAGTACAGACACTTTACGAAACCTCGTTTAAACAACAATAGCAGTCGCCGTATTTTTGGCATCAGTTTCAGCATGAAGCACCCGAAGGGAGGCGAGTTCACATCGAATCCTGACGTGGCACTTCTGTCCAATACATGCTCAGAGTGCACGCCCAGAATATGATAGCCTCAGATAATCGGCAAACCAGCTACTAGATGGCAGGCACTTTTGACAACGGTCTAGGTATTATCCCACGATTTCTATTTTGTAACAAACCACAGCAAGGGAGCGAACGAGCCATCATAGTCCAATAAAGTGCAAGCGTTGCACAAACTTCGGGAGAGGTGCAGCGACAAGCAGGGAACGCAGTCATGTAATGTATTTTTAGCGCTGGATGAACTGAGATGCCTCGTAGCGTCAACTGCAGTCCATCGTAAAATAAAAGGTCCCATATCCACAATTAATTTTGTCTTTCTATATTTTTCTGGATAAAAGGAGTGTATGAAAAATGCATGGCGACGTGGCATAGTGCGCGGCGATTACAAACCGTGCCTCTTGCGAGGTTCAAGTTGAGAAGGGTCCAGATTTCTCTAACCTTTCGCAATAGTTTGAAAACAAACCCTGAACTTCACGATCGAGGTTCGAAGGTTCCAAGGTTTGTGGAATCTGCACAAAGATCACCAAACTCTGAAGTTTGTAGAAGTGGTCAATCGGCCCTATGGGTTCAGAAGCTGGTTTGATTCCAAACCCCTTTTTGTTCTCTGGACCACTAGACCTTCAAACGAGGTTTCCACCATCCCCACTGACACTGATCACAAGAGCTTTGTCACGCAGAATAGAAGATGTACCCACTAGTGCTAATCTCTCCAAATTAGTGAACATATTGATTGATAATGAGACCCGTAGACCGACGTTTTGTGTGTGACAAGACTCACACAAAATGTGTAGCATCCCCACAGCTGCTCGTTTGTTGTAAATGGGTCAAACGGTATTGAATGATGACATTAAACCTTGGATATCGCAGAAAGCAAACTGAACATTCATGTCGCAACAAAATACTACAGTGCAGTCCACTCATAAGTTATAACAATACCAGCCATAACGATGTAGTGGTTACAACAATCACTTTCAAGAGTTTCTAGGCTCGGTTTCTAGTTGAGATACTTTGATAATCGGTTATAAAGATTGAATTTTTGGGTTTTCTCATTGTCGTTATAAGTGGATTGCACTGTATTACATTTGCTGATCCTTCACTTCAGTTTAAAAGACAGAAAAACACAAAAGACGACGACGACAGATGACCCCTCTCCTTTGATAGGGAGTGGTTGTGTGTCCTTGTCCTTCGCGTTTTTATCTCTCAGACTGAAGCAATTCATTTGCAGTACACTCGCATCGATTCAGTCTATCCTTTGGCTCGCTTTTTGTTTCGGAGCTTAGCTGCCGAAAGCGACGACAAAATCAAGTATAGGTATACCGCATATAGTAGGATGTGAACAGCAGGTACATTCATTCCACCTAAGGTATCTGCTGCCTGGGATAGGCAGCGGAAAACTCGCTGCAGAGGTGGAAAAGTAGAAAAATTAACGCGGAAAACATCACAGCAAATGAAGAAAGGAGTGGTAACATTCCTTCCGGTCGTATCTGTCCCAATTAGAGGTGGACACCTTGTCCGACCCCTTCAAAGGCCGGCAATGTGGAGGTTGGCATCGAGCTGCTCCAAGTACCTGCAAAGCACAAAAGGTCAAGCATTGAGACAGGATTTGCAAAAGAAAGGAAAAGAAAAACGTTTGACACCACCGAATTCCTCGTGTCAGGGGTCTCCAAACGTTTGGGGTAAAGTGCCAGATTTGGGATCTGTTGCAGTTCTTGAGGGTCGAAAAATAAATAAAAATCAAAGAAAAACTAAATAAATAAACCTAGATGGGGATGTAAACACAAAATTTCAAGTTGGAGCAAAAACAAAATTGGGGTTGGAATTATACATGCACCTTCTTTTGAAATTTAATATTTAGTTAATTATAATACTCACCGGTCACCAATAAAAAAAGGCAAAGGAAGTATGATATATTCACACAGGGCAGAACACCAACGAGCATGGTACACCTAATGCTGCAACTTTGCAATAGGACATAGAGCACTAAGCAAGGGGAAATTTTAACGTAGTTACACAGACACAAAACAGGTGGCTAAGGACGGTGACAGTGTATGTATGACATAGAATTATCAGCCAGGAATCAGAATGGATACAACGCGTTTGCTGTGTGTCGCTAAGCTGTTCCTTTACGCACACTTAGGAATACTAAACTCAAAACAAAAAAAACAAAAAACATTTTAAGCGCCTGATACAAACAGTTGGCAGCAAAAGTTCACAGGGAATGGGAGCACAACCCAAAATGACTTACTGTGCCTTCTGACGGCATGCGGCCGTCCTCAAGACTAACGCTTTGAGAATGCGCTCCTTTCTGGGTTCTGAGTCGTGTCTTTTTCACTCACTTTCGTCCAACGCGCACGAGATAACAATGAAAAAAAAAATGGCAAGGTGCCCCTTTGCGGGTCATCATGCTGCACGTCTGCCTCAACCACCATGATGGGTGATGGAGTTCGCATGCTCCAGATAACAATTTTGTGGCACCCTGCACTAGGGTGCCTACATGTTTCCGCCGCTCCGCTGTTTAGGGTGGCGACAGCGTTTGTGATACCCGTTGCCGACAAACCAGTGTTGCCTACCTCGTTACCATGGCAGCCTCCGCTGTTTCGTCGACCATTTTGTCACACACACCAGTCGTGCGCTCGCGCTACTCCGCTAATCCTCATTAGGGCTAGGGAGCGCCCACCGCTCTCGTTCCGACGGCGAGGTTTCGGCGTGCGATGCCGGTCTGTTGCGTTCCATTTTGTCGAGGGGACTCACGTTTCGATAAACGCAACGCATACTTCCTGCTCGCAACTTCAAAGTATGAAACACCCGAATAAAGAGAGCGACAGCCACGAAAGCCGCCATCCCGCTGAGCCTCTGACTCGTCCGACTCCTCTTATGAACGGAAACGGAAGTGGCCTCACAGTGTAGCCGGTGTGTCGAAAGTACGAAAACTCAACGTTGTGTACGTGTAGCCAAATAAGAAGTGGGTCAAAATGGCGGTGGAAGAGGATCTGGGAAAGGGTAACAAGAAGTTGGCGCCACCCTAAAGCGGAGCGGAAACATGTAGGCACCCTACCCTGCACAAGCTCCTGTTATCTTTGGAAGTGCATGCGAAAAGCACGAGTCTTGAGAGCGGCAACACGCCACCAGAAGCCGCAGCCAGTCATTTCGGCTGGCGCTCCCATGCTCCAAAAACGTTTGCTGCCGACTGAACACATATGTTACATAATTAATTTTTCCATGAAAAACAAACTTTTAGCAAAATTTTTATTTTGTGAGACTCATATCGAGTAAAGAATGACCCATGCTTTTTTCTCGGTGACATACATGCACATTGTAGGCACTACCGTAGAATACCGTGCATACGTCCATTCCACACGAAGCGCCCGCCCCATCAATTTGAAACATCTAAAAAATATGCGCAGTACATTTATATGTAAAATTGATGACCGCACGTGCGCCCATCCCCTATTTTTTCCCAATTATCTTCAAATTTTGAGCGGGCGCTTGCTCGGTATATTACGGTACTTAAAAAAAGTATTCCTTTGGGACCCTGCCCATTTTAACATGGACAAAAGTCGTTCCGGCGTCTGGTTGTGGAACCACAACTGTGTGACGCACCTTGTAGGGCTAGCAGTCAAACTGCACTGGCCAAATTGTTTGAGGGGAGAGCTTTCTTTTATTCTACATACTATGTATATGAAAGTGTTTTTACCATGTCATACACAGGCACGTCACTCTCTATGCACATCCCGAATGTGGGATCAAATAGTTAATTTAAGTCATCTGTTACAGGTCATTAGACTAAATATCTTCTTAAAGTGTTAAAAAATTTAATGAAATTAGTCTACATAAATCTAGCTTGAGCTTTTGATTTAAATCTATTCTGCGAGTACCGTTGAGACCGGCTATAGCAAAGTCGTTTATAATAAAATAGTGGCTACAGCGAAGCAATCTCAATTTCCCATTCCCGTTTGCACGTTTTCTATATAGGTATCTGTGTCTGTTTTTAACAACAGAAACTAAGCGACTCCCATGGATATAGCAAAGAGAAATTTTGTGATAACTTAAAAAAATAATAAAATTTTGAAAGTTTACTAAGTCGTAGACCGCCGCACTATGCTGCCGCAGCTAAGGAGCCACCCAGAACAAGCTGCAAATGATGCTGCAAAGGCCGCCGCCAGCAGCCTCTACATTGTCGTCTGCGCCCCGCTCCTTACCTGGGAAATGCCTTTTCCGCATTGCATGCGGCATTCCGATGTGGGGCAATCGGAGCGCTAGATACAACGTACCAATGGAAAGACTCCAGATTTAAGAGAGCGAACAACTCCAACCATGGAGAGCATTTACAATTTAATGGCAGACGCCTCCTGGGCAGACTGACACAAGTGCGACTGCATTTGGTTGTCGCGTGGTCAGCAGGGTGAGGAAGTCAGGTGGAGAGGCGGACATGTTTACAGACAATGAACGCTTTCGAGTTTTGACTCCTTGCAGGCTGTAGCTTGTCTCGCAAATATGGCCAACAAACCACATGACCTCGATCGAGCAGTTGCTCCCTCTCTTAAAATTAGACTCTCCTTTCCGACGTAACGCAGACTTCAGCACAAACTCAGTGCCATGTGCACTTGTTTGTTTGCTTTGTGTTTCATGGGGGAGTTGCTGGTCATTGTGGTCGCACTCTGCGCGAAAGTCTAAGTTCGCTCAAGCACCGATTCCGCAAATCATTGCCACTCAACAACAGACAGTCCCAGCACCGCCAACACATTGACGGGGAAGACGAAGGCAATCTCCTTGAAACAAGAGCATGCCATCCTCGCATAAATGTAAAGAACGCCGTGTCCATTGCGGTGGTGACACAATCCATACGTAGCTCGCAAATTCTTTTTTTGACAGGAGCTTCTCGCAGTTGGCGAGAAGCAGCGCCATCTAGCAGAGAGCGTGTGCGGGGAAGCCTTGACCGCTTTCTGTGCCCGTAACTGCCTGTGTAATCTTTTTTTTTTTTTGCATGCTACTCTTATGCAGTCCAGATATAACGAAGAAGCTGATATAACGAATTCATTTCCGCTTGACGTTCACTTTGTTATAAGCGGTCTCAATAACATTACACAACTAAACAAAAAGGTGCGTCAATCACAATATAAAAATGTGTATTCTCATTATTTAACAAAGTCATCATTTTCACAGAATTGAAAAACTACAAAGTGGGCATTACCGCACAGCTTGTCTTCTTTATCAAAATGGTACCAAAGTTGCTAATGGTGCCAAAAATAAGAAAACACCAATGATCCCTATTAAAAAGTATTTAAAAAAAGACACTTTAAGTTTGAATATTCTTTTTGGTAGTTCACAGAAGATTAGAAGTGTTAAAGGGGCGGTGCAACGATTTTCGGACTTCGGTCAAAGATTTCTGGAAGTTGCCCTCTGACACTTCTGAAGTAAAGAACAGAAAACCGATTTCGCCTGCGTGTCCTAGTTGTTGCGTAAAAAAAAGATGAATATTGGCATTTCGGGCACCCCTCAACTCACTCCCAGCCTTCAGGGTCACACCTGGTCGCACTCCCAGTGACGTCATTCGGAGTGCCGTGTAGCTTCCCGTGTGCTATCTCGGAAGACGCTTCCCCTCCCCCTCTCTGCGTACATTAGCGGGCGCTATGCTGCAGCTTAGAGCCGAGCGAGGTCACGTAATCTTTCCGTCGTAGTTCCTTCGGCTGCCACTTGGGGCTGCAGGTGGGGGAAAAAGCTCGACTTTTGCTTTGCGATTATGCAGCGGAATCGCGACATTTTTAAGGGGAGATGCGCGTCGAAAAAGCGAGTTTTTCGTGCAACTTTTTAGTTTTGAGTTTTTGCCCGTAAAAATATTCTTGGACATTCAGTTACAACTTCCCAAAAGATCATGCGAAAATTCGAACGCCAAATTAGTAAAAAGTTTATTTTATTCAACTACGGTTGCTCGAGAAAGTGCTACTTTCCGCGCACATCGTCAATCTTCGAGCGTCTGCATCTTGAGAACGCGTCGCTGCCCGCCATTGCCATTCGGTTGGGGAGGTTGAGTAAGCCTTTTTCTTACAGACAGCCCCTCCCGCAGTTTCGCATTTTGGCTGAAAATAATGAAAAAGTCGTGTTTTTTGCGCCCGTTTCGAGCGTTGCTACTGGACCTTTAAATCACGTGGTGCTCTAGCGAGGCTACCATTGGCCGAGACTGATGCGTTTCTGCGGCGAAGCCTACCTCCTGCTCTCGGATTTTACGGCATCTCGATCAACCTCTCTGGCCTTTTTGTTTTTGTTGATTGAATTCACAGTGAACGACCCGACAAAGCGTGACTTCCGAGCTCGGAAGTCTCGGACGAAAAATAAGTACCGAGGACGCCGTCGCAAACCTCAACGGAAAACGACAGCGGAAAGCACTCGCCCGACCAGTGCTGGCCCGCCGCCGCCAGCTAGGCCTAACGAGGGCGACGGCCACTCGGACGAAATCGACGCCGCGGTGAACTTTGTCAGCGCTTCAGAGGTGAAGATTGGACTGTTCGAGAAAGATAGAGCAGCAAGCGGTCGGGATTCCACGAGTAGTACTGCGATATGCGACATCAGCGCGCTTACGGTGCTGGTAAGCGGTGCTGCTTGCCCAATGTGCTACACCAGTACCCTTGCGGTACGCGAAGCGACCGAAAAACGAAGAGTAAAGCTATACGCACTCCGGAGTGCGCTTCGGACGGAAATGGCTATACGCACTCCGCTTTTCTCGTATAAAAAGAGTGGACACAACGAGTTTCCTAAGCGGTGCCATGGCGTAGTGGTTAGGGTGTCCGCTTCATACGCAAGTGGACGCGGGTTCGATCCGCGGTGGGCCTACTTTTTTTTTTCTTTTTTTTTCAAACATTTTGTTTAGTTGAGGCATTTGGCGATATTTACGACATTTCCTTTTTTGCAATGAACAGTAAAAAAAAAAAAAAAAAAAAAATCGAATGTTGTCGAGAAACTTTGCAGAACTAAATGGTATCGGACTCCCTTTCCGGAGGTGCGATCGGGGACAGCGGGGCTTGGATTGCCGGCTGGACGCCGCGAAGCGGCGTGTACTGGTTACGCTTAGTAATTAGCAGCCGATACTGTCGCCGCGAAGCGGCGTGAACGCAGGCGGGGGGCTGTGTTAACGAGCGCCCCAGTGATTCACGCGCCGTTCGAAAAGGGTGGCCCGAGCGGCATGATCTCTCGGAGGAGTGCGTATAGCCATTTCCGCGCGAAGCGCACTCCGGAGTGCGTATAGCTTTACTCAAAACGAAAGGGCCTTTCGTCTTTTCTTGAGCTGCATTGTGCGAATACCGAGTGCCCTGCATCGGTACTCTCTGCTGTGCACACCTCGAGCCGTGTTGTGCCTGGTGAACTTGTGGATGGCGCCAGCGGAAGCCGAGACTATCAGAGTGGGAGCTCCCGCGACAGCTTTGCCGTGAACATCAAGGCGGTGGTGGCAGCGCGCGCGATTGGCATCGGGCACGAACAGCTGTCGCGTTTTTGTGCCGTTCTTGGCTTGCCGGTGCCATTACATCATAAGAACTTTGCAGCGATCGGCAAAAAAGTTCATGTTGCGGCCATGAAAGCCGTGGCAGAAAACATGGAGAAAGCCAGAGTTTTCACAAAGGAGATGGTGGATGACAGCGATGTTGGCGTTATGTTCGACGGGACGTGGCAAAAGCGGGGCCACAAAAGCCATAACGGCGTTGGCGCAGCTGTGTCTGTAGACACTGGCTTGTGGCTCGATTTCGAGGTACTTTCCAACTTCTGCCTTGCATGCAGTCGGCACCAAGATTTCGGGAGTGAAGAAGAGGAAGTGTGGCAAGCGTTTCATGGCCCTGTTTGTGAGAAGAACACTGAATGCTCCTCTCACGCAATGGAAACAGAGGCAGCAGTGCGCATATGGACGCGGACCCCCTCACAGGAGACACCATTGCGCTTCACCAAGTTTCTAAGCGACGGGGACAGTAAAGCTTTTAGTGCAGTCTCCGAGGCAAAAGTGTATGGCGAAACATCTGTCACGAAGGAAGACTGCACAAACCATGTGGCCAAGCGCCTAGGAACTGCACTTCGTAAGCTCAAGACCCCTCTTCCACATGGTGAGAAGTTGAAGGATGGGCAGATTCAAAAGTTGCAAAACTACTACCGGATAGCGATCACCAGCAACAGGGGCAACGTCCGGAAAATGTATTGTGCCATTTGGGCGTCCTACTTTCACTCGTGTTCCACAAATGCTGCCAAGAGCCACAAGTTCTGCCCCGAAGGAGTGGAATCATGGTGTAAGCACCGGCGGGCCGAAGCACTCGGAGAGCCCGCACCAGACCACACTCCGCTTCTGACAAAGGCACAGGGGCTGGCTCTGCTCCCTATATACAGGCGTCTCACAGAAGAAAAGCTGCTCACCCGCTGCTTGCAAGGGAAAACACAAAACGCAGCGGAGTCTTTGAATAGCAAAATCTGGCTGCTATGCCCGAAGACAAAGTTTGCCTCCAGGACTGTTGTGGAAACGGCAACTGCCATTGCTGTTTTGTGGTATAACAGGGGGCATGGAAGCTTTGAGCAAGTGCTTCAGGAGCTTGGCGTACTGCCATCAGAAGAGCTTGTCGCCCTGGGCAGCTCCCGTGACCAGAGGAGAATAAAAAAAATGTCAGCCCGCCAAACCGCTGAAGCCCGAGCACATCGCCGTAATATGGTGAAGAGAGCACGTCTCACAGACTCCACTCGGGAAGATCTTGAGGGGCCAACGTATGCGCCAGGAGAGTTCTAAGGAACTTTGCTGTGTTTGGGACATATTGCTTTATTTTATCAAGTAGTTTTATGTGCTTTGGTCATGCTTTTGAGAAATGAAGATGTTTGAAACTTTCAAATGCATTTTTTTCCGTTTGTAGTTTTCAGCATTTTTTACGCATTGTGCAACAGATTTCAAATACTTACAATAGTTAGATTTGAATGAAATTTTCCACACAGCTTCTTCAGAGTGTGTAGAATGTTGATATCTATTTGAATTTTCAATATCCCTTCTATATTTTTTGCAAAAAATGTAAATGTTGACTCATAGCACCTAAGATAAACACTTTTGGTGTTCCTGATTCTTTTTTACAAATATAGGATAATATAAATGAATTTCAAGTAGTTTTCAACATACTACCTTACCTAAGCAGCAACATGAGCTATTGCAGGCTGCGCTAACAACATATTTATTTATCAAAAAGTTGTGCACAAAAAGCACTATATTGTGTTTTTGTAGACACTCTTACACAAAAACCAACAAAGCTACATAAAAACTAAGAACCTATTTGGAATTGACATTAAAATCTCTATCAATGACCAAAGTTTCAAAATCTTAGGTTTAATATTAAAGAAAAAGTGTTTCCGGGGAGCATCTTCCCTTAATGAAGGAAGTGTTTTCTCTATCCTCTGGGACACGATAAACAACGTAAAAGTGACGAGATGCAAATTCTTTTAATCATAAAATCGTTGCACCGCCCCTTTAAGGTATTTATTTATATCTAGAGTTTACACCAAGTTTACACCATAAGCTAGAGCCAACATTTGCTGTCAGATTGAAGACACACGTGCAAAATTAGATAATGGATGAAGGAAAAAGGCAGAGGAGAACTCAGACCTGGGGTTCCACTGCTCAACCCTGGCCCTGAGAATAGACGGACCCAGCAGGCTTGACAGCTGGTTCAGGCACTGGCTAGCAGCGCTTGAGGTCAGCGCATTCTCGCAGCTCTGCAACCGGAATCGAGAGACAGACGATAAATGCGACTCCGAGCACATTTTTATTTACCCCCACCCCATTTCCTGCTATAGAAAGTGTGGCTCCTATCTTCTTGCATAACTTGGGAGTACACCCAACCGTATAATAGATACCGGGAATATGTTGCCCCACCAGTGGCCACACATCTTTTGCTGGTGCATAGAGGAGCAAGTAGGAGGATAAGACGAGCGGGACAAGTGCCTCCCACAAAGACCTTTGCTCAAGATGGCTGGTGGCATTCTCTTCCAGCGCTCGCTCTACTAAGGTAGAAAGAGTGAAGGGCTTTGCGGGAGATCCGTGTCCTGCTGCTCTCGACCTGAAACAGACTATAAATAAAGAATGGATCCTGTGGTCACAATTCCTAAAGTCTTCACGGCACCGCCTGGCTCTGCAAAGATTGAACGTGACCTGTCCATTCTGTTTTCTGTGAGGACATATGGTGGCAGCAATAAAGAAAATGCCCTTCTTAATGGAACCACGTGCAGCAGAAACCGAAAGTGCTAGAACCGCGACACTTGCACTAGTTCAAACCAAGTGTCCAGACCGTCAAGCAAACGTTTCACACAAACCAAACACAAGCTCCTTGAAGCAAAACATAAGACACTCAAGCACGAGGGTGACATACCAAACTGTAGAAGATGGAGTCCAAGAAAGGCTCGAGGAGTGGCCGGAATGCCCGTTTGCCGACGCCCTTCACTATGTTGGGGAGCTGCAAGAAACGGAGTTTTCGGGTGCGCACTTTAATACTTCAACTTTTAGGCGACCTTACAGTTTATTCCCACTTAACCCAATGCCACCGTTCTGCACATTGTGCATGACAACTTGTCAGGAACTATGTAAAAGGGCTCAAATAGGACAAGTGCTAGAGCAGGGGGTGGCCAAACTGCGGCTCGCAAGCCGCATGCGGCTCTTCGCAGGTTCAAGTGCGGCTCGCAGCTCCCTGGTCAGCGTGCCCCCCTTCTCCTCCTATGTCCCCAAGAAAAAAAAAAGTTCTAGCATTAAAAAAAAGAAAAAGCTAACAGTTTCGACAGTCTTGTCCTACACAGCAAAGCATGCAACTGGACTGGTTTTTTACACATAAGTGTCCAGTGGCCCTGTTTCTTTTATTAATCTAGAAAAAAATTCAAACCGTATATGTATACGAACGTCAGGAGCAGTGGTGGCTAGCGAACCATGCATTCATTTTTGCTTAGCGATTGAAGAAACATTCTACTGCCTTGTGTTATTTGTTGTAGCCGGCAATTACACTTGTCCTCTTTGGAAAAGACTTCCCTCCATATCGTTTCTTGTTAAAAATCGCTCCCCCCTTTTATTTTTTTCCCCCTACGGCTCTCTGAGTTTTTGTAGTTTTGTCTGCCGCTCTAACCCTTTGTCAGTCTAGCCACCCCTATGCTAGAGCATAGCTTAAGAAAAAGCTACAAGGTGGTGAGCACATGAATCTAAGGTAATCCTCAGATCAGAGTTCCTTTCTATCACAATGCTACACAAAAGTCCTTGGTTCAAAAACTTGGCTATTTTCTACCCCAGCAAACCTTTTCACATCAGTTTGTCACCGACTGTAGTGGGAGAAAAAAAAAGCTTTCAAGAGACCAAGCGGTTTTTAAAATTTATTTAGAACAGTTCAAAAACATTATTGCTTCTGTGATTGGACAAACAGCATTTCAGTGATATTATAGTTATAGGCTTCTGCGACGGTTGACGATGCCAGTCCCTTATTCTCACTAGAACACCCGACGTCTTGTTCTGGTCACGAGTTAAAGAACTTAATGCTCCTCATTTTTTACAGCGGAGCTGTTAAGGGCTAGTTTCCCCAGTATCGTCTCCATGGAGAAACAAATATTGACACAAAACTCCAGACAGCTACTGCCATCTATGAACGACGGCGGTAACCTTTTCGGCATTTCCACTCTGGTGAAAACCAGAGTGGAAAGGCTGAATTTCTCTAGGCGTCGTACTAGAATTCGTCCTAGAAGTCGTCCTTCAGGTTGTCCTAGACGTTGCCCTTGAGGTCGTCCTAGACATAGCCCTTGAGGTCATCCGAGAGGTTGTCCTCAAGGTCATCCTAGAAGTCATCCTTGAGATTGTCCTTGAGGTCATTTTTGAGGTAATCCTAGAAGTCGTCCTTGAGGTCGTCCTAGATGTTGCCCTCAAGGTCGTCCTAAAAGTCGTCCTTGAAGTCGTCCTAGACATAATCCTTGAGGTTGTCCTAGACGTCGTCTCTGAGGTCGTCCTAGACATCATCCTCTAGGCGAAGTCCTCGAGGTCGTCCTAAAGTCCTCCTTGAGGTTGTCCTTGGCGTAGCCTTATAGGCGTCGTCTTTGAGGTCGTCCAAGAAGTTGTCCATGAGGTCGTACTAGACGTTATCCTCTAGGCATCGTCTTATACGTCGTAAAGATAACAGCTTCACTGCTCTTCCATCTTCATGTGAAGTGGAAGGGTTCTACATTTCTTTAATACTATATTTTTTTACAGTTAACCCGTGGAGCTAAAAAAGAAAATAAATTTATACCCAATAGGTGCATATTACGAATGACAAATATTACACCTAAACAGTATTTAGCGAAGTTGAGAAAAACCTTTTATGGTGTCTAACTTATATGAGAATGAACGAGCTTCTCCATAAAATTTTATGCCAAGCCGTACGCTTAGTAAAACATATTTGCAGTTGTATATCAATTAATCTATCAAGCCAGGGTGTGCCAAATTGTGTTTTACGAGAAAAGTGGCGGATGCGAACTCGACTCATTTTCCCAGGCACGCGACAAAGCATCTAGCATCACGTGGTTAAATCAAAGTTAGCTTCAGAAGGAATGCAACTCTGCATCAATTTCGAATGCTGGGTTTTTCGCTCGCATACCGATTGCAAATTTTGGTCTTAGTAGCACTGTGGTGTGCTCTGTGAAGAATATTTATCTATAAAAGGCAATGCTACCTTATAAAAAAAAAAAAGTTAGTTGATGTCTGCATGACATCAACCTACGACATATTTCTCGCACTGTATTTTGCGAGACACAGCTCTCTGCGGTGGCACCCCGATTTTGCACCCCGGGGTCACTTTTTCGAGCGGTCTCGCTCGGCCTTGGTTTCTTCAGAAATGTAACTTCCTTGTTTTCGCAGTTGTCAAATACTGAATTCAGAAATTTCTAGATCTCAGTGTCTGCCACAAAGCGCGAGGCCAAACGACGTAGATTTGCCATTTTGTAAAGACGAAGGAGCACACAGTGAAGATGTTCTTTTTTAGAGATTGCGCCGGGACCCGACGACGGAGGCAGCTGATGGTCGCTGACGGAAGAGTAAAGCAGACAGGACTCCGCGGATAGGGGGGAAAAAAAAAACACGTCTATTTACAAGTGAAGCTAATTTTCGAATGTCCTGCCAAAGGTTACAGCACGTGCTGTCCTTGTCTTCTTCTCTTCTCAAAGCGTCCCCTGCCCCAGCTCGCACGAGCGTCGCCAGTTCACCCACACACAGGGGCACACGTGCAAACGCCAACACGCAATGGAAAGAAAATGAAGCTCGGTCCTGTTCCCGCGTCCACTCACGGTGATGGCGGGGCCGATTCTCACAGCTCCCGACTAAGTATATTTTTTAGACCCAAAATGTCAAAAATAATATATAACAACTAAACTCAAACGCGTACGCACATCAGACACATCTTACACAGTGTTTGTGACTCAACCCGTCGGAATCCAAACTATCCAAGAAATTTACACCAAAATGCATATCACACGCCAGTAAAGTGATTCTTACTGTGCCCGCCAAGGCTCCAAAGCAGTGACAAATCTCGCGTCGAGACTAGCGCAGCATCTAGCCTCCTAGCCTAGGCCTCTTTGCCGACAGGTTATCCAAGCCACCCAGATTTCGGCGGGTCTTGAATCGGACGGTGTGTAGCTGGTTCCGGAATTTCTCCGCACAAGGGCGACGACAGTTTATACTCTCTCTTGATTTACGAATCAGGAAGGGACCTCGCAGGCGGTCGCCGTTGTCGACGTCTTCTGCACTCCCAGCTCTCTCATACGTGGCCGGCTGGCAGGTGCTCGAGTCTTCATCGGCGTCCCTAGCTATATTCTGGGACATATTCATCTCGAAGACGGTGTCCTCGTCGCTGTCCCCGCTTTCCCTGACATCTTCACCGGCCGGCTGTGACGTCAGCCACCCTAACAAGATGTCTGACTTCTTGTCGACACCCACTTCCCTGCCGTGGTCACTATCAGCTTGCCAGAACGTCTGCCGCCAAAGCAAGATATTCGGTTCTTTCTCGTCGTCGACGTTCACGTCCTTGTCGTGATCATCCTCCGCTAGAAGAAACGCCTGCCGCCCAGGCAATACATCCGGTCCTTCGTCGTCATCCACGTTCTCGCCATCGTCGTCCTCGGCTCCCCGAAACGCCTGCCGCCCAGGCGATAAGCTTAGTCCTTCGTCGTCGTCCACGTTATCGCAGTCGTCATCTTCGGCTTGCCGGCATTTTCGCCTCTCGGAAGATACCCTCGGTTCTTCTTTGTAACCGCCGCCCATGTTCTCAACGTGGTCGTTATTGGCATGTAGGAACTTGTGCAATTCAGGTAAGATATCGGGACCGGCCTCGACGTTGTCGAAGTTCACACATGGGTTGTCCTTAGATCGCCGGGACGCCTGCCGCCCAGGCCAAGTGCACGGCCTCTCGTCGTCGACGTTCGCCTGCTCGTCGTGGTCACCCTCGGCTCGCTGGGACGTCCTCCAGGCACGCGAGGCGTTCAGCTCATTTCTGCCGTCAACGTCCGCCTACACAGACACGCAGCCGCGATTGTTCTTCGACGACCCCTCCGTGTCGTCGGCCTGTAACAGAATCTGAGGCGCCTCGCGGATCGACGGGTCCCACCTCTTCTGACCTTGGTGGTCCAAGTTGTTACCGCCGGTCTTGCCCACCACGGTCGTCACCTTGTCGGGCTCACGGCTGCAGTCTTCCTCCACTTTGACTTTCTCGGCGTCTCCTTTTTTCTTTTCAAACAGAAGTTCTTCGTCTGGTGTCTTCGTCCGGGGACATTCGCGGGAATAGTGCCCGAATTCCTTGCATTCAAAACACTTCACCCGATAATTTTCAGGTACGTTGCCCTGCCTTGGGCTCTCGCGTTTTTCCTTGAGAGAAGTGGTGGTTTCAATAAAGGGCCTCCAGACCTCAGCTCGCGACAGTCCGAGCTCTAACAAGACCCGTTCTTTGACCGCACCATACCCACTTCTCTCACCCGTGTTCACCCTATTCACTAGTGCACGCATGCTCTCCGTAAGATAAGGTCGCACAAGATATCCTCTGAGCCGCTCAGGGACTTCATATGTCTCGAAGACGTTTTCTACGCCATCAAACCAGCTCGGCACTAATAAGTCGGACGACGGCATGGGAGTCAACACTCCCTTCATCAATCTCGAAAAGCGAAAAACTTCATCTCTGAGGTTGAACTCCATGTCGCCTCCACTGGCTTGCCTTCGGTTTTCTGAGCGTAGATATTCTAGTTCTAGCTCGAGGCATAACAGCCGTTCTTTCTCCCTTATAAGTTCTATCTCCTTTTCAATTGAGCTGTATGATCGGACTCCTCCGTTCCCATCCCCTTGTGTCTGCGAGTTCGCCACTAATCTACTCAAAGGTGACAATTCACCTGGCCCGTCAACATCCCTATTCCGACCCCTATTCTGCTCTGGCGTTAGAACCGGCATCCGCCGCTCTGCGCTGTCTGTATCCATGGCGGGCACACGTCAAAGAATCACCTTACCGTAAGGTCAACTATTGCCGCTGGATCACAGACGCAGCCCGCTGCTGAGAATAGTCAGGCACGAAATGATGTCCGAGCTGTAGACCCAGGCGTTCCTCGCTGGAGTGGGACGGCATCTGGTCCGAGGTAGCTCTGTCACCACGAAGTAGGTCGGTGGTCCAGTCTTCAAGGAGCTCGGTGGTCCAGTCTTCTCTTTAGAAGGCTCCACCAAAGCCGCGTCAAGTCGCTGTCTGCCGATTCCGTTGTGAAGATCACGCCGCCGGGGTCCGCTGACGCAATCCTGTCGACTGCGCCAGTGAAGATGTTCTTTTTTAGAGATTGCGCCGGGACCCGACGACGGAGGCAGCTGGTGGTCGCTGACGGAAGAGTAAAGCAGACAGGACTCCGCAGATAGGGGGGGAAAAAAAAACACGTCTACAGTAAAACCTCGTTATAAAGAAGTTGAAGTAGCGGTCGTAATTACTTTGTTATAACCATTAGTTTGTTATAGCCAATGTCCATTTCTTCCAACTATTCAAGCAAGGGGAATTATGATTGCTTTGTTATATCCATTTGTTTGTTATATCCCATTTTGTTATAACGAGGTTTTACTGTATTTACAAGTGAAGCTAATTTTCGAATGTCCTGCCAAAGGTTACAGCACGTGCTGTCCTTGTCTTCTTCTCTTCTCAAAGCGTCCCCTGTCCTAGCTCGCACGAGCGTCGCCAGTTCACCCACACACAGGGGCACACATGCAAACGCCAACACGCAATGGAAAGAAAATGAAGCTCGGTCCTGTTCCCGCGTCCACTCACGGTGATGGCGGGCCGATTCTCACACACACCGCAACAAAAATTGCTTAAACAAAAAAACAAGAAAAAAATTATGTGCCGCCGGAAAGTGCCACCCAAAGATAAAGCACAGTTTCTGTCGCTTGCTCTTACATGCCGCTGAGCGTAAAAAGAAAAAATTACAGCCCAGTTTGGAGCAGCAGAGAGCGAACCGAAACCGCACAGGAACACGCCCAAGTACACTCAGGCGAGGCACTCAAAGTGTTAAAATACTCACCTGCTTGCACAGCGTCTCGAGGAGCGCCACGTGGTGGATGTAATGCCTATGACGGGCCGCTTCCGCGAGTGTCGGCATGCACTGAACCACGCTGGCAGATGCCTGTGGAATCTGCGACAGTTCCGCCACCAGGTGGATGCACCTGCAGTGTCGAAGATGGCGGTGATCGTGTCACTGCGACGAACCTGTTGTGACAGAGTTGCAAATTTCATCTGAGGGGTGATATTAAATATTTAGGGTTTAGCCTGCCATAGGATGAATATGGCTACTTGTTGAGAGTCTGGAGAGAGTGTGGATGGTTTCGAAGAAGCCATCGGGTTAGCAACTTACCCGTCTGCCAGTTCCCACGGCTCCGGTGGCTTGCGGTACTTCCAGTCCATGCACAGCCCAGGCTTTGGCTGAAGACTCTCACAAGAGTAGGTCTTCTCGAAAAATGGGAGAAAGAACGACAGAGCAGGGCACTTGTGACATGTTCCACTTGTCTCTCTCAAAGAGAGAAGGAAACCTAAGGCAGCCAATCAACACTTCACAGCAAGAAGACGCCTACAAAGCCAAAGCTTTTGCTTTTGACAAGAAAAGGCTACGAGCCACGAATTAAAGACATCGGAAGCTAAAACCACCCACTGAGCAGCCCCATCATTGTAGGAAAGGCTGCCGAGTTCACTGCGCGCCCAAACAACCACGACTTTGCTGCTTCCAAAGTGTGGTTTCGCCGCTTCTGCAAAAGGCACAACCCTGTCTTTTGTACAATGTCTGGAAAAAGTAAAGACGTGAACGTGGAGATGTGCCTATGTGGACAAGTGGAACCCTGCAGGATTACCTGGATGGCTACTTTCCGTACGACACCTCTAACGCCGATGAAACTGCCCCGTTTTTCGAGCTTTAGCCCGACAAAACCATCATGGAAAAGCAGGACAACTGTACCGGCGGCAAGCAGAGCAAAGAGCGCGTTGCCATCGTGGTTGCAGCAAATGTGACGCGGACGGAGAGGCTCCCCCCTTCGTTATAGGAAAGTCGCCGAAGCCTCGGTGCTTTAAGAACGTCTGCTCCCTGCCAACCGACAATGCAGCTAACAGCGAGGCGTGTATGAGCGGCGAGTCGTTCAAGCAGTGGCTCGGGAAGTCGGACGGGAAGTTTGACTTTAGTGATCAAAGAGTCCCGCTCATTGTGGACAATTGCTCAGCTCACAAGGTTCACATAGAGCCAAAGGCTATTAAATTGGATTTCCCCCTCCAAACACGACTGCAGTTCTGCAACCGGTGAACCAGGGCATCCTAAGGAATATGAAGTCCTTCTACAGGTGTCACATGCTCAAACGGCTGATTTCTAGCACGAGGAGCAATAACAACTATGCCGTGACGCTCCTCGGTACGATGCACGTGCAGGTGCATACCCAGGATCAAGCTACAGCGGCAACAGTCGTCAACTGTTTTTGCCACCGTGGCTTTAGCGTTGCATGCGTGGAGACGACAGGTGACTCCGGACAGCACGAGACTGTTTCTGCAAATGTGCTCAAGGTGCTGCAAGACGTCAATTTTGCCGATTACGTCGACGTGGACAGCAGCATGCTAGTGCATGGTGCCCCGACAGACGAGGTCATCGTCGCACAAGTTGCCATTTAGGAACCTACCGTGGAGGACGAGAAGAATTGGTAAGAAACACCGGTCCGGCCAGGCGCGCCACAGCTTATGAAGGCGCTCAATGTTGCGCGCCTTTTCTTCGGTTACGAAGAGGGTGAAGACGCCTCCTGCTACGTTTGTGACTTCAATGCGGGCTGGTGTGAGTCGCCTTTTTAAATAAAAAACCAAAAGTGATGACCGAATAATTTTTTTTTCATAAATAATGTTGTTAGTTTTGTTCGTTTTCCTCTCTTTTAAATGCAGAATTCTGCCATTTTCCTTCAACTTTCATTAGTTCAAACTTTGTTTAATTCACACTTTTTCAACGTCCCCTTGAAATTCGAATTAAGAAGCTTGTGCAGTAGTCGCATGAAGTCATGTTGTGACTATGTCACGTGATGTCATACTGCCATATAAGTCACATGAGGCTATGTTGTGACCACATCATGCGATGTCACATAGTTACATGATGTTACGTGATGATTGTGATGCTGCGACTTCATGTCACCTGACGGCTGGGCCAACATGCCCTGCCATGGGGTATGCACGGACGGGCAAATTTATGAAAGTGGGGGACTTCCGTTGCAAAGCATTCCATGCTTTAAAAAAGCTAAGTGAAATATGACAAAATATTGCCCTGTGCATGTTCGAGAAGATTCACTTCTTCGTTCATCTAGAAGATTCGTGTATACTCCTACCCCGAGCATAGAAGATAAGGAGACCAAAGTGACCTTGCCTAGTCAGTCTCATCCTAGCTCTTTCCCGAACATTCTAGGTGGAATATTCGAGATGATGAGCATAGCAGATGAAAAGCCGAGCGCCGTATTGCCGATTCATTCACTGATTCTCTCTTGCGATAGCCAGCTGTTACGCCGACGCATCGTTGCTTGCTGCTTCTGCCGCGGATACTCGCTGCGGCTGCTTTTCCGACGCGTGTAATTCTTTTTCGTTTCTGGCACAACTTCGACCCCCTTCAATCTTTAGTTCATTCTGTTTTTTCCTGCTTCCTCGTCTGTCATTCGTGACAATATGCACTATAAAGAATTTGTACTACAGTTGAACCTCGACTTAACGAAACCCGATTTTACGAATTTCCCGATTTAACGAACGAATTCAGATTCCAGAAGCAGCCTATGCCCGCAAAATGACTTTCTCGATATTACCAAGTTTCCGATTTAACTAAATAATTAGCGGGCCCCGTAACTTTGTTAAATCGAGGCTCAACCGATGCATGCCATTGGCAGTAGACATCATCTAAAAACCATTATTGTCTTACAAAATCTCATTCATTTAAAAATGACAAACATAGAATGTAAGCTATTCTAAAATGCCAATCAATATGGCTAAAAATATATTAATCTTTCAAGTGTTTTTTTATTAAGATTCTGCATGTAGTTGTCCATATTTTTTCCCTGGCCTCAAATTTATACAAAATAAGTTCACCGATTGCCTGTGATTTTATCCTCTCACCATTTTTTTTTCATTTGCTCTATAGATGTCAGGTTAAAAAATCTTCAGATAGATTTTTACACATGGCAATAAAGCAATGGTGTCCCTCCATTTTCTCATCATTTGCTTATACAATACCAACTAAAATAGCAAGCATTTTGGTATGTCTAGCTGTTTCATATTGTTGACTATATGTATTTCTTCAGAAAAAGCTTTCAGCCTTTCCACTCTGGTGAAGAAGGAAGACCAGCGAAGCTGTACGCTCGTCCCGTGTGTTTCTTCTTCGTCCTCGTCTGTTTTGTGCGCTGTTTCCTACGATGAATTCCCACCAACTCGCCCAACTATCCATTTTTCTATGATAACTGGACAGGTTGCCGCCACCAATGAGCGGCGGCGGCAACCAGACTGGTTGTCTGGTTGCCACCGTCGCTCATAGATGGCGGTATCTGTCCAGAGTTTTGTGAAGTTTTGTGTCAACATTTGTTTGGTACCGGACACAAAACTGGAGAAGCTAGCCCTTAACAGCTCTGCTGTAAAATGTCCAACTCAGCCCCAGCTTGCCCTGCTACCGTCTATACTCTGAGTCACCAGTTGTGTGCAGTACAGGCGAAGGCAACGCCAGGCGAGGGGAGAAAGGGCAAGCACTGGAGAGGCTGGGGAGGAAAAGATAACCTCCTCTCCTCTCAAACGATCCTCGTGCTCTTCCTTTCTCCCCTCGCCCTCCATGCCCTCTACTCCCGTCCCGCCTTCCTAATGCTCGCCCTTTCTCTCTTCGACTGGCACTGCATTCGCCTGCACTGCACACAACTAGTGACACGGAGTACATACACTTCATGGTACCAGCCAAGAAAACAAGATAGATATTTAGTCAAATACAAACAAGGTGAAATAGCACTTGATGAATTTTTTAACAAGCAGCACTTTAAAATGCCGCTGCACATGGTATTAGATTATTCCACTAATACGCAGCTCGTACCCTGCTACACAGCTGCTGTTCCTATACACCTTTCCAAAAAAACGCTCCTAGGCCGCCGCAATGTTGCTGATGCTGATGCGACTCTCGTGCCCTTTATCAGCTAGAAATTTTCTGCCACTCTCTTAGACTGTGAAGACCCGCTCAGCGCAGTTCTCGACCTACATTTTTGCGGTTTTGCATTCAACGTTTTCTCGCCCCTCTTGAAAGTTTCCACTTAATTTTTTTTTGTGCGTGCTGCGTACCCTTTCTGTGTAATCTTCCATTGTGGGAAATAAGGCTGGTAAGTGCCTGCCATTCAAGCTTTTCTGCTTGACATTCACAGGAAACAAAGGAGGTGAAGGACGTCGAACGACCCTTGGCGCGATTTTGCAAACATTGTTTTCCCCAGATAATCCATGTAAAATCCTCAGTTATCTCCAAAAATAGTTGGCCAGGTTGGGGTGGGAAACGGGTCAGTCGCGTTCGTTCCTTTGCCTTGATGCTGTTGTGAAAAAAGGAAGCTCTCCTCAAAACGCGCCCCTAAACAAAGTCAGCTTGGATTCCGTCCGATCGTCAAGATGTGACTGTCGTCGACTGTGACTGTGTTATTTGAGATCTTTCTCAAATAAATTCTTTTCGGATAACGCTGCATCGTGTGGTACGTACAATATATTGTTTGAATGTTAACACTTTCTAAATTGTATGCCCGTGTACTGTCCATCGGTAAACACGTTATTTGAGGGCGTGAAAAATGCATGCCTTTCGGCTCTCTTCTGTTGTAATTTATTTTTGACAGCTAAGCGCTTTGTCGTCTGAAATGCGGTGAATCGCGCAGTGCCATAAAAACTTATTGTAAAAAAAGAAACACAAAAAACTAGAACTATACGTTCTAGTCGCATTCGTTCTTTCGCGCGCGTACCCCACAAAATTAGTTTATAGGTTTTTTATTGCTTTCTTTTTTTTTTTTTTTTTTCAAATGTGGTAGAATGCTTTTTCAGTGACCTCGGGAAAATACATGCACCATGAAACACAAAATACAGCGGGAAAAGATGAGAATTTAGCCGCCAGCAGTGTTTGAAACTGCGCCTATGCAGGCTGCACCTATCGAAATCACAGTCCACTCGGTTAGGGTTAGCAGGGACACCGGTGAGTCTAGCCTCAAATATAGTGAATGGGACCAAAAATGGTTTGCTGCCCCTGGGGTCAGGTGTTTTTTTGGAAAGGTGTATACAGCAGAGGGAGAGAGGGAATGTTAGTGTACCACTCCCCCCTCCCTCTCTCTCCCACCCGCCCCAACACACACACACACACACTCAGTCTTCGCAGTGCGACATCATTAATCGCACACTCTACGTCACACCTACAGCTTCGCCCCATTGCTGACACTCCCTTTCATGGCCTTCCTACGGTACGACCGACACCAAAGCGAGCAAGCAAGATTCGTGCAAGGCTCCTATATCTGGTGTTTGTGGAGAATAACATAGAGGACGAAAACAGGACGAAAACAGGACGTCCTGTTTTCGTCCTCTATGTTATTCTCCACAAACACCGTAACTTAACCAGCACGCTCCATTTCCACGAGTCCTATATCTTTTTAAAACTATCAGCACCTGCAGATTGGTGTGAAGTGCCGGGTCGTTGTCCCTGGCCGCCTTGATGCTGCTGGCTGGGGTCTGGATGCTGTTGCCCCACTCTGCCCTCTGGTAGTGGAGCGTTTCCTTCGGCTGCTGCTTCACCCCTTCCAGGCCTGCCAGGACCTTGGCCTGGAGCACGCTGAGTGCTTCCGTACCTGGATCCAGTCGCTAGTTTTAGCCTCTGAGTTGTTTTGCAAATGAAAATACTAGTGCCCCCCCCAGCCTCTCGGCCTTGTAATATGCAGAGAGTACAGACAATGAGGAGCTTCAAAAGGGCACATTTTTATATCAATAGTGAATCGACGCAATTTCGAGTCTTTTAACTGCTCACTCTCACAACTAGAACGAGAAGCCATGCAGTCCGAGAACCGCAGAATGCTTAAACAAACATGGCCGATGCTCACCGCTGTCGGCCTTGATGCCTGCAGGCATCATCAATGCCAACGGTAATTAGAGCCCACAGCATGTTTATCATTATTTGGTGCTCTTATTTTGAAGATACTGCTGGCCAACTTTTGAAGGCCAAGGCACGGTGTAAGCAGAACAATAAAACGACGATCAGCGTAGCAAATCAATACACATAAACATCCAGTAAAACGAGTAAGCAGTTTGGTTCTTGGAGTTTATTTTAACAAAGAAATGTGCATCAGTTGCACTAGAAAATGTGGCAAAAGAGATAATTCCCGTCAAGCTGCAGGGCAGCCCGTTCCACTCGCTAACAATACGCGGAATAAAGTAATATTTTAAAATGTCTTTCCTGCAAACGAGGTCACAAATCAGTTTCTCAAGCTTCCGTCTAGTGTCACGGCTCGCATTATATTATGCAAAGTGAAAATTTTAAGCGCTTTAATTCCTTCGACATGAGAACTCAAGCAGTCGAGATGCAGCATACAACGGTGAAACACGTGTTTTCTTTACCATACGAATTAAGTGGAATCTCATTAATTTGAACCCGAGGGGGACCAGAGCTTTGTTTGAATAATGCAAAGTTTAATTACTGGAAGTTTCCTTCCTAGAAACACATAGGACGGGACCTGCATGTTAATTTGAATTATCCGCGAGTTTGAATTAAGAAAGTTTGAATTAACAAGATTCCACTTATAAATGAACCTAAGGGATTTTTTTTTCATCTCCTCCAGCTGGTTTATACATGAGTGGAAATAAGGGTCCCATAAGATATCAGCATAATCACGTCAAGGACGGATTAGAGATTTATACGCCCTTAGCTTCGTTTCGGGGGTGCAGCACCTCATAGTTCTTTGCAGTGTTCACAGCTTTTTAGGTGCTTTGGCAATAACCTGCCCAATGTGAGAAGTCCAGCTTAAGTTAGATGTAATTGTAACACCTAGATACTTGCACTCACCGACTACTGCTAAAGCATTGGAGTTAATAGTGTAGGTAGAAAATAGCGGTTCCTTCTTCAGTGTTATTGACATTTCCTCGCATTTTTAATGTTCGAGTCCATTTGCGACTTTTGACATCACAAAAAGATCATTTCAAGGCTAACATCGAAACATTTTTTATTAGAAACGCGAGTTATTTTGGAAAACAGTATAAAGTCACCTGCAAAAAAACCGACACCGTATTGGGGGTTTATCTACCATCAGATCTTTGATAAAAACTAAAAAAAGCAGTGGTCCATGTACCGAGCCATTTCAAGACATGGCCGGTGATATTCCAGCGTTTTCACCAGGTTTAAGAACATTTCATTCGTAACTTTCCGGTCATGAAGAGTTACTACCTTTGGCGATAAGCATGAAACAATCTAGTCTGGCTCAATCCTGTCGGCATGTTTGATTACAACTGGCCAGCACACTTGTAGTCCTTCCCACATTTAGCTAATGACATTCCGTCAAAGACACAAAGAGTTTGCATACTCTCTAACCCAACCGTACTCAACTTGGTCGCTGTACACTCACAACAACCAAATGCTTGCTTCAAGTACGTAGTGAGCACTCGGACGAAAAGGGACGATGGTTACCAAGTACTTGCTGCACCCATCAGGAGATGGCGCCACGAGTACAACTCTCGAGCGTGACTCTGTTCTCTGCATCTGCGCCCACCCAGAATGTTGAGGGAATTCTTCTAATTTTTCACAGGACTGAAGCATACCCTCAGCAAACTTTTGAGCTCATTTCATGCAGGCACAGATTTTTCCAGCTCATTTTACAAAAAGCCCCTGAATTCCTAACACCCTATATATATTTTACATGCAAAATGGTCCGTGTAGAAAAATGAGGCAGTAAAAATGGCACAAAGCGAGAATTCCTGCCATGCATGGCGTACCATAGGCCCTCGCAACGTTCCCCAGCGCAGAAGCCGCCCCCTGCCGCACAGAGGGGATGCAGTCCTGGAGGTTGTCGAAGAAGAGAGGGTACAGCGCCTTCAAAGAGCTCCTGAAACAGAAGACAAAAAAGAAACTGCCTGCCTTAGACATTCCCTCAAATGCGGCGAAGGTCACTCGATAGGGTCTCTATCTAACGAGCAGCACTTGCTATCAGAAATATATGCAATGCGACATGTGGCGAAGAAATTGTGAACATCTAAAGGACTTCTTTTTTTTGTTCACAGACTTCTTTGTTGGGCGCATTGCATCACTTCTCTGAAATGTTGCCACGTCTACTTATTGTACTAATCCGTGGTATCGGTAAAACAATCATTTTACCATGCAGCAGAGGGAGAGGTGGGGGAGGGAAGTGGGGAGTGTTAGGCACCGCTCCAACACTCCCCCACATGCCTCTACTCCGCACGGCAATACGCCATTAGTCGCGTGCTCTACATTGTCAAACCAACAGCTGCACTCTGTTGCTGGCACTCTCTTCCGTGGTTGGATACGATGCAACCAACATGAGCAACAAGGCCCCCCCCCCCCCCCCCCCCCCCCCATGGAGGGTTCCCGTATGAAACTATCCTTTAAAAAAAATCACTCAGAGGCAACCCGAAACACGGCCTGCTCTTGTCTGTGCCACGAAGCAGAAAGCAGCTATTATGACATTGCAACACAGCTGCCAAATGCCTATCTCTTTTTAGACAGCAGTCAGACTGTGCCCTAGTATGACGACAGACTTGCCCACTGGACAGCGTGCACTGTAAGTGTCATAGACAGTCACAATCAAACGTAATTAAGGGGAGACTTTGGTCTTGAAAAACAAAAATAAAACTCAGGAAACTATCTTTCCAGACATTGTTGTTTTCTGTATAAGTTGCAGACAACATATTTTCTAATTATTACACTAAGAGAGTGCACATCAATTTAGTAGTTAAACGAATTCAAAGTCGCATATGTTCACAGGCATGTTTTGAAAAGTTGCTTCATAACTGATGTGACGCTGCCAGTGCCAATGATCAAAGTTCCTATTACACCATTGAAGGAGTTATTCTTGTCTTCCTGCAATGCAAGAGGTGAGAAAAAATGAAAGATGTTTACAAATGCCTGTAATGCGAAATTAGAACGCAGCTCATGAGGAGGAGGAGGGGAGGGTACAGAGGGGAGGGTATGCCCCCCTCCTCCTTTGTCCCCTCCCCTCTTCACAGTTTCCCTGCCAAATTTAGCTCAAAATTGATGCCACGTGACCTCAACACCAATTCAGTTTCCCCACTAAATTTAGCGGGGAAAATGATGTCACGTCACCTATGAACAAATTCAGTTTCTCCGCTAGATTTAGCAGAAAAATTGATAACATGTGACCTCGACACCAATTCAATTCCCTGCTAGATTTAGCGAGGAATCGAATTGGTGTTGAGGTCACATAACCCCAAATTCCCGCTAAATCTAGCAGAGAAACTGAATTTCTCCGCTACATCTAGCGGAGAAACTGAATCTGTCCACTACATCTAGTGGAGACACTAAATTTTCCAGCTAAATTTAGCGGGAAGCTGAATTGGTATTGAGGTCACGTGACGTCAACTTTCCCGCTAGATTTGGCATGGTTACGCCAACGCCAGAAAACCCAGAAACGGGCGCCTAAGAGCTGCGCTCTAAAACTTCTTTAGAGTGCCCTGCTTTCTATTCATCTTCCAACAAACCATGGTATCTTTTTTGCTATGCACACACACAGGTGCAGCAGTGTAGCCAGGAATTTTTTGGGGAGGGTGGGGTGGGGGGAGGGGGCTAAGGTGGCTGGAATATTCATGACTTGAGGTGCGGGGAGGGAGGGGGAGGAGGGATCGGGGGTTGGAATGCAGGTGTATATTATAGGGTCGTGTGGATTCCGGAGGGGGGTACTAAAGCATGATAAGCCCCTCCCCTGGCTATGCCACTGCACATATCGCCTGTCCTGTATACTTCTTGTCTTTTTTGCACTATTTTATATGTTTTACTAAGATGAACTAACTAGCCCAACAACGTACCCTACTAAACATATGACCCCCTTCTCTCAAGAAGAGATCAGAAAAAAAGCAGATTTTGGTTGCTTCTGTACTTCTTGTGAGAGAACTTTGAAGAGTTAACCATGTTGAATTAACCTGAGACGAAGGCAGTTTCAAGGTTTGGGAGTTTTCAGGGGAGGGGGATCTTTCGTATCAGAAGTTGGAACAAAGTTCAGAAGAGAAGGGGAGAGTGATCCTTTTGTTCAAGTTTAAAAGAGGATGGCTGTTGCCATAGTGTGTCGACCTGTAAGGTTGTCCCCATTCTTACATTGTGTGATGGTAGTTGTGGCACTTGAACTGTGTAGACTTTGCCCTCCTGTGTTGGTGGCAATGACCTTGAGTTTAAGATTATATAAAGAAGTGGATTGAACAAACGAGTTAGATGAGTCTGAGACATCATCATCTTTATTTTCTGTTCCTTCTAGATTCTGATGTTTCCCTTCTTCTCCAACCTCAGATTAAATCAACATGGCTAATACTCACCAGTTCGCCCGCACCCTTACTATATTTATTCAGAAGAGCTTTTACACAAGAAAAAATAAAAAGCAAATATATATGTGTTTTTCATACACACTGAAATTCTAAATTCTACTTGGAACATTGTTCACCCAGTTTAAAAATGGTTTTGTGGCCCTTTCTAAGCGTTCTATGTGTCCTTTCCAATGACACATCAAAGGAGACATTGTCCTTCGATGTGTCATAATCTGTTCCCAAGGACACATTGTAAGGCCCGATCTTGGACCTAAATCAGGCCCAACACTGCCGATATGGGTTTGAGATTTTGCCTCATGCTGACCCACAACTGGGCCTCACACTAGCCCTGCCTCAACCCCCTAATACGTTGTGTCCGAAAAACCTTACTTTGACTCCTCAGGATAGCAGAGCAGAAAGTTCCCGCAGGCAAGGCAGGCCGCTGTACAAACAAATGAGATCAGTCTTAGGATCAAACATGACACAAATTAGCCAACTTGTCAAGCCAAACTGGGGTAACCATGGCTCCAAGAGTAAGCAACTAAAGAAAGCTTCTGCTCGTTTCATTGACAAATAAAACTAGGTTTTATGAGCACAACGGGTTCTAGGCGAAAGTCAAAGTGAACATTCATATGAAGATGCCTCTTCACCCCACTAGGATTTGGATCATAGGTTCCTAATCTGGACCTTTAGGAATCTGGGAGTCCCCAAAAGGCTCCCAGAGGTTCCTCAGGCCCTCCAAAGGGTCTCAACAATCCATACCTTATATAAAGTGACTTTAGAGATTAAGTACAATTTGACCATACATAAGCATGGTCATGTAATGTACACAAGTCAATACATAACCATGCTTATGTATTACTGTGAGCCAACAATGCAAGTGTAATTCCACTAACACAGCTTTTAAGCTTCAGGATTGTTTTACTGCAAAGGCATTGAGACAGAGAGAGAGAGAGAGGGGCTCCTTTGCTAATTCAGAAACCATTCTCTGTCTCAACTTACAATGTACCGCAATGGACACCACAAGCCACAGGAGCCAATTCATGGCTCTGGGCGTGTCACGTGACCCTCTGGTTGGGCGGAGCGACGAGAGGAGGTTAAAGTCGCATGGCACACGCAGAGCACGGGATTGGCTAACGTGACTCGTAGCTTCCATTATGGTAAAGTGTCAAATGAAACACAAGATGGCCATGAATTTTTTGAGAGTAGGAACTTTAAGGGTTTGTGTTCCAAATTACGAGCCTTCATTGACTCTGCGTCGTTGCTTAATGCTGCTAATATATTGACTAGCAACATATTTTCGCTTGAGATAGAGGAAAGTTGAAAGCTACAGCTAGAGTTGTCACAATAGTGGCACTATAGTGGAATTCAAGAAGTTGCAAAAGCCGACAAATATCCAGTTCGTGCCGACGGCTTGGGCTTAGGTTTTGGTTTTGCTGGACGCACCATCTCTGACGGCCCAGGACTCGTCCTGAAAGCAGACGACCAGCGTGTCGAGAAGTTTTGGTACGAAAGGTCTCACAGCATCTTGGTTAATCTAAAAAAGAAAACAAAATTAATGTTTCAGAATGTTAATGATTTCACAGCTGATCCACCCGGCTTTGAACAAAATGGAGAGCAATTTGTTGGCCCAGAAACCATAATTCCCCCATCCATGAAATATTTTGGAATCCAGCGATTTTGCGAAATGCCAATGCGATTTTTCAGAATTAGCGCTTTCAAAGCCTAAGAAAACTGTAAATTTTAGATTGCCTGCTTTGCCTGGGTCTGATCAAATAACTTTGTACCGCTCCTTTCATTCAAAATTTATCTTTTAAAGTAATTTTAAACTAAGCACCGTGCACTTCAGAATACCTTAAAAGAACTGTCTATCTCTTCGGTGTTCAATATGACAAAAAACACTAAAAGAACTGTTACTCCTAAAATGATAGATTCTATGGTTTCTAGATTCCAGAAAGAGTCCCAACATGTCATTAAAATTGTAGAAGGCCTCACAATTTTGCATAGAAAACCCATGGGAACCACTGTATCATACCCATAGACAATAATGTCTCAAAAGGCACTTAGAGTAATGACAGAACACATTGTAAACACTCTACATAAATAGGTATTTTCTCTCTCAAAAGATTTGCTGGGAACACCCTGGATGGATGGACCTTTCACACTAGTTATTAGCAGTTGCCATCCAAATACTAGAATTAATAAGTAAAACGTAAATCAAAAATGAACATTAGAAAAAAGTGTATTTCATGCGTGCTCACATTTTTTGTAGTAAATGGTCCCTTTGCTCATTTAACTTGTGGTTATTAGTGCAAGTTCCCAAAGGAATGGGAGAAACAAACTCGATATGTACATAAAGGGGTTTTAAGAAGACTCGTCGTTGTGACTGGAATATCAATTTTACCTAACGAAGGATCGATGCTAAACCCGAGTGTGAGTTTGAGAAGCAATATGCTTATTTTAGAAACCGAGACAGCACCTTGGAGGCTAGTTCGGCGATGCAGGCACATGCGGCTTCTCTGATGGCGTGATTCTCGGCCGAAGTCTGAGAGATGTAGTAATCCACCTGACGAAATCCAAACACGAGAAAGTAAGACTTTGCAAACCCGGCGGCACTAGAGACGATGGTTCTGCTGTCAACTTAACGAAGCTACTATGTGGTTTTGCTGCTGGCATGCATCAACATAAATTTACAACTGAGTTGCAAAGCTTACGACATGTGCACTATCACCTTTGCTCGAGGTCGGCGCACCAGTGAAAGCCCTCAAAAGAAGGTTTCATGTGTGTGTGATGTAAAGGGTGTAGCTCCTATACTCCATTTCACATAGTAAAACCAAGGCTTCAGGCATGTATGCATAGCTTCAGAGTGCTCACGGCTAAGACATTCCAAGGCAAGAGGTTTGCACCTTAGTTCTGGCTCTCCTACCACTGAAAGGCAAAATTAGATATTACAGCCGACTCTCATTAATTCAAACCCTCTTAATTCAAACTTCTGGATAATTCAAGCTAACATGCAGGTCCCATCCTATGCGTCTCTGTGAGAGGAAACTCCCGGTAATTCAAACTTCGCTTTATTCAAACAAATTTTTGGTCCCCCTCAAGTTCGAATTAATGAGATTCGACTGTATAAAAAGCTACCTACTCAAAAAAAGTAGTCAATAATATCAAATTAAATAAGATCACAGCTCCCCCAAAATTGCTACCAAATTACACACGACATCACCAGACTGTTTTGGCTATTCCCCTAGCAGTGAAAGTGTCAAAATGGATACCTACACAAATACATAACGTAGAATACAGCACATCCGCCCATTCCACATTAAGCACCCATTCCCAAATTTGTAAGATCTGAGAAAATATGCACAGTACATTTATATGTAAAATTGATGACCGGACAAGTGCCCATCCCCCATTTTTTTGTGATTATCTCCAAAGTTTGAGTAGGCGCTTGTCCGGTATTTTACGGTATGGATGAGCTATGCAGACAGTTTTCCTTTTGTCACAGTTCTATGTTTGATCTGTCGTGGGATGCTAAAAAACGTGAAAGCTCCCTCCAAACTTTTTTTAAGTGCCTTTATGGGACACATGTTACAAAATATATCACCCCCCTCAAAAAGCTTTAACAAATTTAGCAATATTTACGTTGTAGCGATTCCAAAATGAGCTTCTATTTCAAGGTCAATACAAAGCGCAGGCTTCATCTGCTTCTTCCACAGGGGTTGCGATGTCAGAATGCCAAGCTCTTATTGGCTGATTGAAAAAAAAATAGTGGGTAGACCTCAAAACATCTAGCATTGAGGTTTACCCAGTATCCTTCCAATCAAAGCCAATCAGAGCTCAACATCATTCTGACATCATCACAAGAAGCAGACAACTTGCTCTCTGTATAAGGCACTTAAAATGGGGGGAGAGGGGGAAGGGGGGGGGGGGGGGGGGGAGTTCACTGCCCCTTTAAAGGGCAACTCTGGTCAATATTTTTTATTTAGGATTTCGACTGTTTTCAGCTAAGGCAGTGTTCCTCAATTACAAGGTATCCATTTTTTTTTTTATATACTGTATGTAATTTTATGAATATTACAGCTCAATGTTTGGTTTCGGACATCTATGGCAAAACCGAAACTATCTGTTAGAGGGATGGCAACACTGATCATCAACCGTACGGCCGCGACGTGACGTCGGAAGGGTGCTGCACCAATGTTCTTTGTGTAAAAGCTAACCCGCTTGCCGCTCGCTAAAGAGCAGCTATTCGCATCTTTAAAATCGGTTTTAGTAGAGTATGTGGCTTCACTCTGATGTAACATTTCGACTGTGATCCCATTCCATGCCACTAAAGCAATACCAGTTATTTATTTTAGTTTTGTTTCCGACTGGAGTTGCCCTTTAAAGAGATGCTTAAAAGATTTGATACTCCGGAAACATCTAAAAATGCCAGTGTATTGAAAACCGGAACTGACCACACGCGTGATGTGCCTCTGCACCAGTTCCCGTCCTTCCGTCTTGGCGATGCGGCGCCACGTCTCCTGTGAGTAGATCCTGACTCCATCCGCTGTGTAGTATCTGAAAACACCACACTGTTAATCCACCTGCAGCTCAAATTACACTGCCATAACGCGCTCACGTCCATGAGGTTGGAAACGTCGCTCGCCAATGGCAAAGAAGCTTCTTAGCGCGAGCCTCGGTCAAAGCTTCGTCGGGAAACTGCGGTTCACCATTTCCTCAAGTCGATTACCACATTTTTGAATGCGAAACGTTCTTTGGATAGTTGCTCCGAATTTTCTGAAGCCGCGTTCCGTGAAGCCGTGGCCTGTGATGTCACGTGACTTCAGTTTGCCCGCTAAATTTAGAGGGAAAATTGACGTCACATGACCTCAGCAACAATTTAGTTTCCCCGCTGAATTTAGCGGGAAAAATTATGTCCCATGACTTTGAGTCATGTGACCTATACACAAATTCAGTTTACCCGCTAAGTTTTGTGGGAAAACTGACACGTGACCGGCCACGGGCCGTCATTCGCCATGCTCTGTGGACACAGGCCGACCCAACGAGGAAAGTCAGTGGGGTAGTGAAGAGTGGAGACACCTGGAGGCACAGCTCAAGAAGAAATGCCCAGAGGTTACTAGTGCTAAACCAAGAACATTTCACAGAGCAACACATTTGCAGGGCAAATTTGCCCTGCATATTTCCGGTCTATAAGCTGCACGGTTTTAACGGGCAAGGCCATAAGGACCAACGCATCCTGCACGCCTCGCAAAATTCTAATTCCAGACGTACATACCTGAAACTGGGCATATAAAATTTGTTTCGCAAGAAGTTTTATGTTCACTTCTTTAGACCTCAAGTCAGAGGTGGCGAAATGTTAGAAATAAGATAAAAACGGCAGCCGTCTGCTTACTGGTTTGCAAGTTTGCTCCCAGGTGGCTTGCTGAACACAGAAACGCTGAGAATGCCTAGTAGAGGCTGGCAACAAGCCGGATAATCGCGATGAGCAGTAACTTTAACTGTACAGTCAAACCCGTTTATAACGAACAGCAGAAAACGCCACGATCAGTTCGATATAGCAAGTAGTTCGATATAGCAAAAAATATTTACCATGAACTTACACGATGAGTTCGTTGTAAGGTAAGAGCTCCTCTTTCTTTCTCATCTCTTCATTTGTGCCTTGTAACAACTCGTTGTAAAGTTTTTTTGTTTTTTTTTATGAGTGTTGAGTTTGTTTTTTTAGCTTATTTCTCCTTCTGAATCGCTTCTTTTCTTAAACAACCGCTTTAAGATGAAATTTTTTTTTTGTTTTTTGTGCGCGCGTGCAGGGTATTTTTTTAGCTTTCTCTCTTGAATCGCTTCTCTTCGCTCAATTATGTTCGCCACTTGAGCTTTTGGAATATTCTTTCTTTCCTACTTCTTTTTTGGGAAAAGGACAGGCCAGAAGACGATTGATTGTATGCACGTTTTTGGAATTGTTCCCGGGGGGAAAAAGTTCAATATAGCCAATGTGTTCTTCGTTATAAAACATACTTCTTACATGCATTTTTGTTTAAATTTTCTGTGAGTTCAATATTGACAATAATTCGCTGTACGTGGGTTCGTTCTAAACAGGTTTCACTGTAAATATATGAATGATAACCGCCTGGGAGCAAGCTCGCAAACAAGTATGCAGATGGCAAACACCCAGCACTATAGGACATCAAAAATGCACGACCGCCGTTTCCGCACCTCTTTTAATATCTTGCCACCTCCGAGTTGAGCTTTACAAAAAATTACACAAAAAACTTTTCATGAAATGGCGTTCGTGAGCAGTTTCAAGTATGTATGACTAGAACCCGAAGTTTGCAAGGCGTGCCAAATGTGCCGGTCCTTACGGCCTCCACCCGGTGCAAGTCACCATTCTCATGTTCGTACACAAAGGTCACAGATTTGCAATCGACTGCAACCGAGTGCATCGTCGTCTCTCAACCTCAATCAATAGTACTACGTTGTATAAAAAACCTTCAGCGTACTGACCACACAGCACAGTTGTTTTTTAAACCCAGTCTTCTTACCATTAGTCATCTATTCCTCCTTAAACTTTCAATGCATTATATAATGAAATAATTACCAGTCCCATTTATCTCACGCACTTCTTCAAAATAATACACAATACATTTGACATGCTCTTTTAAAATACCTCGGTCTAGGGCGAATTATGGACATCACCACTTAGCATACCTAATACTGGATTTCTTAAAAAAACATCTTGTCGTTATGGAAATAATTTCGGACTGTGCTTCAAACCATAGCTTCAAAAATAGAATAAAACCGTACCACATCATGTCGAGTAAATACTTTCAGATAGTGTTTTCATTGCTTTTGAGTTGTATTTAATGGTTTACCTTGAATTTCCTAGGAGTTAAGGGGGGACATGGGCCTAAATTTTAAATTTTTCGGAAAAAATTCATTTTTTAATTTTGAGGTTTTCAGTTTTAGAAACTAATTATACACCCTTACACCAAATTTGATGATCATACGCCAAATAGTTACGTTGATATAAAATATTTTCAACACATTGTAAGGCAGTAACAAAGTAAAGGAGTTCAATGTTTGAATGCATTTTTCTCAGTTCCACTTTTTGCTGCAAATTTCATACCAAGGAATCTTTTGTTCGAAGGTGAAAGTATTCTGTTACCACAATCAAGATGTTTCTTAACTTAAATTTACTCAGGAATCAGGCTATCTACTTTATTTTGTTTTAAGTTGAAGTCCTCAGTGAGAAAAAACTAAGTTTTCAAAAATTGACAGATGACAGATATGCATCTCATAGTTTGAGGTAATAACTCTTCCTGAAATATTTACATTTAAGTTATTAAAACTAGATAGCCCGAGGTCCCATATCCCCCACTTTACATTCAAGCAATCAAAATGGTGCTTAATAGCTTGATTTGCATATCATAGATTTCTTAATGAAAAGTGACACATCATCTTATGCAGGTATGTAAATTTGTCCTAGAGAGCTGAAAGTTTGCACAGTACACCTACATCTGAAGCTAAATCTCCCCTGCAAATTTCATTCCAATCACTTGAGTAGTTCAAAAGTTTGACCTCTAGCCAGTGTCCCCCCTTAAGACAGGCATGGACGATTGTATAAACTCTTTACAAAATATGCTAATCTGATTGTTGATCTGCTACTGCATCTTTTCGTACTTCTTTAATGTGCATTGTTTTTGTTTTTGCCTGCTGAGCAGCATAAATGGGTAATAGGGCCACGTCAAGCAGAATCAATCTGTCTTTTTCCCTGTTACCCTAGACCTAGCGTCTGAATAAATGAAACCAATTCGATTCAATTTAAAGGTTCAAATAAAATGCACTACGATTTAAATTGATATGTTCAAAAATGTAAAATATTCACAGTTACCTAACTCTATAGTCGGTGACAGGTAAAAAATTCAGCAGATTCTCCACCTCCAGTTCGAGCTTTTCACCTTTGATAACACTTTGTTGCACGTGCAGCTAAAACCTAGTGGAAAGCAATGAGCACGTTATGGAGGCGAAGCTCCTAGTAAATTTTAAGGTTGTCACCGGCCATAACCAATTCTGGAATTAGAAGAGAAAAAAGAAGGGCGTTTTCTTCGGCATGGCCACATTTTTGCTAGTTTAACAACAATTCTCAAAGTTTAGAAGCCAAATTTCGTGAAAACTTATACGACCGCTGGCGAAAGCGCATACAAAACCTTAGGGAAAGTTCCCAAACTTTCCGGAGAACCTCCAAACTCACCGATTAAGGCACATCTGAGGCAGGAGCTCGGGAAAGAATGGCTCTCGGTCCTTTTCCGAAAAGGACAGCAGGAACTTGCGCGTGGCCTCCGAAGATGCAAGGCGAACCTGTCGCAAAGTGTGCCTCCGTTTCACGCCAACAAGTTCTCCAACTTTTTTACCGTCGAAAAGCAGGACAGACGACGAGCGTTACCTGACTCCAGTTGTCGGCAAGTCCGACGGCCAGACACCTACTCACTCGGTGGCCAAGGTGGTCCGCTGAAAACGGATTGCTCGGTCCGACGGCTGAACGGGAGAGAAAAAAACACAAAGGAAGGTTACTTTGCCAAATCTGTGAAAGCTGTAGTTTGTCGGTGCATATTCAGTTTTTGCCGGGGCAACGTTGGTTCAACAAACGAGAGGCGGGGAGAGTCCAGTTTAATGCTATAGACCTTTTCCGCTTACTCTCGCCCCCGACTGCCAAGTAGGCATATCCGGTATGAACGACGAAAAAATATGAAAACGTTTCAACCTGCAAATAGTAAAAAAATAGAGGGGAGACAAAACGAGGATGGGTGATGATAACGCTTATCTCCTTAATGCATTCAATTGACATGGTGACAGCATAACAATGTGTTCGCCCATACCGGAAGCGACGATTTTCAAGATGGTGGCACCCTTGTGAAAAATGTCTTGGGCGGTTACCAGCTCTGATCGCGGATCGGCAGGACTCTATAGATACACAAAATGCCGAAAAATATTATAGAAGGTGGGAAGTGCTCGCTGGAGGCGGGGCAACTGAAGTACCCTCCTGCTGTTCTCATCCTGTCAGTAACCACAGTACACAAAAATTTCACGTAAAAGCAGACAGATCTGAATGAAAGCAGAAAAGTGGAGCACTGCAGGGAATAAAACGTGCAACTCTGTTTCGTTTTGTAGTAGTTTGAACCTCTTGTGCATTGCAATTGCATATTTGCTTAGAAAGGTGGGCTTCATATTTAAAACGGTATCTATACTGCTGCACACGATCACATAGCTACACAACTAGCAAGGCGGAGAATACCACAAACAGTATCCACATTGTTCTGCAAATACGCATAGCTACATAGCTATGGAACTAAAAAGGTTCACTTCGCTCTGACGAGTACCAACATTGCTCTGCAGATATGTGTAGCTACAGGGTTATGCATATAGCGTACAGTCAAACCTCGATATAACAAAGTGAGTAAAATTCTGAATTTACTTCATTACATTGAAATTTCACTACATAGAAATTCGGGGCAAACGTTAAAGAAAGTTTCCACAAATGTTCCTTGGGTGCACAAAACTCACCGAGGATGCCTTTATTTCAGTTGAAAGTAGTCAGTCATCTTCCTCTGGGCCACTCTTGACATTATTATTGGCATCACTCGGCGTTCGCATAGCCAGACAGCCTGCATCGCGTCTTCGTCTTGCTGTGTGCTCGTGAACCGCCTCAAGACATTGATCGCGTCCACCATTTCACTGTTACTGGGAACATCGCAGGTGTCTTTCCCATCAGGCTCGATGTCGTCCGCGTCTTGCGAGTTCCCACAAACATTGCTAGTTATCGCCTCATCGGTCACTCGCTCCGTCTCAATGACAACAGAGTCGGCGTATAGAAAGTCGTCGAGGTCGACGTTGTCAGGGGCGGTTCCATCCCCTTCAAGGCTCCATCTCCCAGGACAACAAGAAATGCACGCTTTCAGTTAGGCCTCGAAATGAACTACACAGCGCGAACGAAGCCGACAGACGAAACGGCAGTGGTTCTCGTGGACATTCTGTACACCACACTCACCAGATTCAACCCGTTTAACTCTTTGCACTTTATTGGGGGCCCGTTTCAGCTCGTGTGCTTCCCAAAATCTTCTTTGGGGCCCAAAATTGTGTGCCGAATTGTCCATGAAACTTCGTTACATTGAAATTTTCGCAAACGAGACTTCGTTACGTAGAGGTCAAAAATACATAGCGTGCATACACCTGCGGTTAGAAAAAGTTGTGCACTTCGTTACATCGGGGGTTTCGTTACATAGAAGTTTGTTACATCGAGGTTTGACTGTATATGTATACAGGGCTACGGAACATGAAATACGAAAGCTGTCTACTATGCTATGTAGCTATTCATAACTACAGTAGTTATGGAGCTAAAAGGATGGGTTTCACTCCAGATGGTCCCTACATTGCTACGCAGTTAAAGACTGAGCTTCATTCCAAACAGTATGCGCACTGCTATGAAACTATGCGCCACCTTTATATGCAATGCTTGCAACGAAGTTAAAACAAATTCCAAACATCCAATCAGACAGTAAGTGCCTATTTGTTTCCACCGATCCACCCAACCGATATAAGTCGTACATTTACCGGCAGTTTTCAGTAAACAATGAAAAACAGCAACATTAAAGAGTTCAGGAGAAACTACTCCCACCTCTGTCCACCTTAGCAGAGAAAGCACTGGAGGGGAGGTCGCCTCCTCTCCGGCGTTCACTCGACTAAAACGAAAATAGGTGGGAGGAGCTTCCCCCAAACCCTTGACCTGTTGCCAACTATAGTTTCATACGCTATTTTTACTACCGTAAAACACCAAGCGTCCACCCATGTCGTAGTAATCAACCATCACCTGCTTTTTAAACATTTTAAACATGGGCAAAAAAAACATCAGGCGCCCACCCCAACAAGCTTCAGAGCCTGCTGAGCCGAACGAGACGCCCCTCCGCATTACCTGCCTGCATCGCCGAGAAGCAGGTGCAAAGCTGCAAAGCTTCACAAGCACGCGTAAGTGTGAAGCGGCGAAGCTCGGCGCAAGAACGTCGGCGCAAAGCAGGCTACGAGGCTGCATAAAAAATTAAGGGTTCGATCAGACCCTCTGCCGCTCCTTTGTACTATCTCGTCGAATCGAACCACGAGCCCCTTTTGCTTTTCTACTTTAGGACGTAACAAGCACCCGTCACCATTCTTTCGCGATCATTGCGAGCTTTTGCTTGTGCGCTTTTCGTCGGGTCTAAATCTCCAGTCATGATGCTTGTATGTCGCTGCAGACGTGATCGCAGAATTATCTCTGAAGACTCCTCAAGCATGTTTACTTCATACGTACAAATGCTTCGATCGTGTCCACAGACAGCTTTTGCACGACCAACGTGACGGGACCATCATACAAGGAAGACGTGCGCCTAAAACTGTCTGCAGATTGTCTCTTGTGCGATGTGACCGCAAGTATGAGAGAGGTTGCAGTGTAACGAACACAAAGACTCACCTGCACAACAGGCCACGAGAGAAGACACGACGTAGAATGTAGTCTCCCGCACGAAGCGGCTCACGTGCTGCGCCGTTCTGAAGAGCAGCTCCAAGATCTTCGGGTCGACGAAGGGCCCAAAGCTCGACCCGCAGCCCTCGACCATTGACTGAAGGCACCTGGAGCCGTTTGCATTTTCCCGCTGAGTCGACGCGTCACGACATGCTTCCCGGGCACCCAACGAAACAAAAACAAGAATCCATTCCGAAATTTGACGGAGCAAACGCGTTCATCCTCTTCTAGGAAAAACTACAATTATAATTAACTCAGGGTATGAGGCAAGCACGTAGCCAGGGGGAGCCCGGGCCCCCCCCCCCCCCCCCCCGAAAACTTCCACTTTGCTGGGACCTCCTCTCTCCCCTCCCCCTCATACAGCATTTTGTCATGGGCGCCCCCCCCCCCCCCCCCCCCCCACACCAAGCAAAATCCTGGCTGCGTGCCTGGTATGAAGTGACGGTTAAATGTAACCATAAATAGGTTTGTACAAACATTTGAAACCCTCAACAATTGATTACAATATAGCGGTGCTTTCGATTCAACAGTCGATTTGGGTAGAGCACAGTGATCTCCACGCTTGTTTTTGCTCCGATCGTGCCGCTGTTTGAAAAGTGAGCAATAATTTCTAGTGCTCCTTTACAAGTCCTCATATTGGATTCTTCTTTGAATATGTGTAGAAATTGGAAGCACACAAAAAACAAAATTTAAGCCAAGAATTTAATTTCATTGTTTCGACTTCTATTGAGCAGAGGGTATTTACTGTTTTGAACTTGTTGCATTTCATTTTTCTGGCCTTATGTAAACCCATATGGAAACTTTTGGACGTATAATAAATAATTAAAAGAACTGTGATTAAAATAACAGGTAATGAGTGTCTCAAATTCCATTGAAATATTATTTCACACTTGGCATGCAAACCAAATGAATAAATTAATAAAACAGAAATGAGACACAAGCCTTCTCTTTCTTCAGTACGTACTATAAACACATACAAAATTTAAAATAGGGATTGTTACAGTGAAAGTGCCTCATGCAAAGTTAGAAAAAAAAAAAAGAAGGGTGGTAAGTTTATAATAGGAAAACATCTAATGCAATGAAAGACCCAGCCATGGGTACACTCAGGCACGTAGCCAGGATTTTGTTTCCGGGGGTGGGGGGCCACCCATGACAAAATGCTGTATGAGAGGGAGGGGGGAGAGGAGGCCCCAGCAAAATTGAAGATTTCAGGGGGAAGGGGGGGGCCTGGGCCCCATGGGCCCTCCTTTGGCTACGTGCCTTAGTACACTATATGCCCATCTAGCAAACAGAGCATGACCTCTGCAAGTTACCTTTCACCCCCTACATTTGGTCAATGCTCTATATGGACCAAGCACTCGTTCCACTCAATGCAGATTAAATTATACGCCACAAGTTATTGTACATTATTCCAAGAAATGAATGCATTACTTGACGTTAGTCTCGAGGTGTCGCCAGCCAGCTGTGTTCAGGAGGATACGTGCAGCACTCGACATTTCTTGCTGAAAGTGTGACAAAAGACGTTGCGAAGTTCAGGATGGCTCAAAGGGAGCTGTTGTGTCATCTCAAGTAACGACAAGCTCCGAAGGGAGCAGGTTTCTAATGTTCATTCCGGGTGTTTAGGAGAAAAGAGAACAGTGTTTTTCTTGCTGCAAAAATTGACTATGCGTTGGCGACCGCCCAGACGTTGTCCAAATGTAGCGCTGTACTCCATTTCACGATAACTGCGCAAACTCTGGAAGCCAGGGCTCCGCGACCCAATAAGAGCAGCGGAGCGAGGCACGTGACAGGACGTCACAGGACCATTTGTGCCCCTATGCCAAATGTGATGCACAAGGCCCGGAGGAACCGGCTGTCGTCTGCTAGCCAAGAGTCACCTGCTCCGAAATCGACCAATTTTGGATGAACGTCCACCGCAGCAAAATTTCCATCCGCTAGAATGGCAAGCATTTTGGGAACAGTTCATGAGACAACCATACGCTCAATTTAGTCGTCAATCTGTGACGGGTGCTGATGCCAGGGCACAGTGCAATGTTTTGAGCTGAAACGGCCAATCACACGACTGCAATTGCTGGCAATTGCCAACGGAAACGGCGCTACAAGGAGAGAAAAGATTGGGAGCAGTTACGGATGTGACGCCACTTTTTGGATTTAAATATAATTGAAACTCATAAATTTGTGATAATTTATTCTTCACTCTTCATATCTTCTCGTTTGAAGCGCGCGAGCTCAATTGCCGCTAAAAGAAAAAGAAGCCTAGAACTACTTTTTGCCACGGACGGCGCTGCTGTTGTGGCGGTAATGAGGCCTCCGTGACCTTGACCATAGAGTGTTATCATGTGCCCTGTTCCAGCGCTCTTATTGGGTTGTGGGGTCCACATTCTTCACAGCTCGTCAATTTACCATGAAACGAAGTACAGTGGTTGGGACCACACGCAAAAGTTTCAAAACTTGCCATAATCAGATTCAAAAGTAACAACAATTCTCGGAAATTTTATATGAGAAAATGGCAGCCAACAAAGCCCCAAACAAGTGGAGATGAGTGAAACCCTGGCATCCGGTTCCAACAGCTGGCAATATGTTTTTTGCCGGAGTTTGAGCGTGCCACAAAGCGAAGTTTATCTTTGCAAAAAAACCACAGGGTTCTCTTATTTCTCCAAATGCAGAGCATCACAACTTTTAAACCTCTAGTCTCTCTCACTTAAAGAGACACTGAACCTAGAGGGAAAAAAAACTTTTTTTCCACCTGTTTACTACCGGCATAATTCTAAATAAATGTCTCAAAAAAAAAAATAATAATTTTTTTTTTTTTGCTTGATGTTTAGGGTACAATATGAATTTTTCGATTTGCGGGTGAAATTGAAATTGTATCCCTGTGGGATCATAATGATGATAGCGTCTGTACCCAACTAGTGTGTGCTCTGAGGTTTAGTGAACTAAAGGCCTGTTCACACTCTTGCAACCGAGTACGACCGAAAGAGAAGAGATCTGTTAAAACTTAAAAATTTTCTTAGGACAAGAGAACACACTGACATTGTGGCGCCATCTATGCGGTGACCCGGAGCTTCATTTTACAAGAGCAGGATTTCTGAGGTCAAATGTGCGTAATACCTATAACAACGGCTCGTTTGTAACGTTGACAAAAGTTTTTCGAGCCAATAAAGAAAGGATAATGCGCGAAAGAAATAAAAAATATGCCGGACCGCCAAGTTTCCGCTGCTACCCAATAGCTGGCGCCGGTGTAACCTCTGGTTGTAAGAGGTTTTAAGGAACCCAGTTTTTAGAGGTCGTAAGAGTGTGAACGGGCCTTTAGAATGCACACTAGTTGAGTACAAATGCTATCATCATCATCCCACATAAGTACAATTTCAGTTTTGCCCGCAAATCGAAAAATTCGTATTGTAACCTAAATATTGGGCAAAAAAAATATTTTTTTTTTTTCAACAAACATTTATTTTGAGACATGACTGCCCTAACCAGGTTGAAAAAAAAAAATATATTTTTTCTAGGTTTAGTGTTGTTTTAATGCTGCAGATGTTAAACTAGCATTAAAATGAGGCTGCCACTTGCAGTTTTTGAGCAGAGGATCATCTGCACTTCCTCAGGCTTCGATATACGTCTGTTCCAAAAAGTCAGAGAGACGCGAACACAGCCGGAAAAGTTAACAGTGAAAGCCACACACTTTCACCAACACCTCCTTGATAACAAGGATATTGTGCTAAATTTTATATGTTGCCTACAGGAGGCCAGTGCAGGGCAAAGACAAGGCACGAAGTCTGCGTCAGCATTTGGTCGAGACTCGTGTTCAATGGACGAGAACACGGCTTCCGGCCGAACGCGGACGCAGCACTCGTTTCGGCCTGATGGACCCTAGACAGCCCAAACTTGTTGATAAAAGCGCAAAGAAGAATTTAGTTTTCTCGCTTCCAACAACTGCTACAGCATGCTTAGACGACGGACAACAAATCTCGAATTTGAATGCGCTAGATTAGGGGCTGGCAACCTTGTGCTGCTGCGGGCCAAATCACCGCATAGCGGAAACGGAGCAGGCCGAACGGAGAAAGGGAGGGGGGGGGGGGGAGATCCGGCGTATAGAAATTAAAAATGAAAAAGTATTTGTTACACACTCAAAGTGATATGCAAAAATGTGCTCTTCATTCAGGGCACATGTAACACAACAATGTTTGCCAAGACGCAAGAGTTCACTTTAAAAACTCGGAGTCGTCAGACGTCTTGGAGGCGATCTAGTCTGTCATTAGCAAGACCCAAGTTTGACTTCACTGTCTTCATCCTGAAAAATTGGGTTTGCAGACACAGATGTGCTGCAGCGAACACTTTGGTCGGGGCCACCGAGAGAATTCATAGATTTTAAAACTTTAATTTGGGAAAACCAGCAGAAAACTCAACGAAGCCCAGCTGACCAGCGAGGACCAGTTGATCAGCAAACTCACCTTGCAAATCTCTCAAGTTAATGCATCCAATTATACAGGGTTTGCAACCCAACATAGCTCTTGTCCTAAAATTTGCATTCGAAGGGGGGGGGGGGGGGGGGGGGGGGGTGCATTCATTTCTAGTGGCGAGCCTAGGGTTGTAAAATATTGTCCTGCGGGCAATAGGTTGCTGACCCCTGTGCTAGATTAAACCAAATATTTCAAAGGTTAATTGTAGTGAATTTTTAGGTCCTTCGATTGCCAACCGTCCTTTTTCATTCATACCCTGACATGCGCCGCGGTCAATAACGTCGTCCTGAATAAATTCTGTCTTTACTTCAAGCATTGATTTTTATGATTAATGTTTTCAGTCGTTGCTACAGTCAGTGACGGGTTAAGCACCCCGGGAGACGCTTCACCTCGAGCGTGAGCTTTCTGCCTTTGATAACACTTCGTTGCCTTTCACAGACGAAGTCAGGCGGAAATCAGAAAGCTCGCACTGGAGGCAGAGCATCCACTGAACTTGTATCCGGTCACCGGGCGTTAAGTTAGAAGTGAACAAAGTAACGTTGAGCCCAGAACTAAATAGCCGATGCCGGACAGGTTTTGAAGACGCATTACCTCTTCTTCCCGATGCCCATCCTGTACGGGTGTTCCGGCTTCGGATATTTCCCTCTCTAGGCTGGATTCAATGAGCTCAAAAAGGCGGCTGCAACATTTCTCGTAGATCTTTACCCCCTCGTTGGCACATAGGACGCCCAAGACTTGTCCTGAAAAGCAACAAAAAACAAACCAAGAAATAAAAAGAAATGCTTTTTTTTTATTATTATTATTATTATTCACGGTTCAGTAATAAGTAGATCCTTGTAAAGAGACAGAGCACACAAAGGTAATAATTACGAGGTTTGCTAAAAGTGCCGAAAAAAGAGAAGGACAAACAGATTTGCACAGGGTGCGCTCGTAACTGAGGTTTATTGAAAAAAAACATGTTTAATAAAAGCCACCTAGAAGTGTTTATTCATTGTATTTAAAGAGAAACTGAAGCAGTTCTGTATTCGGGGAAAAAACACCTAAATCGTCTTCACTTGGCCTTTAAGATTACGAATATCAAGATTATTTTTCAATTTGGCACACGGAGGCAGCAGAAATTCATATTTAAAGTACCGCTGAAGCCTCTCCTTCCCAAGGCATGACATCCTATTAGAATTCCTCGTAATCTCTGCTCTCGCGCATCTTCAGCGCCTGTCAAGGCTATGCATGCAGCACACTTTTGCTATTTTCAAAGAGGTCAGGAAGAGACGTCACGACTGGTGTCATTGCGGGAAAATATACCTGGCAAGCTTGCAATTGCACGCGCTGCCCACACGAGCAACACGCGCTTGGTGGCCCGAAGATGTTAATATGATGTCATGACTGGTTGGAGGTTTTTCGTGTCCCATTTAGTTACATCTTCGGGGAAAACAAACGTGATATTTAGATTCACGGGATACAATTATGCCAGCATTCACCTCTAACTCGTTTTTTTCAAGAAGTGTTTCAGCTTCCCTTTAAACCCTGTTCGACGTATTTATACTTCTCTTTTTTATTATGATGGTATTTTTTAAGTTTCAAGATGAACCAACAGGTTTAATAAAACACATAATGAGAATTTTTACCCCTCTCCACTTCTTATTTTTTTCTAGTCTAGCGTGTCTACAATATACCCCGAAATGAATGTCACCATAGCAATGGCGTGGTGAGGAAATATTTCCTGGGGGGGGGGGGGGGGGGCTTTGTTTCATTTTTGCGTGTAGTAGTCAAAGTACTGTACAATTCACGGGTACGAACACGGCCATCCCCAAACCCCTGCTGGCTGAAACAATTTGGTAATCATTCAACATGTGTCTCCCCTTGCCAAAAAAAAAAAAAAAGATAATTGGGGGGGGGGGGGGGGGAATTACTTTCTGCCTATGCCACTGCACAATAACCACCGACTTGAAAAGACAATAGCGTGTAAAAAATTTAGAGGTCCAAGAAAAATAAGCTACGGAGAAACGATTTCTAATTACAGGAGTATTGTCTTGCTGCAATGAAATATCTCAAGTTCGCACGTGCAAAGCTGCTTAAGGTTCATGTCGCAGAACTTGCCTCTTCGCCACAATTTGATCACATCTATACTAGTATACTCAGCTCAAGAACCGTAGTAAAAAAAAGTTTGGCTCTTCACGAAGCATTACTAATTTCCCTCTTTCTGTGTTGAATTAAGGTATACTTAGGTGCATGTCAGATTTGATTTCTGTTATTTTATCAAGATGTACACGTTTAAAATGCCACAAGCATTGTTTCTTTCTTTGACAACCAAACTTTGCAAAGGCTACTTCACACAGCGCATGAATAATGTGAAAAACTTCCTTCTTCCTGGATGTAACAACGAGTGCAATAGATCTACTAACTATAATGACCTTATCATATGTATGCAAAGCAATGTAGTGAGTGCTGCATTTCCTATTGTGCAATGTTTGTTGTGAGCAAAGAAAGCTACAGGGTGGCGTCAACAGTTGTGTACACCGGAAAAACAAGCCAGAGAAGTCGGCCCCTGCATGTGAGCTAAAATTTTTGCCCGACATGAATTTTACTGGACAGTTTTCTCTCGTGAAATTTCTAGGCATGTCTGTTTCGGTAAAAAATAAAAATCACTGGAAATTTCAAAACTAACTAGGTGGTTTTGGGCTAGTTAGTATTTATTGATCATGTAGAAACACTTTCCGTTCTTTCTGTTTCAAGTGATAAAAACTTAGTTGCCAGTCACCGTTTGTCCTGTGTGCATGTTGCTTTTGCTCCGTCCGTGCTTTTTGCACTGCTTCTACATTACGATCAATGAAACTTCTAAGTGTTTCACTGTATGGCTATCATACAGCTAGTGATGCATGACATCATGGTTGTTGTTTAGCGCATTAAACAAGCAAACTGTAGGTGACAATAAAAGAAATTCAGAATTTTTTTTTTCTACGAATTACTTGAATATGATTCTAGTAGTGCATCAAAAAGTTTGGGGCACTTTTACTAGCAACTGCCCACCAAAACTATATTTGGCGTCAACAATTTTGTGCTAGGCTGTCAAAGCTAGCATAGCGTAAAGGGCCCCTGAAAAGATAGAAAAAAAATTTTTTTAAACAACCTGGCTTGGGACATGCGTGCAAAAAAATTAAATTCACTCGAAAAAAGAAAAAAAAACTTTCTTTAGAGCATTTTTTACGGTGCGAGACACGATTTAGTTGATGGTCACCGCCTTTCCACTTGTTTTCTCTCTCGGCATTTCGGGTGCGAGGAGAAGAGGTAGATCGGCTTGGCCATCACATTGAGGTGGAGAAAGTGTATGATTATCTTGTTGAGATGGAAAGAGAGTATGACCATTCCATGACATGATGGACTTAGCCCGCAGAATTTAAAATAAATCTCGCGCCATCAATATTGCTCTTAATTTTTTTTTTTTTTCACGTAAAATTAATGTTTTGACACGCATGTTTCAGCTAAACTGCTAAAAATATTTTTTTTTCTTTTTAGGGGCTTTTGAAGTGCTGCAGCCCTGCAGTGCTGCGAGATCATCCCATCCCAGTGCTCACACGGGAAATTTGACAGAGTTAAAGGCTACACTAGCCTTGACAACATAGCACAAAATAGTTGATGTTGAGCATAATCTGTAACGAAGCATGAATATCCAGCTCAAGTGCAGATTTCGGAATAGATTTTGAAAGGCAAGGTGCCGTTGTAGGAGTATTTGTTTTAGAAGTATGTTTTATTTCTGAACAGAGTGGCCACTCTTCCTTCATCATCCCACATTGTGAGAAATGTCTCTTACAGACTCTTTGATACATCAACAATTGTTTCCGCTTATGCTAGATATTTAGAAGCATATTATATTTCGGTACAACTAAAATAGATTTTAAAAAAAGGTGCAAATAGGGCACGCAACTAAGGCAAGACAGGAAATCTTACAGAATATTAATTAGCGCCGCTTGTACCGCTTTTTTTTTTTTGCGCTATTTTTATTGTATTTATAAGCTACATGCTCTACGGTAAAACTCGTATATTTTCAATAGCGAAACCACTCGAAAAAGATGAACTACCATACAGTTCGGCAGACCGACACCAGCTGGCAAATGATTCACCCTGTCGATTCTAAACATCCCACATACCAGAGCCGACGCTCTATAAATACCAAAGGCTACACTTCAGCACATCACAGCCGATCTCGGTTGTTCTTTCGCATTGCTTCCAACCAAAATACGAATAAACCTGCGCGTTTCGGAGAAGGCTGTTTCGGCCACGACCAACTCTGGTTTCAGCTAGACTCGGACAGTATGTTACCTGCTTCAAGCCGCAAGCGAACTTCGGGATGGGACAAAAGTTCCAAGGATACTCTCGCTATCTTCTCGGGGAGATCCTTGTCGCAGAGATGCTGGGCCGACCGGAGGTGGACGACGAGGGCTTTGATGCCGAGAAGAGCGCCGAGTTTCGATTCCCACGGAGACGTGGGATCTTCGAGGATTCCGAGAAGTGTCGCTTCAAGGCTCCTGATGTCAGCGCTCTTCGCGCACGACAAGTAGCGCTGGATTTCTTGCAGACCGCGATCTCGCTCAAGCTTGGTGCCGCTGCAGAGCAACTTGAGGGCGTCGGCAGACATCCTCCGTCCAAATCTGACGCATACGTGCTTCGCAAAATCGCTGCTGTGATCGGAATTAATGAGAAATTCCACCGACGCCACAGAGACAGCTGATGATGTCCATATTGCCCATATGACCGGACTTGGGGTGCGTTCGTTTGCTCCGTATCTTATTCTGACAAACCAGAAGGTTTGTCAAAATAAAACAAGTAACGTTATTCTAATGGCAGATTGCAATCTACTGAATAATGTAGCACGTGTATAAAACAAAGACCTCTACAGAACTTTAATTTACAGCTAAATCTAAAGATCGAAGCACCAAAAGGACCAAAATTATAAAGTGACGTCATTGCCAAGACTGGAGTTTTATAATTATAATCGAACATGTATAGAATAGAGTTAGTAAGGGTCATAAGGGTTGCAATTATATAACTCCAGCAACGGCCCCTCAACCTCGTCGAACGCCAGCCAGATAATAATTTTACATCAAATGACAAACGTTTCTTTTCTTCTGTATAATATGTTTAATTAGAGTATTCAGGTTTTATTTTAGGATTTTTTTGAGTTTCGTTTAGTGTCCTGATTTATGAGTCTTCTTATCGTCTGGCTTGCCTGGTTCAAAGGGTTCAACGGTTCTAAACATGAGCGATATGGGTTCGAGATTTGCAGTGCTATTTGAATCAATGGCGGCAGGCGGGACATAAAGGTTAGTTTTATTATTTATACGATTCGTTCGTGCACCTCGTCAACGCTGCAAGCTCGACAAAGCATCGCACAAATGTCCTTCTTCGTGGACAAATTTATTATCCGCGTTGACAGTGTGTTGGCGCCGTAAACATAAAGCCAGTTTTCCGGGACGGACGTCACAGGTTAGGCCTAAAACTGACGGTAGGCTTAGCGCGCTGCGCTCCAACTTTGGCGTTTAAATTGCGTTCTTTCGCCGTGTGACGCCTCGAATGAACGTAATTAACGTTTTCACGTCCGTCTGTACTAATCACGCGCTTTGATTTACAGTCACGTAACGTAAGTATCGGACTACGAACTATGTGTCGTTCTTTGTTGTCGCGATTTGCCGAACTTGTTTATCCATGGGGCATCTTTTAAAAGCGCCGCTTTTATTGTTGTTTAAAGGGACATTCGACTTCTCTTACAAAACAAGACCACCTGTCGTCTCCGTGCAGTTTATTTTTCGTCGTGTAGTCGTCATTATCTTTCAAACCGACGAACGTTTGGGGCAGACCAGATTTTGTCTTGCGCATAGGCGGCCGTTATTTTACTGCGTTCTTGGGTCCGACGACTCTTGGAGCCGTGCGGCCGTGTATTTGCCCCAAAAATGTCACGACCTCCTTTTCTATTTTTTTTTTATTATTTTCGAACCCCACCGTTCTTGTTGGAGCAGCGCTCCACTTTTGGGGGCAGCAGAAATTTGCAAGTTGCAAAGAAACTATACAAAAAGCAAAAGAAGTGTTGGTTCCGATCACTGCCTTCTCGTCTCAAGACGGTTGCTCGTTACGGCATCCTGTTTGTTCTATCCGCGCGCCTCAAAGACGTGCGGTAGCTGTCTACGTGTATTTTTCTTGACGTTCTTCTTTTTGATGCCACCCGACGGCTTTTACAGCGCGTTCAAATGCGTCGCTCAAAAATCTCTGGCTTGCGATCGCGGGTACTGTCATTGCGACTGTTTTAACTGTAGTAGCAGGTTGAAAACGGCCGGTGCTTCGCTTTTTGATGCACGGCCACTGGTACGCACTCGTTGCTTTTCGCGGTGCTTTGGTTCAGTGTGCACGTTCTGAGCTCGCTGGAGACGACACAACCGAAGATCCTCCCTGTCGTTCTCATCCTTACAATGGGATGATTTATCAGAGCGACCGTTTTGTTTCTTTTTTCGTAACTACTATGTGACCTTGTTTTGTGGTGTTGCTCTTCTCTTGTGCCGGATAGGTGTTTGGCTCGCCGACAGCAAAAAAAAATTCTAGCACATACCTGTTCCTGTGTTTCGAAGATGCCAAAGCGGAATGCCTCCAATGGACCGCCGGTTCCCAAGAAGAAAGGTGGGTGGAGCATGACTTGGGCTTTGTTGGCGTTGCATGCTTGGCATCTGTGCCCTATTGCGGCCCCATGCAAGCATTCTTTTTTTAAATTTCTATAATTGCCCGTTTTGTCTTCCTTCTATAACGTTATGTGCATTTCTTACGCCGTCTTACCCATCCGTAATGCTCAGAGTTGTCCATTTTCAGTCTCAATGTTTATTTATGCTAGATTAAAGTGACCATATTCCTTGGGCCCCAAAGCAGAATGCATATGGGGGGGGGGGGATTTTGGTAAGAAATTACATCTTTTTTATTATTTCATATGCACCGTGCACATTTCCTTAAAATTTGCATACACATGCACATCTAATACATTTGGTTGGAATATTTCTTTAGTATTAATGTATTTATTTTTGTAGATACAATGTCCATGCAAATTAACCTTCAACATCAGCATCTTCTCTTGCAAGCATATCTTGCCCATTGATCACGGAAAGCACCTTTTCACTGGTGTGACCCTTTCGTTAAGCCGCGTCCTTTATCTATTTACGGTTTGGGGGAGCCTTAGTGAGACAAAGCATTGTCCCAGAAGCACGCTGGCGGGACAGTAGGACTTGTCCCGCCTAAATCGGGACGTCTGGTCACTTTATGCTAGATCCTCTTCAACTGGCACAAAGTGTGCATGCATGCCTTGACCCTCCGTGACCAGTTTAGAGAGAAAGGATGACCATTATGGGACGTCCTTTTCTAGTACTGTAATTACACAAGCTGTCCCAGCTGTCGTTTTGCCAAGGGTAGTCGGGACTCAACTGAGAGGGTGCTGCATGACTATTTTGCTCCTAGTCGAAAGCAGTGTGAAACTAAGCCTGTTTTACATGACGTAGCTGTTGTAAATATCAAAAGTAGTTACAAAAATCCTTTAAAGGGATACTACAATAAAATTTCAGCACTTATTTCTTAGTCTATACATGTTCAAAGGAGCAGTATCACATCGGACACACCGATTTCTTGCTGAAAGAGGCATAAAAAGGAATTTTAAAACAAATTAAACGATGCAGCAAATTGCACCTGGTGGATGTCACTAAAGCCTCGTTTGTAATGCTATGTCTAGGAACCTTGGCAGATAGTGACATTGTCTGTCTCGCCTTGAACCTGATGTCATCCTGTCAGCTGTCCAGCCGGGGGAGGAGGAACTCCCCTCTTGCCGGGACTCTTTTGCGTGTCCCAGACTTGCCCAGACGTCGCTATTGACCCTCTACAGGATTATAGAAGATTAACCCGTCACTCACAAAATGAGGAATTTTTTTTGCAGTAAAAAGAAGGTAAAAGGGACAGGCAGCGTCTGTGACTGATAGAGACGCTGTCTGTCCCTGTTACTTTCACTTCAACTGTAAAAAATGTCCTCCTCCTGCCCCAGTTCTCGGTTAAAATAATCCTTATGTTCAACTTCCACCAGCTCACCTGCGCACTGACCGTAAATTCATGAATTATATCCCACCTATTTCTGAACACGACGGATATATTTCAAATTTCGTTGAAATATTCCTTTAAAGTGATGGTGAACCGAAATTTGGATTTAAAAAAAAAACAATGCAGGAGATGTAGGCGGGACGCTACAATCCCTACAACACTGCTCGTAAGGTTTTTGAAAAAGAAGTCGAGATTGAACCAGACTGACGAGGCGCGTGACGTCAAGATACCTAGTTTCCTCCTCCCTTCGCTTTGCTCCCTCAAGGCCGCGAGGAGGAGAAGACGCGAGGCCGTTCCCTCTCCTTCTCGGAGAAACATGACGTCAACATTCCTGCCAAATGCGCCTCTTTTTTGAAAAATACAGTCATCCGTTTAAGGTATCGCTGTATGAGTGATGTTTTGGTGTTTGTAGCATCCCGTTGAACGCTTTTGCCGCGTGTTTTGGGGAATCCAGATTTCGGTTCAGCATCCCTTTAAGAGCCAGGAGACGTCTTAACTAAAATAAGTGTGTCGACTTGACAAAACATACGAAACAAATTCATGAGACTTTCTGATTTTCATGCAGGAGGCATCATCAGTGTGTGCACACCCAAATACGAGGGTCTTTCTTGAGATAAACCCTTGGATTTAATGTGCATGTACTGATGTCGCATCATGAGTGAGAAGCAAAATGTCTGATTAATTTGTTCTGACAAGTTGGCATACTTATTTTTTTTTTTTTTTTTTGTAGTAAAAGTACAGGGTCCCATTAATAAAATTATATGCAGTCTTTTTTTTTTTTCTACACAAATAATTTATCTACTGCAGAAAGTTGAAACACCGCAAGAATGCGACGCTAGCGGTGATGACAAAATGTGAAAGTTTGAGAAAATGACGTTATCTGAATCAAAAGACGCGAGAGAGAAACGGAATTTCTCTATGAGCCAAGGTCCACCTACATCTAATATTCATTGAGCCAAAAAATGACGCTGTGGGCACCAGTAGCAATAATTTTGGTGAAAAAAAATACCCGTTAGAAAGTCATTATTGTTTTCTTTCTATCTGACAAAGTGTTTTCACAAAGTCAAATGCTGCCGGCACCCTCAGTGTCATTTCTGAATTCGGTGAAGGTTGGGCTTAGGCAGGCGTTGGAGGACAAAACTTCTCGTCATCTTCCGATCCAGGTTCTGAAACTTCCGCATTTCGTCATCGCTGATGGCGTCACATCCTCGCAAAGTTTCAGCTTTCTGCGACGCAGAGTAAATTCTTTTGTTTCGAAGAAACCTAGTGTCATTTTCTTGATTGGCCAGCATAGGTTAGTCATAGATGTACCCTTTGCACAAGCTTTTAACACGAGACAACACACATTCCTCTCACTTTAGAGAATAGACGTTTGACGTGAATTTGAGCACGAGAGACGTCGGTAACGGCCACGTCGTAAGGCGGTTCCTTCCCCGTTCTGCAACCCGACGGGATTGTCACGGCGGTTGCTCCGTTGCCCAGACATGCTGCTCGGAGCAATGAGTGTCTCATCTACGTTTCCTTCGCACTGCTCTTATGTCGTACAAAAGACTCGAGTGTTTGGTGCAGATATGACAAGCATGTTTTCTTCGTGCATGTGACACTCTAGCTTTGTACCTTAAGCGACGTCTTGTGAGCTTCAAGTGAGCACGCTCAGCCGAAGCCTGACGGGAGGCTGGGCGTTTGGAAGAGACGCCCTGCAATTCTCGTCGTGCTTGTGACTGTAGGGTGTAACAAATGATAGTATTGAAACCTGTGGGCTGAGGATTGGTGCAAATTTGGACGGTTTGGGTGTGTCCGGCTTAAAGGGAAGCTGAAGAGCTTTTCGAAAAAAATGAGTTAATGGTTGATTCCGACGCGTTTTTGCCTGCTGAGTCCAAATATCACAACCATTTGACCCAAAATAATCCCTAAACGCAAAAAAAAGCGAAGAAATCGGAAGCGATCACCGCAGCGGCACGCCATTGGCTAGCCACGCGTGACGCGCCACTACGTCATAAAAGGACCATCTCGATTCTCGTTTGCTCCGTCGCTTGCGGAAGTAGCCGGGCGCCGGGTCTTCTGCTCTTGTAAATCGGGTTCGGCTTCTGATTTTTCGAAATCTTCCGGTGGATCCGAAAGAGGAATGTGTCCAGACGACCCTCGACGTGACATAGTACGCGTTTCTGCCTTTGGCGAAGTAGGAAAATGACTCCCCGCAGTAATAAACACTGAGACGAGGAACCGCTTGCGCGGACGCGAGCGACATGGCCGGCTTTGTACCTTCAGGAACGTACTGACCGCTACTTATTGTAACCTAAAACGTTGACAATAAACGGAGTGCTATTGACGGGACGCCTCAAGCCGGATTAGCGTGACCCTTCCCAAAACGGTCGTCAGAGGACAGGAATTCTGCACACATCGGCCTTCGTGCTTGCCAGCTGCTGGACGCGTGAGCGTGCAGACTGCATTGTTCATCAAGGCTGAAGTAGTTTGAAGGGATAGTATAATCGGCTTCGGGCGACGGGAGAGCTTCCCCTGAGATGAGACGGGTGATAAGATTGGGTCGCCGTTCTGCCAACGCCATGTCCCTGGGCACTATGCGTATAACTGCGCGAAAGGTCCATCCTTGTCATAGCAGTACCCTTTGTTGCATTTAGTTTGTTTGCTGCAAACTAAAGCGGAGATGTGTGCCCGCACCCCTTAATTTTATGTCGAATTCGTTAAAGCTTCCTTGGCCTCTACATTCGTATACTTTTACCAAGATTTGTTGACTGCATCACACCGCCACCAGGCATTATTATTGTCCGATCGCATTTCTACTGCACAAAGAATTGTTGCATTACACAAACTTTATGCGGAAAACACTGCGTAACTTGTAAAAAAAAAAGAACTCAATTCAGAACAGAAGGTCACATGCTTTGTATTTCCACAAGGCTCTCCTGAAGAGAATATGAATCTTTGGAAGGAAAATTTAACACAATTTAGGTTTACGTTTAAAAATTATGTGACCTCAAATAATGTGAGCAACTGTAAAAAAAAACAAAAACAAGTTTATGCTAAAACAAGTTGCACCGTGAAAGTCGCATTATGAATTGCATGACTACTTATTAGAGCAAGCCCTCCTCTCCCAAGTGACTGGGTAGCCGAGTAGATTAAAAGCAAAAGAAAATAATCTTGGGCTACCCAAGATTGTTGTCTTTTGTTTCCCAGATTTCCCGGACCGAAGTCGGTCTGGAAAATATGGTCACTTCAACAATATAAGAAACCAACACTAAACACTAATATAAGGCGGTTAACACAACAGAGCGAATAGAAACCCGCTATTCGGCTAAATGATCGCGGCTTTTCTAGCACACTGCACAATTCTAATAATGTAATAGTTTTTTTCTAGAACAGTCGACCTACAATTCCTAGCCAGTTACGTTTCCTCTTGGCTTCTGACTTTTAATGCGCTGAATTGCCTTTGTACTTTCAAAGATGGTCGGCAGAGCGTCGGATTCAGGCGAGCCTTCTTCAGACCCAAACCCATACATACATAGTTTTCATATGCGCCGTCCGAAACACATTTCGAACAAAAAACGGTGCACTTGCTCAAACCCACCCACCCCTTTAAAATCTGGTGACGAAGTGGAAAAGACAGTAAGCGGGAAGAACAATTGCGACGAGCGCTGTTCGTGAAAGTTGGTGGCTACACAGGAGTACGGCATCGTGCAACACAGCACGAGTCACTTGGTTCGGTGCCACGAGAATTTCGCAAACCCGTGAACAAACAAGAAAACAAGTCAATAGCATGACCACTCAAGGGATAAAAGCAAGCGCTATGCAGCGGCAGAACGACGACGGCTCGAAAAGACACTAGCAGCTACGAGGAAAGCGCGGCCATCCGCGGCGGGGTCCCCCAGCCGGTCCTTTTGTGACGCCGGCTGTCGGGCTTCCTCCTCTCTCCCCTTTCCCTCTGCTTCGGAGAGGCGTGGCTTCGGCGCTCCTTTGAAGGCGCTTTTCCGGTTAATCCGCGCAGAAAATGACCAAACGAATACGATATTCGTGATGGGTGAGGTCTCGTTAACTAGGTTCAGGTGTTTTTTTCTCATATTTAAAACCACTTCAGCTTCCCTTTAATGCTTTGCTTGACTGAGGCGATTTAAAACCCTGTTTCGTGCATCTTTCAGTTGTATTGGGGAATTAGGGAGGCCTTGTGGCCGTCGTGAGGCCTAATAACTCAAAGGCTCGCTTGGAACGGGCAGGAAGGAGGTGTAGTGTACCTTCGAACGAAGGAAATGTGCCGGGGATCTTTGGCCGAGACAAATCAGAGATGGAGGAAATTTGTTAAAATGCTCGGGCACTTGGGTCACTTTCGACGTGACTTGTAACACTGACCCTCTCGTCTTGCTCTCGGGTGTATGTGGTTGCTTTGTGAAACTCCCAGGATTACTTTACGGAACCCCCCGGTACTGATTAGCCTGTATAGTCTCTGGCGGGTACCTCGTAGGGACCCTGGGTGTTAGTCTGTGGAACCCCCGGGGTTACTTTACGGAATTCCCGTACATTACTGGAGTTGGCTTTATAAAAACCCCGCAGTTACACAAGGTAGCCCTTGTGGTCGCGGATGTTAGCTCCATAGAATTCCTTGGGTTGCACGGTGGGACCCTAGGGTTATTGGGACTGGAACCCAGTTTCAGGATCGATGTAAGACGGTTTAAGGTACGGAGGTTGAGGGAGAATGACCAGTAATGGCATGAGAATTGTGCGTTTCTCCGATGGCAGGGACGGGACAGGCGCGCGTTGGCGCCAACGGGCACCGTCTACCGGAGCGCCTCCCGGCCGGAGAGGTCCTCACGGACGTGACCAAGCGCCAGTGGCGGCTGGGCAAGGCGGTCGGGCTGGGAGGATTTGGGGAGATCTACCTCGGTGAGTGGCGGCTCCCCCCTCCTCTGTCCTCGTTTTGCATGGCGGCGGCGTCGCGCCGCTTGTTGCTTTGCGGGACACGTGTGGGAACGGCGCTTCTCTTGCTCAACCGGCGAGGCACGTCGGCAACGGGGGCACCCCAGCACGTTGCGGAACTCGACGTGAGTTTGGAACGAGGGTCTCGGTGGTGCAAAGAAGTGTCTTGTGTCGTAGAGAAGTTGTTTACTCGTTTTCGTGCAGTTGTACAACAGCCGTGTTTGTGCCACTTTCTCACGTCGTCTGTCGCCGAGGGGAAAGCAGTTCTTTGTGGGGTGGTGTGTGTGGATGTGTTTTTCGTTGCTTTGTTGCTTCGTTTCAGGAACTGCTCTCAGGAACACGGGAACTTTGTTTGTCTCCTTTGTCATTTCACCAAGTTGCTTAAAGAATTGTTTTTTTCTTTTCGTTTATTAAAGTTTTTTTGGGTCTTGGAAGAAAATCATTGCTTTGAAGGTGCTTTGGATCCTGTGCAGAATTAGCATGATCCTCCTCATTTCTTTAGGGGCGGCGCAATGAAAAATGTATTAATGTTCAGATGCTCCCGTGTGCACACAGTTTCTGAAATCTCATTCTTGTGCCTCGTACAAGTGTTCCTTGCAAACATTACCTCGTGCGGACTACTTAAGAAAACGCGTTGGACGATTCTACGAATTCGACACGAGTGTCGGAAGGACTTCCTCCTACGTGGCTCCCCTGTGTCACATTTTCCGTGCAGCTGGCTCTTCGAGACTTGCTCGGAACGAATCGCTGTACAACCGTCGTCATCCTTGCTTGGTCAATAAAGGTTGCTGTGGTTCCTTTCGTCCAATCATCCGACCCGGTGGTTGTTGTCTGCTCATTTTGGGCGCCGTGGTTTCCCCTCGTATCTCCTTGCGTCGAGTCCCGGAGAATTCGGATGGCTCAGACCCCGGAGGTCGGAGGAAACCGTCGACGAGCGTCGGTGCGCTCTTGCAACGTCGTGCCCTTGGCCTCGTCGCAATCCCCTCCCCCTGGGCCCCCTCCCCCTAGCCATGAGTCTCGGGTGCGAATGGGCTGACCGTGCGTCCTTTCGTCGTCTTTGCAGCCTCCGACGAGGTCGCCAGTGCGGCGGGACCCGACGCATCGTACGTCATCAAGATTGTGAGTGTTTGGGGATTGCGGGGACAAGTCCTCCCTAAGCTAAAAATTGTAGGGGCAAATCTTTCCTAAGCTGGGGATTGTGGGGACAAGTCTTCGCTAAGGTGGTGATCGTGGGGACAAGTCTACGTCGTGAGCGTACTCCAGAACGTGACGAGTTTTGCCTCAGTGTTCTCAGCCTACGCTTTAGGTGCTTCGAGAGTTTGCGAAAGCTTTGCCGTGCAGATCGGCGTTTGTAGTTTGCAAGGCTGGTTTACACATTTCCATTGGAGTAAGAGCACGCTAACGCCACCTGTCGGGTGGCCCTGGAAACTAAACTGAAAAGTTTGCACCATTTGCAAGATAAAATCTATGCATTATCTATGTGAAATAGCTGCTTATAACGTCTCCAAAAGTACTTGAAGCCCACGGTGAAAAGGATGATGCCTAAAAATTTAGCAATATTTGGTCTCTTGATGGATGGCACTCTGTTATCTCATCGTAAGCAGACGCGAGCTGTTGCAAAATGGTTTCACGCCATTTTAAAGATTGGGAATACCTTGCGTTCTGGATTTACCCACAGTGCCACGGCTCTTTTGAGGTTGTGCATTAATTCGCTTGTTTCTTTGTCTCTTTAGGAGCCCCACTCCAATGGGCCACTCTTTACAGAGATGAACTTTTACCACAGGGTTGGCAAGGCTGAGCAAAGTAAGTAAAAGACTTCTTTTCTTTTTTTCTTTTTTTTTTTTTGTCAAGGCATGCTTTTTTGTAATTTGGTACGACATGAAGCGCATGAGTATTGAGAGAATGGGAATGTGCAAGCTACAGTCTGCCTTTAATAAATGCCGCAAATCAATTACCTTGCTTCGGTGTGGCCGAGGATAAACTGCAGCGATCGTGAAGAGCTGGGAAGAGGGTGAAACGCACTGGGGACAACTTCCATAAACTTGTGGAGTTTGGCACTTTTTCGTAAGCGCATGGTGTTTATAGGGCTAGCTCTTGGCACGCTCATGTCCGTGGCACGTAGCCTCAGTGGAGACACTCTAATGATGTTACGGTGTTCTTGTGATGTCATCAGCATGATAAAAAAAAAAAAAGCCGTTTACAACTCCCTGTAACGCCGAATTGGAGCGCAGCTCTTGAGGAGGGGGGGCGGGGGGGGGGGTCACGTGACCTCAGAGGGAGGTCATGTGGCCTGGGGGTCACGTGACCTTGGGGGGGGGGGGGGGGGGAGTCACGTGACCTTGCGGTTACGCCGACGCCGCTCAAGCTGGAAACGGGCGCCTTAGAACTGCGCTATAAAAATTACCCTCTGCAGCATCACGTAAACACAGTGTTCACGTGACATTATCGGCATGACTGTCGTCGAGTGACTCCATGGTCTTGCGTGACACCATGATGTTAGGTGACTGACATCACAGTATCTGTGGTGAATGCTATGCATCTAGAGTGCCTCCAAAGGGACACTGGAGTGGATCCTGGGGTCATCTATTAACGGGGAGAACTCAAATCTGCAGGCTCGAAGCATACTAAAAAAAACACAACATTATAACTTGTGGGTGGCCGATTTCTTTAATAAAAACCGAATCAAAGGTTTTGACACGCCCTTCAGGTGCCAGGGGCGGTTTGCTCACCTCGCGGCCGCACTTTCGGCCAAGAGAGATTTTTAAGATTGCGTTGTCAGCTCCTTGGGTACATGGAAGTACCTAACGTCCCTGTTTAATGGCAGAAAAATCCGTGTCGCTTAGAGTGCGAAAGTTTAACTTCGCTCGCAGAAACTGACTGCAAAGGCTTTTAACTAGAGTCCGGTTAACCGCCCCTTTATACTTTAGAAGCGACAGGCAAAGTTACGACCAGAGCGGGTAAATATGTGTCAAAATAAAGGAGAAACCACGAGAGATAAAAGCGCCAGTGACACGACACAAGCCGTTTTCGCTGTAGTCGGGGGGGTAGCCGGGACTTACCGTCGTAGCACGAAAGTTCTGGGTTCAAATCGTGTCATAATCTTTTTTACAAATAATCCCCTTGCTCAACTGTGCCTTACACGGTTTTCATTGTTTGTTCCACCTGTTGAATCAATACACCGGAAGAAACAAAAAAAAAATAAGGGGGTTTTCGATCAGATTGGACGTGCAATGTTTTCTCATTTTACTTGAGTCTTCAAGTGACACCTCAAAGCAGACGAACCGCATTGTTCACTCGCATTGGAGGACGAACCGTGTACGAACGCCATCTCGTCTCGCTTTGCAAGAGCCGAATTAGATCTCGCCTGCGCGGCGACCTGAATCGGACCTTCAGGGCGGAAGCGTGTGCGTTGTGTGGGTCCCGCTGAGCTCGTTTCTTCCGTGGCATTCCCAGTCAAGGCCTGGGTGCAGAAGCACAAGCTGGACTACCTGGGCATGCCCCAGTTCTTTGGTACGGGCTCGCACGAGCACAAGGGCGTCCGGTACCGGTTCATGGTGATGGAACGCTTTGGGGAGGACTTCCAGAAGGTGCTGGACCGCAACAGCAAGACCCTGCCCCTCAAGACCGTCTTCGAGGTCGGACTGAGGGTGGTGAGTGGAGACGCATTCTTCGATGCATTGTTGGTACAGTAGAGAGTTTTTGAGGTGTGTACGAGGTGAAGAAAAGTAATTATGCGAGCTTGTTCTTTGATAAACTTGGCGGAGAAACTGAGTTTCTTTGTTGGCCACTTGACGTCAGTTTTCCCCTCCAAATGTAGTGGAAAAACTGTGTCGGTGTTTAAGTCACGTGATATCAGTTTTCCCATTGTATTTGGATGGGGGAACAGGATTATTATATTGGCCATGTGACAACAATTTTCTTTGATGAATTTAGCCGGGAATCTGGATTGGTGTTTAGGTCTTGTGACATGAAGTCACGACATCATTTTCTTCGCTAAATTTAGAGGGGAAGTTGGATTGTGTACAGTTAAACCTGGATGTAACAAACCTGTATACAACGAAATCCTTTATTTAACAAACTTTTTCAATTCCCCGACGCGATCTTCATGGAAGCGCTTGTATTTGTGAACTCCATGTAACAAAGCGCTTGCACTAGATAACCTCGATTTAACAAACTCGCTCTGTCGCAATCTCTATTTTTTTTTTTTTTTTTTTAGATTTAGGTAATTTTGATTTGTTTGATATTTTGGACCTAAATGCGGAACCGTGACTTACCCCATAGAAATAGTGTGTATTCACGACTAATGTTTCGAACAGCTTGAAGTCCGAAAGTTTGTTTATTCGGACAAAATCGTCGCAAGCGATCAGTGGAAGACACCATCGAGTAGCGGCCATTTTGAATTCTATGTTGGCTGCAAATGGATTGGCTTGGTTTGGCAGCGCTACTGGCGCTACTTGAGTACTCCCAAGTCCAACCGCTAGGTGACGCTATGCTAGCCCTTTTTTTTTTCCATTTTGCTGCACGTCATCATCATTATTATTAGTGATGGGACGAATCACCGGAGATTCGGATTCGCCTAGATTCGTAAATTTCCGAACTTCCCGCGACGAATATTCGGCAGATTCGTCAGATTCGTCATTGGTTGCAGATGACAGCGTGAGCCTTGTCGTAAACCTCGCGAGTGCGGTCAGTTCTGCTTTTTCTAGGTACTGTTACTGCATATAACCAGATTTCGTCTTGTTTATATCAGCGTATGGTATGTACTGTACTGTTAATCTAAACCCCGGCACTCGCCCAGGTTCAGCCGAGTTGATCGGTGTGGTTGCCGTAGGCCTAATCAATGCGCGGTCTCAGTTGCTGTGCGGTTTCGCGGTGATCGATAAAATGTAGCGAAATGCTGTGTATTATACATAATGTGGCGCAGTGCACAATAAATATATTCAGGCAAGGGAATGATTCGTCTCCTTCTCTAGAGCTGCGTATGTCTGTACCTTTAAGGGGGGACATGGGCCTAAATTTTAAATTTTTTTGAAAAAATTCATTTTTCAATTTTGACATTTTAAGTTTTAGAAACTAATTATACACCCTTACACCAAATTTGATATCCATACGCCAAATATTTACATTGATATAAAATATTTTCAACACATTGTGAGGCAGTAACAAAGTAAAGGAGTTCAATGTTTGAATGCATTTTTCTCAGTTCCACTTTTTGCTGCAAACTTCATACGAAGGAATCTATTGTTCAAAGGTGAAAGTATTCTGATACCACAATCAAGATGTTTCTGAACTGAAATTTACTGGGGAATTGGGCTATCTACTTTATTTTGTTTTAAGTTGAATTCCTCAGTGATAAAAAACTAAGTTTTCAAAAATTGACATAGAACAGATATGCATCTCGTATTTTGAGGTAATAACTTTTCCTGAAATTTTTACATTTGAGTTATTAAAACTAGATAGCCCGAGGTCCCATATTCCCCACTTTATATTCAAGCAGTCAAAACGGTGCTTAATAGCTTCATTTGCATATCATAGATTTCTTAATGAAGAGTGACACATCACCATCTGCAGGTATGTAAATTTGTCCTAGAGAGCTGAAAGTTTGCACAATACACCTACATCTGAAGCTAAATCTCCCCTGCAAATTTCATTCCGATCACTTGAGTAGTTCAAAAGTTCGACCTCTAGCCAGTGTCCCCCCTTAAGGCGCAAGAGCGAGGTGAATGTTGCTCGTCACAACTTCGACCACGTACCGGTGGCGAAGGAAAACGTCGCACTGTCGTTTCTCCGTTCGCGAAAGTAAGTTTTGTGCACGTGAACTTTACTTTATGAAAAAGGAACACACCACAGGGGTGTCCAACGTAACTTTATTGTTCGGAAACAAACACTACCTCAATCGGATATCATTAACCAGAAAGACTGTAATAGTACGGCGCAAGGAGTTTCAGGTTGTTTCCCGTGTTTCGCTAGCAATACCTCAGTGGACACGCGTTGAAGATAATCGAATCAAACGTACTCACTTTTGTAGTGCGTGCCACTATGACCGTAATTATGAGCACAAAATGAGCCTGTGCCGAACAGCACGTACGGCATCGATCTCTTGCAGCGATGAAAACATGCGCTTGTATTTCCACGTGCACCAAGCATGCCGATTTTTGTCGTAATCTGGAACCGAAACCAATTTTCCCGCGATGTCTGGCTACTGCTCTCGACAAACATCCAAAATAATATACACAAAACGGAACATTTTATTTATTACTATAATATTATATTATCTTATTATTTTGTGCAGTTTGTAAAATTTAGTGAATTTAATGTCACGAAAAGCTGAAACACTCATTAATGGGATCTGGCAACCATGGCAACGCTGCGAATCTTTTTTAACTTTTCCGAATCACTTGAGATTCGGCTACTCTTCCGAATCTTTCCGAATCTTCAGATTTGGATAAAGATTCGTCCCATCACTAATTATTATCATTTTGCTTTTCCCGTTTCTTTGCGTCGCCATTTTGCGCTCGTGGTTTTGTGCCTCTTATCTCGTTCGCACAACGCTGGCTTGGACATCATAGCCCCATCTGTTCTTCTGCCGCCGCGATGTGTCATTAAGAAGAGCAGAAAGTACTCGACCATAACGCTAGAAAAGAAGGCAGAGATTCTCAAGCTAACGGAAAGTTTCCGAACGGAAACGGAGGAATAACCTGAAACAAGGCACTATTTACAGCCCACTTGGAAGTAATAAAGGCAAGTTTTTCAATCTGCTGATTTTTTGGACTGCTCTATTCGGACGTTTTTTCGGTCCCTGCGAAGTCCGAATAATCGGTCGGTGACTGTACTTAAAATGCAGATATATTCTTGTCCAATTGCCACCAAAGGCGAGCAGCCTTTGGTGTCTACCGCGAGGGGGGGGGGGGGGGGGGGTCTTGGGTGCCATCGATGTATTACGTTGGGTCGCCGGCTTGCGACGACAGCGCTCGAAACGCTTTGGTGTCCTTTGAGCGCTGCGTGCTGCCTTCGCTCGCACGAAAGGCACCAGGCAAGCTTACAGACTTCTTTTCCACTAAATAAATGACATGGTGAGTTTGCCCACGTGGATTTTTAATTTTCGCTTTCTTTCCACGTGTTCCTTACGAGTTTTTCTGCGAAAACTGCATGTAACAAAATCCTCCATATAACGAATTATTGCAAACTTTTATCAATTTCATTATATCCAGGTTTAACTATACTGCCTCCAACGTGTCGCACGTTCACAACAAATTTTTTGTAAAAAAAAAAAAAAATTTTGAAAGATGTTTACAAATCTCTGTAATGCGAAATTAGAGTGCAGCTCTTGGGATATTTTGATTTTGCGATGTATCGTGCTGAAGAATTTGAGGAAGAAATACCTATGTGTAAATATAGAGCTCTTCTGCATACATAAATAAATTATATATATATACAGGGTGTTTCACAAAAAATGGACATATTTGATATTGTGAAAACTGCATCGCACCGTAGAAAGGATTGTCGTTTTGCTCCAAGACCGTTGGCCTATTTAGGAAAGTTATTGAAGTTTGGGATAATTAAGTTAATTATTTTTGCATAATTTATTTTTTAAATATTGAGTTTAAGGGCATGGTTTCCTTTGAAAACTTGCTGAACATCATTGAAAAAGACTAAATAAAAAAATTGGAGCACGATAATATGCGCTGCATTTTTCAGCTTTCTGAAAAACGGCATACTTTGACTGGTTTTTAAGTTTCGGTTTGCAGTCAGAGTGCTTCTCAGCATTTACGGTACCGCGCCCCGTGGAGAAATAGTGCAACCAACATCTGCTTTGCTGTTCTCGTGCAACGGAACAAACTGAATTGGTGTTGAGGTCGTGTGACGTCAGTTTTACCGCTAAATTTATCTGGGACACTGAATGCGCAGTGATGCATTATGGGATGTTACAGACCTATACAGTGTAGACCGCATATAACGTATGTCGCGGGAGTCGCGAAAATCCACACTATAAGCGGTACCGCGCTATAACGAAAGCATCAATTTTTCAGGCCATAATACATGCCATGAGACAACTTACCTTTGTAAAAGAATTTATTTTATGTTAGATGAAAAATAAAGCTTAGTTTGAGGAAAGTCTTTATTTCACCAGACTAGTACACTTCTCTCTCAAGTGTGTCACACCTTTTGAAAGAAATGAGCGACTTATGCCTGGCGCAGCCTTCTAACGGCGTCGCGGGTTGCAGACGGACGTTGCGAGCGTTCAGGATTGCTAACCCTAATCACTTCTCCCCATTGATGAAGACGCGTGAAAATTTGCATCCTTTATATGGCACGCCCCAGTAATACGTACAACTTGAGCACAGGCATGAAATGCTCCAAATAAGAAATCCGGGCGATGTTCGAAAACACAAATGCTAAGAAAGCACCACTGTAGTCGAACTAAACAAAGATGACGGCACAAGCGTTCCTGCTCTCTTGAGAGTGCCGCCACGACATCGCCGCACGAGTAGGTGGATCTTCCCTTCTAGTACGTGCTGGGTTATCATAGCGACACACAACGAAAATTCACAGTCAAGGATAGCGCTTTTACGCGGAACGATGAGCTTCCACCACGCTGTCTACGTTGACGATCACAGCCGACGCCATGTTTGCGGATAGAAGAAGCCGGCCCGCGACCGGCATGCAACGCGTGCGAACACTTCTCCTCGACCTGCGATTGGTCTGTCGTTGCGGTTGTTTCCAATGCAGCGGAGGGACGCACGCACGTGAACGACACATGCGTGAGTCCCTCTGTCGCTATGGCAACTGAAGCCTCTCTCTTCGCTTCTCCCCGCTTCTTCAAGCAACCTCCTTGCCCCGCGAGTGCCGCTTGCGGCTAGCACCGTCAGCGCCGTTATCTAGTGTCGCACAGGGAAGCGTGCTCGCTGCGCCAGTCTTTGGCGCATTCGGCGGGCTGTTTCAGAAACCGCACTATAACCGGTATTTCCCTTCGCGCGCCTGCATTTTAAGCGGTATGTAATTATATGGAGTTCTATGGGAGGGGAACCGGTGGTTTAAAAAAAACGGGTTATACCCGGTCCTGCAGTATAAGCGGTTACGTTGTAAGTGGTCTATACTGTACACCAATTCAGTTACTTCGCTAAATTTATCGGGGAATTGAATTAGTGTATAGGTCTGCAACGTCCCATAATGCAACGCTTGCAGTTACGCCGACGCCACGAAACACGGGAACGAGCGTCTAAGAGCTACACTATAAAACAACCCATGAAACACATTTTGTGTTAAAATTAAGTGTGTTTAATGTTACGGATGTCTGAACGTGTCCAAAAGGTCAGTCTACAACTGTACCCCGATTTGTCGAAGAGACTGAGCCGTGCTCCTTTCCTCATTTCATCAGCGTCTCAATGCTTTTTCTCCCCCGGAGTGTTAGTGCCCTAATTCATATCCCTGAGGATCTTCTGATTGCTGCAGCAAACTGAAGCCGCCGCCCCGTTTCAGATTGACGTGCTGGAATACGTCCACAGCTTTGGGTACATCCACGCAGACGTGAAGGCCTCCAACCTCCTGCTCGGCTTCGGCAAGGCAAACGAGAACAAGGTCAGGGGACGCCTTAAATCGATTGTGTCCCGTTTTGACCTCGAGGACTCAATAATGGCAGACTTTTTACGTTCAAAAAACAAAACGTGTGCAGGTGTTTTTGGTGGACTTTGGGCTGGCCAGCCGCTACATCCAGGATGGCAAGCACAAGGAGTGCAAGGAGGACCTGCGCTTCGCCCACAACGGCACCATCGAGTTTACCAGTCGGGACGCACATATTGGTGGTGGGTACCGACACATTAGGCGGCGGGTACCGACGCATTAGGCAGCGGGTACCGACGCATTAGGCGGCGCTAGAGTCACTGAATGTTTTTAGAGCACAGAATTTCATTAAGTCCACTTACCGGAAGTCAATCTCGCAGAATCTAGTTCCGATGGCTGGTTTAGCCCTTGGCGGAAGTTATTACTCGGCCATTTTGGAGATGAGCCCAAAACAACAAAACACGTTTCCGCATTAGCAGGGGTACGGCAGGTACGCACAGGTGGGAGTTCTCGGCATCAATGAGTTATACTCTGTTTCACCTTATGTCTAAGCGCAGCGGATGTTATGAGCCATCAGAGCGAACCCAAGGCCGTGTGAGTGTCATGTGACCTTAAAGAGGGGGCACAGTGACGCACGGAAAGGGTCGCTGTGCCCCCTCTTTACCGGCGCTTTCCCCTTGCCGGTTGTGTACAAAAGAGTGAAAGTCCCGGATGAGAGGCTTGGCCGGTGTTGGGTGTTTGCAGTGCCCGAACTCCATTTGCGCTTTCTTTTCTGTTTTCAACTCTCAAACTTGATTAGAGCCACGTGCTTCGATGGCAACAGTCCCTTGGTCGTCGGGACACCATTGCTCGGTCATAGGGCGCACGAATAACGACAGAAAACGTAGAATACTGTCCGAGGATCTATCTAGCTTGCAAGGAATCCGGCAAGGCGAGAGCGGCTGCAATGTCTCTAAGCTCCATCGCTTTTCACATGACCCCGGTCTCTGGCGGCAGTGGATTGCGTCCGTAAACCGAAAAGACGTTTCCTCAAAGCCATCCTTTCGACTGTGTTCGAAGATTTTGTGAATGGAGCGCCCACCGAACGCTGTACCGCCGATGAACTTGGGGTACACTCGCAAGGGGCATGCGAGTTTTCTCTTGATAATTGCTGTTTCAGCCTGTAAAATTGTGTAACCGAGTTTACCTTAATTGATCATTTGCAGTGGTGACTGACTCTATTTTATTATCTACAACACTTAGTTGAAGGCTCATTTCTGCCGCCGGGCAAGGCTGGAAATTGTTGAAAAGGTAGTTCTATCGGTTTTCGTGAATCGCGATCTCCTGCGCAATACCAGAGAGCCGGCAAAAGCGCTCCTTGGAGTGCCGCTGGTGGGTTGTTTCCGTTGATTGGGTGCTTTGAAGCACTGGATAGTCGCTGCAGGGTACGTCTCGTGTGTTGCGATCTGCGTTTTCGAGCCCAGTGTGCACGTTTCTTTGTTCGAGTCATGGCATCCGCCAGTGCGGCGACGAGGGGAACAGCGGCAGCAAATATACCAGCGATAGAAATTGGAGGTGAGTACTCAAAATATTGCATCAAAAAGTAGTAAAATATTTTGTGGCTGCTTTGAGGCTTTCTGCGGTTCGAAATAAGTACATCTAGAACGTCTTCGTCGTTCATCCACAAGAAAATACAAGAACACGAACATGCAAGGTAAAAGCAGCCCAGCAAAGCGATCTGTAGCAGCTCCGAGTGTTTACACAAATTATTTAAGGTTCCCGTATCGTGTATCGCTTGTTGATTACTAAAAACGGCTACTTCGAAATAGGCTTATTGCAAGCAAAAATTAGTAGTTCATCATTTGCAGTCATGCGGAAAGCGATGGAGCTTAAAAACATTACAGCCGCATTTGCCTTCCCAGATTCCATGCAAGCTACATAGGTCCTCGGTCAGTATTCAATGCTTTTTGTCATTATTCGTGTACCCTATCGTCCAGCAATGGTGTCCCGATGATCGGGGGACTGTCGCCATTGAAGACCATGGCTCTAATTAAGTTTAGGAGTTTGAAACAGAGAAGAAAGCACGAACGGAGTTCGGGCACTGCATACACCCAACACCGGCCAAGCCTCTCACCTGGGACTTTTACTCTTTCTACACAACCAGCAAGGGGGAAAGTACCGGTAGCTTTTTTCCTTTTCCCTCTCGCTCTCAAAATGGCGCTACCCACAATAAAACGGTTCATAGAAGGCACTTTCCAAACCCACATTCTCGAGATTCTTTGAGGCAATTAAATGGGCTAGTCCTAACGTCGGCGGCGCATCCCCAGTACTTCAGTTCGTCCCCAGGGAAAACTTGCCCACGGTGTGAAAATGCCCACAGTGTGACACCACCACCACGAAGCTAGGACCCCGTTAGTGCGGCGACTGCGAGGGTTCGACCCGTTTACCGTCGACGGGACGAGGCACGCTCTTTGCTTGTGGCTTACTGAGTTTTCGGTCCGGTGCGTTTAGCGTTCCATTCTGCCCACAAGCGGTGCCGAAGTGGCTACAAACAATGCAGAATGTCAAGCGGTAACGGAGGGACCATGTTGGGGGACGCAACAAAGGCACCAGGCGGAAAGTCGTTCTGGTCGGCGTAGTTTAAAGGCTGTGTTTTTGGTGCACGGCGGGACACCTGGATGAAGGAAAGTCGTGCGACCGCGACGTTTGGCTTGCAGCCACATCTCGTCGGGACGACCTGGAGATCCTGGGCTACAACATGCTGCAGTGGCTCTGTGGCGCCCTCCCGTGGGAGGACAACCTGAAGGACGTCAACTATGTCAGCCAGCGGAAGTCGTGGTGAGCGGTGCGACGCCCTGCCTGGGACGCCGTTTCGGTAGCTTTCTCGCAGACCGTGGGCGTCGGGCTCGGTTCCCCGAGGTCCGACAGTTCCATAGTTCAGGAATCCAGGCAGTTTTTTTCACGGGAAATTTGTCCCAAACGAGCAACACGCTGGGTGTTTTGCTAGTTTTGTTTTTTTTACTAAAAAACTGTCGTTAACGAGTGTTGTGACGCCATGCATTAGACAACGTTAAAGTTGTCCGACGGGTGATGCTCCACTAGAGCATCACTTGTCGGAGCGGGTGATGCTCTAGTGGAGTCTGCAATGGTGCGGGATCTTAAAGTTTGATGGTAAACGAAGAGGCTTCTGCAGGCCAAAGTCTGGATAGGTGGGAATACCTTCCTGACTTGGAGGTCAGGCTTGCAGCGTGTGCCACAAAAGTGCGCAATCGGTCCCTACCTGCGACGTGAAACGCAATCGCCATGCAAGTGTGGAAGATGCGGTTGATGCTGTCTTTTGCAAAGTGCGAGATTTTGTTTGACAACACTGATGACATGCCTCAAGAATGTAGCGGTGATGACGACGGGACTGACATCACCAGTGCAGACGAGTTGTAGTCTAATCCCGCCTCCAGTGTGAACTTCCTAGTTTGGATAGCGCCTGGGCTAGAGTTTTGGAGGCTGGGCTTTCGAAACAGATGCTTTGCCGTTCGCACGTATTGACAGTAAATGCACATCTAACAATTTTTTTATTTTTGCTGATGTGCGATTTGGGGGGGTCGACTTACAGTTGAGTCGACTTACAGTCGTGCAAATACGGTACAGCCATAGCTACCAGCAAAGCTAGCTGCTGTTGGAAGGTAAATTTTTTTCATTTGGATGCAAACGTGCCGGCGAGAGTGGGACGTTTTGAATTATTGAATAAATAAAAAAATAATAGGTACAGTAGAACCTCGATAATTCTATCTTGGTTTATTTGGAGTCCCGGATAATGCGCAAAATTTCCATGGTCCTGCGAGTTCTCATGAAAATACGACCAGGTAATATGAGCGCTTCGCACGTGCCTACCCGGTTAATTCGCCGATTTGGTCTTCCAGGTTAAATTTTTAGTTGCTAGGTGGCGCCAGTTGGCATCCAGATTGGGCAGGAAAAACAAAGATGGCATGCGTCTTCGCTGATCTGTTTGCTGGTCCATGCGCTTAGTAGTCCCTTTGTTTTCTTGGGCTTGGGCAGGCATTGGGCATGCTTAGTCACTCTCGCCTCGCGAGGAGTTGATGATCAGTGTCAGCGATCGGTATTCTTGGCGCCGCGCCGCTGTGGTTCGGGCTGTTACTGAACCACACGTAAACGATCTAGCGAGCGACTAGACGGGCGACAGGAATACTCATAGTCTCTGGTTGTTCTGAATTCTTGATTTGTCATCGTGTGTAATTGGGTAATACGGTGGATCGGAGCTATCTACTGTCAGGTATTTACTCTTGCCGTCCCTTGCAGGTTTATGGACAATATTCCCCTGCTGATGAGCAAGTGTTTTCCCAACAAGGACGTCCCATGTGAGTCTGCCACCTCGTGCTTTTTCTTCGGTCACATTCGTGCAGTGATGCTGCTAATCAGTCGTTTCGCGCCCGTAGGCTCGGTAACATTGCCCGTTGTTACCATCCCCACTGTCATTCATTCCAATGTAGTAGCCAGAGTTGCACCGCTGCGTTAACTGCCATTGAGCTGCTAACGGCAGTTCTAACGACAGTTGAGCTCAACGGATGTTAAAAATGGCAGCGTTTGGGACATTGCCACCGATGACCGGCGTTACCGAAGCGCTTGCAATTTAGGATTGCTCAGGGAGCTGTTGCAACATCTGTTATGTCTTATGCTTGCATTTATTTAAAGCGGTTACATTTTCATTTTTTTTTTACTTTAGAGAGGAAGCTATGTTATTAGCTATGTTATCTCATGTCATGTGCTTACCAGAAGAAAAAAAAAAGTGTCTATAATCAATACACTTCACTATTCAGAGACCCCGAATTGGTTTTGTTTCACTTTCAACTGAAAGCAAAATAGCTACATAGCTTCATCTCGGTTTATTTGAGTAATCGCAGTTAGTGCTGCTAACTGCAGTTGGCCTTGCAGGTGTCAAAACGGCTCGTGTATTAGTCCAGTCCATAGCCAATATAGTGACCTTTGTGCTGATTAGATGGATATCTGGGACTTTTTGGTTGCACGTGCACTCTTTCTAACTCCGTCGCTCCTTTCCTTTTTTTTTTCCCCCCGACCTCGACACAATGCAGGCGGCATCACGGAGTACCTGCAGCTTGTGGCGGAGCTCGAGTTTGAGGCTGCGCCAGACTACAACCGGCTGCGTGCCATCCTCGTCAAGGGGATACGGGCCTCGGGTCTCAAGCATGACGGCCGTCTACTCCTCTCCCCGCCCAGGAAGTCCCCCCCAGCCAGGTCCCCCGTTAAACGGAAACCCCCCGTGCCAAAGGTGATGAGATCACCGTAAAATTCAGAGTTAGCGTAAATGCGTTTGTCAAACAGGTGAGCTTTGGAGCCCAACACTTGCCTGGCCAGCAGGTAGTCGGCGTGTGGCGGACGCTGGCAGCATCGTCTAGAGCGACTTGTCGTAGCATGTCGTGCGTCGTACGCATGAACGCTGAGAATTGCTTCGGGTTGAGAACTCCGTGGAAACTCCGGTTCCAGCATGTGTTTGTTGCCTTCCGTCGCGCTGCAACTGCACGTGTGCAGTGAGTCACGGGGTGCGCCGACCGTATCGAAAGCCAGCCGTTGCAACAGACAGATGAAGCAGACCACAGGCATGGAGCAGACGTAGCTAAGCCTAACATAGTCGCCCTAGCAGTCACTGAGAACGGCGTCAGTGTGCAGGTCAGTGGAGGTCGAGCTATTTTTCCGTCGTTATTGAGCATGACATTGTGCCAGGTCCTTGCCTTTATAACCACAAAATACAGAAAGCATGCTTAGTGTCGCAACAAGTGTTCCCCCACAACTTTTGAAACATTTGAAAAGTAAGCAATGGGCAAAGCGGGCCTTAGTAAACTTTTGAGCCCGCTAAGCAAACCAAGGTTCTCACGTCAGCTGCTTCCCTGAGCACTCCAGCGCTAAACGGAAAAGTCCACTTTAGCGGGTGTCTCTTCCGCATTTTTGCTCTTGGACCTACATAGGTGCCCGTCACCCAGTTTTTAAAATATTGTAGATTTTTTTGCAAGGGCACTTTCTCGGTATTTTGCGGTAGCTTCTTTTTATTATTGAATTTATACGCGCGAGATTAGAGACGGATCTCCGAGTGCTTGGATCTTGGCTCAATGTTTCGGCAGTTTCTTTTGGCCTTTGTGTGCTGTCATTCGTTCGGAAATGTGGTCGACTCTGTAGTTTAGAGTGGGCGAAGCCGATGGAATGCGTTGAATTTAGATATCTTTGTGTTCTTTTGTCAAAAACCCTCATACGAGAGAAGTTTCTTCATATTGGCTTCTTTCTGTTTGTACATCTGCACCAGCACAAGGCTCTGCAAATGAGAACTCGCACGCAAGTTTAGTACACCCAAAACCTTTTTATTCGAGTTTTGTAAACAAGTTCGACACAAAACTTAAAAACAAGGCCAAGAATGAATGTGCCTGGGGCTTTGCCGTTTTCCCGAAAGCCCCTTTTTATTTTTTATTCCTTACCGCAAACTGAGGGCCACTTCCCCGGAGATTGAGATGTCAAAAATGGTATTGTAGAGCCTCGCTGAAAAAACAAAACGGAAAGAAAACATGTTGCATTTTTTGTGCCTCGGTGCGACTGAACCGGCAAGCGTAGGAACGCGTTTTCTTGGTTCGTCACTTGCTCATCACGTCTTACTCGGAGAATACTTTCTTCAAGTCGAGTTATGTTCAGTGGCACGAGCGAATTTCGAGACGTCTCCAGCACTTAGGGGAGCTTGCCCTGTCTCCTTCCTTCGGCGTGCGAACTGCGCACGTGGTCGGCGCACCCTGTCCTCGATTCCAAGGCTGCCCTTTTTCTGGTGAAGAAAAGGGCCGCCTGGATTTGGGTAAATGCGGCATTTGTCGGAACGATCCAGAAACACATCAATGTTGTCGTCTCAATAAGGACACCGACATTACATAACGGAGGGAACAAATCTATGTTAAACGTTCTGCCTGCCACGCGGGGCCTTTTCCCACATGCGAGGACTAGAGAGCTCTGCTTCAACTTCCCCGCCGCAACGAATTTGGCGAGGGAGTGGGGGTGGGACCACCCAGTTTCTCTTCAAGGATGCACCAGCGTGCTATAAGAACTTCCCCCAGAATATTGTGTTGAGTTAAGCCCGTATACTCGCCCTGTTCGAACTACCGATGGTGCTCCTCGCATGAGAGGCGAAACATTTAACCCCTTAAGTGCCTTGGACGAGCTGAACTCAGCCAATTTCTGGCTAAAAATGCCGTGGACGAGCTCAGCTCGTCCAGTGGTTTTTTCGGCAGCTCTCAGTTCCACGGACAAGCTAGGCTTGTCCGAGTAGTTTTGCGGTGCTGATCATAGATGGCAGCACTCGGTTTAGTTGGCAAATATTTCTTTCGCCTCCGCTGATTTTTGCATAATAAACTTTTCAAATTTTATGTGTAATACTAGAGGAAAAAAATTCTAAATAAAAAAAAAATATGGCACTTTTAGGTTACTTTTGGATAAAAAAATTTGGCACTTAAGGGGTTAAATAATTTGTTTTTTTCTAGTATGTAAAGTCTGTGTCCTTATTTTAGTTTAGACGCCTCTTGGCTTCTAAACTATAATGTACATTAAAAAAAAAAAAATTTTTTTTTAAATGTAAGCATGTCAATTGGACACCCCTCTCCTTCCTTACCGCAACATTTTTAACATGACCTGCAGAAGCGGCCGAGGGCATCTCCCGCCGCGCAGCTTGCGGAGTCGGACGACGACGACGACAAGGAGGAGGCTCCCCCTCCTGCCCGAGCACGCCCGGCCAACGCGCGTGCCCGCAAGCCACCCAACGTTGCCAGCGCCAGCAACGACGACGCTCCCCTCGCAGCCTCGCCGAGGGGCGGCCGCACCCGGCGACAGAGCGCCCCCAGCATGAGCGAGGACGAACCGACGCCTCCTCCGCCTACGCCACCGGCCGCGACCAAGAGGAAACCGGCCCGGGGGCGCAAGGTCACAGCCGGTGTTGGGTACGTCGCTTTCAGGAAGCGACTCGTTACAGTTGCGGCTACTTTTTCGTAAAAGTAGCAAAGTTACTGTTCCATCAATGCTGTGTTCCGAAACAGGGAACGAAAGCTTGTGCCTCATTTTATCTCGATCTTGGAGCGTGTTCCTGTTGAGAGTTCCAGCAGTTCGAAAGGAATGGATTCCCGATAATAGAAAGCCTAAATGCGTACTAAATATAAGTAAAATGGCAGATATGTAGAGAGAAGAGAGGAATGGCACTCCTTTTGCTGTTTCTTCGAAAATGTAAAGAGTTTGAATTTCACTGATGCAGGATGGAACGGCGCCGTTCCTCCAGTTCTCTTTAAAAAAAAAATGCATTTTGTAAAACACTGTTACAGTTACCGCTGCGAAAAAATGATTTGTTAGTTACCTTTAGAGAGTTACTTTTAATTTACTTTTTCACAAAACTACAAATAAAAAAATAAAAAAGAGAGAATTAAAAATGCTTTTTTCTTTTATTAAGTGTATTAGGTAAGTACAGCGAATCCGTGAGAAAACCAAGCCCTGTTTCGCACCGCAAAAATACACTAGACATTGCGGAGAGCTTAAACTCAGTCAGAACGTAGCCCTCAGCCGTTTGAAGAAGATGACAAAGTTTCACCACCAATTGTTATCTTATTCAAAAGTTAGAAGCGATTTTCGGAAAATTTCAATAGAAAAATAGCGGCCGACGGAGCTCTCCATACACAGAGATCTATGGCACCGGAAACTGGCAAAATGGGCTCCATTTTCCCATTGCAAATTTCAGAAAATCACTTATAACTTTTGCAACATATAACTGTTGGTGCTGAAACTTTGGTATCTTGCTCGAACGGCTGGGGCTACATTCTGATTGAGTTTGAGTGCTTGGCGGTTTCTATTTTCTTTTTGCGGTGTGAAAAACGGGGTTTGGTTATTTCGCAGCCGGCCGGTACAAGTCAAGTTGGCGCGGGGCGAGCACGATGCTCACAATGTTATAAAACAATTTGAAAAGTGCAAGGATTAGATAGATTGTACTCGTTTAGTGTAGTCTTAATGGGTAACATCGGTGCATTTTCCAGATTTTAGAGTTACGACTTTTGTCAGTGAAGTGTCCTGAATTACTAGGTGTATTTTTTCTTTTTTTGGTGCCCTGGGTAGTTTTGTAGCTACCTTATGTCTGAGTTTTGTTTTGGGGGTGTGTGGCTAAACCAAAACTACCAGCTTGAGTGTGATGGCAACCCTCGTAATCAGCTGCATGGCCATCGTTTGACGCAAGCTACGGTACCACAAAACGTATGACTTGCCTTGTCGCAAGAGCAGTATCAATCAGTGAGGTGAGATACTACAGCTATTCTTCTGCTTTGCTTCTTAGATATCAAACTTCGTAGTACACATTAATACACATTCAAATAGTTGTAAGCCGAAAAGCGAGTTCCCCTTGACGAGCACTGGCTCAGAACAAGCCCCCACTTCTGAGGAGAACCTTGGTGGTGTGCGATGCACGTTGCAAAAGCGCTGTGGAAGCTAATAGTAAGCTCGCGCCAAGCAGGAGTGAAATAAACCATGGCCGCCAGTCAATACTACCTTCGGCACCAGGACGAGGTTGAGCGATTATAGAGTCGATAATCTTTGTGTGTGATCTGTGAGGAGCACTTGCAAACTACAGCCAGTAAAACATAGCACAACAAGCAGAAATAAACTGCTGGGATGAAAACGCAGCCGAAAAACACTGCGAAAGAAGTGGCAGTTTGAACAAGTGCCTCCTTTCAATGTTGCTACCTCCTTGAGTACGAACATGATGTCGGGGCATGAGGTTGCTTGACAAACAGCCTGCAGTCCGCCGAATGCCCACCGAGAAGCCGGTGGTAGAATTTTGAATGTCATTTTTAGAGTGGATTGCAGTTTCCCTTTAGTAATGTTTTAGCAGTGCTCGATTTTCATTCTGCGTAAATCGATATGGGACATTCAATTTACCCCTTAATGCCGAAGGAGCTGCGAAAAATGACTACATAACGTCATTACTTCAGAACACGCAAGCTTGATCATGTTGGCAAAGGCTGGTAAATACAGGATGTCTGATGGTCCTTCCACTTAACGTTTGTCTGCGGGGCTCCTGATGAAGACTCTTCCTGCTGCTGCTGCCTTTTATCACTTTATTACTGGCCGGACTCTCCCAATATATGGCTCTAGGAAAGGCCACGAATCGTGGGACGGCACCAATGAGTTTGCTTTTTCGTGCGAGAGCAACCGCGACTCTGGGTAGCTCGGTCAGTGAAGCACTTGGCTCGCAATCTGACGGTGGTGGGTTCAGGTCCCGCCGAAGACCTTTCTCCTTCGAGTATTTTACAGAGCTCCATATGGCCGTAACATTGTTTGGCGTCGGTTTTCATTACAGCCAAACGCTCCAGATCTCCACGAAAATTGTCCGATAAAACGGATTCCGCATTAAAAAGTAAGAGAACTACAGTTACAAGTAACATCTCGAAAATGTAGCGTGTTACAGTTAAGTTACAAGAAATAATTTATGGCAAATAGCTAGGCAAGTGTGTCGCATACATGGAACGTTTTAGCTTCGCAAATGTTTACTCCGAGTTGCCAGACGCCAAAGTTCACGGTGCTCTTCCATACAATTGAAAAACTTGACAGTTGTTACCAGAATGGAGCGACGGTACCACTAGTCGGGCCGATAAACCTGGCGATGTTCCGGAGCCTTCCATACCCCCGAGCTCCTCTTCACCTACCTCGCACCTCCTTGCCTACCTCTTTGGTCAAATGACCTCACCATTACCCAAGCGGCATCGAGCAAATCGCCCTTCCCCTCCCGCTCAACAACCAGTCGGTCTCGAGCCTCGCGGCCACGTATGTGGGCTTCACGAAATGCCGAACACCTAGCCAAAGAATGTTTCGTGTTAAAAGGTAACGAAGTTACTAATGCATTACTTCTGTGTTACTACCCCAGACTGGCCACGGTGTCCTTCTCGAGCGATGAGGAGGAGGCAACTACGGCGAGGAGGCCGGCACGCAGCCAGAAGCTGATGATATCGAACTCCAGCGACGACGGCAACGACTTCATCTTCGACTGGGTGCCGCCGAAGAGGCGGCCGGCCGTCGAACGCGGTGGTGGCCGGTTTTGCGCCACAGAGCCGGACGCGGCGGAGGCGAGGGGCGCCAGGTCCAAGGTGGCTCCGGGCACACCCCGTGGCGACCGGAAGGGTGAGTGCAGGCGCCGACGAGCGTCGGACGCGTTTGGTTTTCTCTTGGCAGGCATGCTCCGAAATTCGCAGCCATCTGTTCGCAACTTTGGAGATCTATAGGCCCTCTTTTTGAAGGTGCCGGAAGGAGGCAGTGTACGTCCCTGGGGACTTCCAGTTAAATGAGAGGACAAGGGATCCTCATCGTAGCACTGCTTGTAATGCTTGTAAAATGTTTTATGTCCAGTTCTCATTAGCTGAAGGACTGGTTAGCAAGAGACTCGTTGGAAATTTTTACAGCACGGCTGTTAAGGGCTAGTTACCCCAGTTTCGTGTCTGTGGACGAATAAATCTCGACACAATGGACAACTATTGCCATCTACGAGCGACGGTGGCAACCAGACAACTGGTTTGCCGGTTGTTTGGTTGCTGCTCTCTCTCATAGATGGCGGCAACCTTTCCAGCCTTTCCACTCTGGTTTTCACCACAGTGGAAAGGCTGAATTTCTCTAGGTGTCGTCCTCGAGGTCGTCTTTGAGGTCATCCTAGATGTCGTCCTTAAAGTTGTCGTAGACGTCGTCCAAGACATCGTCCTAGAAGTCATCCTTGAGGTCGTCCCTGAGGTCGTGCTAGACATCGTTCCTGAGGTCGTCCCAACATAGTACAGCTCCACTGGTCTTCCTTCTTCACCAGAGTGGAAAGGCTGAAAGTGTTTTTATTACTCCCTTAAAGGGATGCTGAACCGAAATCTGGATTCCACAAAACACGGCGGCAAACGCATGCAACGGGATGCTAGAAACACCAAAACATCACTCGTACAGCGATATCTCGAACGGATGCCCGTATTTTTCAAAAAAAGGAGCTGCATTGGACAGATGTGTTTATATCTTGTTTCTCCAAGAAGGAGAGGGAACGGCCTCGCGTCATCTCCACCTCACCGCCTTGAGGGGGCAAGCGTAGAGAGGAGGAAATAAGATATCTTGACGTCACGCGCCTCGTCGGCCTCGTTGAATCTCTACCTCTTTTTTTCCAAAAATATGGCCGTCCATTCAAGATATCGCCTTACAAGTGGCGTTGTAGGGATTGTAGCGTCCCGCCTACATCTCCTGCATTGTTTTTTGTTTTTTTAATCAAAATTTTGGTTCACCATCTTTTTAAGGGGGGACATGGCCTCGGAATTCAAAATTTTCAGAAAAAAATGTTTTTTTCAAAAATGATATGTTTATGCTTATTAACTTCCAAAGAATGGTTTCAGAAAGTTTCATTTAAAAACATGCAGGATTTATCTCAGAATAAATTATTTTCGACATGTCGGCAGCCCTCCAAGTCAGCAGGAAGGAAATTTTTTGTGTTTTTTATTTAGCACTGTTTCATACTCGTTTAACTTAGCCAGAACATCTCACCCTCATTGGAAGTGCCATTTACTCTAGATTTAGCTCGTAGAAGCTTTCGAAGTTTACAAGTATCAAGGGCCAGGAGGACCCAATACATCCAAAAAGAAAAAATTCTGAAAATTTGGTATGAGCAATTTTATTGGTTGACACCTGAAACAGGGTTTACAGTTGGTCCCTCCCAGTGACGTCATATTTTGTCGTCTTCATTAACGCCCCTTTACAGTATCTTCCACTTCAGATCCTATTCCTGCTTTGCTGCTCTTTCTCAGTGTGATTTGCCTCTTAGTTCCTGTCAGCTTATCTGTCAGGGAATGCCTGCTACAAAAGTTAGCATGCCTACAAACAACACAAACTGGTAGCTATTGCCAGGGGAACAACAGATGCTCAAAGACGAAGATGCTAACAATGCTCCAGGTGAATTTTGCCTACCTCGGACTCATAAAAAATAAAGAAACCTAAAGTTGAAACTTCAAATGCATTTTTCTCAGTTTCACTTTTTGGCAGGAAATGTGGTATGAGGAAATGTATCATTGGACATTTTGAAAGTGTAAAGATTTCATTCAGTGTTGTCTTTGACTCAAATTTCCTGAGGAACAAGTTAAGGTACTCATAATCTGAAAATGCTAAATTCTTCATGACAAAAACTGAATATTTTAAAACTCACAAATTTGTTAAAATCATTCGCTCTTTTTGGGTGTTATTGTTTTTCTCTAGAATGACATTTTCTACGGTTAATTTTTACCTTAACTTGCACTATAGGTATTCTACTTCACTTTAAACTAAACATTTTGTGGATTTCCGTTATTATTTTTCTTAAATACATTTCCTAATAAAGTAACTTTTTTCTGGAGCTTGCTAAGCATAGTATGCGGTAGAATTGGCCTATAAGGCTGAAACTTTAGATGTCATCAATCCTAATGGGGTTCAATTCACCCTGAAAGTTTGAATCACTTTGAGACAATGGTTCAAAAGTTGACCCTCCCAGGCCATGTCCCCCCTTAAGACAGCCTATCCTTTCTTATTCACCCTTTTTTGTGTGGCAACAAACACAGTGGTGCCATCTGTTGGGTAGCCCCGGCACACTTCCGGTTCACGTAAATGTCCAGATTTTTTACTTCTCATTCTTTTAATTTAAGAGTGAATTTAGTCTGACAATGCCGCAAGTGGCCATTTCAAGAAGAAAGCCTGTATATTTGATTTAGCAAATACCGCGAAACCGGCCGTCTAGTTCAGAACTGGAAGTGGTTGGGGCTATTTGCACACTGGTGCCACCACGTTTCAACTAGCAAGAGAAAGAGCAAATATGCTGACTCGCACAACATAAGGACCTGCCAAGTCCCCAACTTCGTGATATCCGTAGAAGTTCGTCGTCCAAGGAATTTTCAAGTCGAGAGGCCAAGACCTGTGCTGAAATAGAGCAACTGGAAGTCTCTTTGGGGGCCAAATGACAGCTCGTGCTTGTAAACAGAAAAAGGGTCTATAGCAGGGGGACTGAAATTCATTTGAGTGTGGGGGCCAGTTAACCCCTACCCCTGAAAGGTTGAGGGCCAATGTGAGGCGGGGAAGTTCAAAAGGTTTTAAAGGGGAGGAACCTTGTGCTCTTCAAAAGATGTAAGTGCGGGCACCTTCAAATGTGTAATAGCTGCCGTACATGCACGACAGATGTCTAGAACATGTCCTCGTCTAAGGTGTTAAAGGGCCCCTGAAAAGGAAGAATTTAATGTAAAAGTTATTTGGTAAGAAGGTCATTTTATGGTCCCTTTAAGGGGACACACCCCCTAGGGGGGTCAACTTTTGAACTCTTGTATTAAAATTAATGAAATTTACAGGGTAGGCTGGTGGTCATGTTAGAGGGTGTATAACAAAATTTCAGGTCTGCCGGTTAAATGAGAAGGAAATTAGAGTAGCTTCTATCAGCAACACACCTACATTGTTTAGTTAATCTATCGTCAGAAAACTATCACAATATTCAAGATTTTTATTTGCTAGATATGTAGCAGAATGTCTAGAGGGTGCGGCTATGGAACATTTTTTCTAAAAAGTAATTTATTTCTATAAATTTTCTCTTCTGCAAAATTGGTCAACTTTTTGGTCTTCTGTGTCTTCGACAAAATGTCAACATTTTTTATAAAAGACACCCGTAAAGTGACAAAAAAGATCCATAGCCTCATTCCTTATTAAATTTCAGTCAGGAAAAAGGAAGAATGAGCCTTCTCTGTTTTGCCATTATCAAACGATAGATTGACTAAAATGGAATTTATACCAAAAAGTGGAACGGAGAAAAATGTGTTCAAAGTGCTCCAAACCCTACCTTTTCTTTAGCTTGGGTGGACAGAAAATAATTTATAAAAAATTAACTATGCAGTGAAAATTAATTAAACTTTTTGGGAATACTCTCTAGATGTTGGTGGACGTAAATATGTTATTTTTCAAAATCAGCTTTTTTTGCGGAAAATTTTTTTTTCTGGGCAGTGTCTCTCCTTAAGAGGTTCCAAAAGTGCAACATTTGAAAAACAGCTTTTGCCAAAAAATTGAAATTTTGGGGCAATGTCTCCCCCCCCCCCCCTCCCCCTTAAAGGGTCCCTGAAAAGATAGTTTTTTTCAAACAATCTGGTTGTGACACGCGTGTCAAAAATATTATGTTTACGTGGAAACAAATTTTTTAGAGCAATATTGATGGCGCGAGACGTGATTTAGTTGGTAGTCACCTCCTTTCTACTTGTTTTCTCTTGGCATTTCCAACGCTTAGAGTAGAGGCAGGTCGGCTCTGCCGTCACGTTGAAGTGGAAAGTGTGCATGACCATCTCGTTGAAGTGGAGAGTGCATGACCGTTCCGTGATGTCATGGACTTTGCGCGCGTTGAAGTGGAAAGTGTCGTCAATAATTTTATTTTCGCCTCACATTTATTTTTTGACACTCATGTCCCAACCAGACTGTTCAGGGGGTCCTTTAAGCGTCTTATCTAGCCGGCCGGGGCGATTCCGGTCTGCTAGGTGTAAGCCTCGCTGCAACGTCCATTTGTCTTTCCTCGGTGGTTTGCTCAGTGCACCGACAAAACGGGTTCGTCGAGGCCGACGACGCGAACTTCAACACCCTGGGGCTGGACAACCCAACGCCGGCGATGCTGGAGCTGCTCAAGCGCAGGCAGGAGCAGCAGGACGAGTGCACCGTGGCAGCCACAGCCCGCAGCAAGCGGAGCAGTGCTTCCCCCTCCCCCAACCTCCCCTCCGCGGCGGCGGCGGCGCCGCCCCTGCGCAACGGGCACATCGTTCCGGAGACCAGGGACCAGAAGGTGCAGACAACGCTGACAGGTAAGGCGCGCCGCATTTTTAGGTGCGGGGCATATGTGTGTGTGTACCCGAGCAGCTAGTGAAGCTTTTTTGGGCCAAAATATGCTTTTTGTCCAGGAATTTAGGAGCTTGACCCTTCGTGAGCCGCATCCAAGTATGCTAGTGTGGCTTCAGTTTTGGTTTTATCCTTGCCCCTCCCGACTGGGCTATTTTTCTTTGTGTGCGTGCATTATGGAATGTACAAGCGAGCGTTGAAAACAATGTTTTATCTTGTGGCATCTTTTTTTTATGGCTTGCGATTTTCGTTTGGGCGACTTCTGTTTCGGCGTGTTCCTTTGTAGTGGCACGACGGCGAACTTGTGTCGTTCAACCCCGCACTTGATGGCAAACGCTGAGATCTAGACATTGCTAATAAACTCGGTATTCAACGACTGTGAAAACGAGGAAGTTAGAAGTTTTAATAAGGAAAAGTCTACTAAGGTGGCTAAAAAGATGGACCTCGAGGTGGAAGGTCGAGATGCCACTGCATAATACTGTATCTCGAAAAGCGTGCATAATACTGTATCTCGAAAAGCGTGATAGGAGAAATATGGCATAGGATCGGAGACGATTAACTTTTTGCCCATAGAAAGATGTCCGTTCTACAAACGAACAGGGTGTCGAACCGGAACTGAACCTCTTGTTTTGCCCGAGCCGAAATGTTGGGCGCCATTTTGGAGCTGAACCTGAACCGGAGCAAAACAAATAAACCGTTCCGAACTGGTACGCCAAATGGTTTGGGCTCGCATCTGCGCTACTATTCCGTGTGCTGTGCGCCAGAAATATGGAGAGGCTTAGTTAGCGCTGCGGGACAAGGTGTTTCCACTAGTGCAAATATTTTTGTAAGCAGAATTTTACAAAGACGAAAGTCAATAACCGCTGTTACTGACTGTCACAAAATCTGCGCCCAGGCGCCCTGCAAAAAGCCGTAGTGCAAACAGCAAAGCATCGAATTCGGGTTTGCCACGTTTGATCGAGCGCCATTTCATTGAGACACATTTTAGAGAACAGGCTCATTTTATCGAAGCTCCGTTTAGAGAAAGCGGAGCCTCGGCTAAAGAGATGGTGAACCGAAATTTGGATTTCAAAAAAAATAATGTTGAATGGACGGCCGTATTTTCGGAAAAAGAGGTCGAGATTGAACCAGGCCGACGAGGCGCGTGACCGTCAAGATACCTAGTTTCCTCCTCTCTTCGCTTCGCTCCCTCAATGCCGCGAGGCGGAGAAGACGCGAGGCCGTTCCCTCTCGGAGAAACATGACGTCAACATTCCTGCCAAATGCGCCTCATTTTTTTTTAAATACGGTCATCCATTCGAGATATCACTGTATGAATGATGTTTTGGTGTTTGTAGCATCCCGTTGCACGCTTTTGGGAAGGGGTTTGGGGAATCCAGATTTCGGTTCAGCATCCCTTTAAGAGAAATGACAATTATCGAAAAGGGACGCTGTTTAAAAAAAAAGGAGTCCCTACTTCGCACGTGTACCACTAAACCCCTCCCCCCATAAAAACAACTTTATTTACTGGTTCCAAAAATTGCAAAGCTTGTGCCAAGTCGAGCGTTGCCCTGGCATGGGTGTTACAGTTAAATCTCATTAATTCAAACTCAAGGGGTCCGAAAATTTGTTTGAAGAAAGCAAAGTTTGAATTACCAAGGGTTTTCTCCCATAGGGACGCATAGGATGGGGCCCTCATGTTAGTTTGAATTATCGAGACTTGACTGTACTCGCATTTCTGTCTGTTCACCGTTTTTGACCTCTAAGTTGGACGCCCGGTGAGAAAGTGCAAATTTGCCGACCGCCGCGATTGGCCAGCGCAGCGCCTGACCTTGGCGCTGGCTAATCATAGCGTGACGCCGACCAATTGCAGCAGTCACCGATCTCGTAGACTTTGTCATCGAACGACCCCAGCAGGGTCGCTCAATTTACCTAAACCTCTTGCATTAACCCTTTGAGGTCACGTTTTGGATGTCGATCGACAAAGAGATGTTCTAGTTGTGGTCAGGTGTTTATGCTTTACAGTCAATTGCCGTGCGCACCCCGACAATTCCTAATTGCGCCACCTATCGTCAAGGGCTTTTCATTTTTTTTAACTTTACTCAAAATGGTGACTTTTTCCTACATTTCTTTTTTTCCTAGACGAGTTGAGTTTGCACGCACATTCATGCGGTGTTTATCGCAGCAACTTTGTCTCTGTTCACTTTTTACTGAAAATATGTTAGCAATTCTAGTGACGACGAGGGTGACTTTAGAGGAATGTTTTTGGGGAGGAATGTTGCCCCTGAATGTTTTTAGGTGGAATCGTTAAAGGATGATTGTAACCATGTCGTGAATTAGATTAACGAGGAGAGCCTTATGGACATTGCAATTTCTGAAAGGCCAAGATGTTGAGACTCCTCATTGTACAGTTTAAGGGGGGACATTACCCTAAAAAGTATATTTTTGAACCACTTGTCTCATTTAAATGACATTCACAGGGCTTGTTTATGTTGAGAACATTTGTGCCAAATTTTGTTAACCTGGGTGAAGTACGAAAAAAATTGCAAATGTTTAAAGATGAAAGTGGGCGTGTCTGCATAGGAAGACTATTGTTTTGATATTACTTATAAATTTGTCATTTTCATGTGTTATATTGCTTTAGGACACTTCAGAGCAGATAGCTATAGAGCTATACTACACCATCTTTCATGACAAAAACATCACATAAACATAAATATTTTTTTTTAGATTTCCAGCCTTTGTCTAAAATTTTAATTCTTGAGCCAGGAAATTGACAAAAATAAAAAATGCAAGCTCATAGCTATCTTCCCCTTAAAATTTCACCGTTGAAAAAACTCATAAAAAGGAATTCAAGTTACGTAATAATAAAACAATAGTTTTCCTAAAGTGAAATTTATGCCAAAAAGTGGAATGGAGAAAAATGCGTTCAAAGTGTTACAATCCCTACCTTTTTAACATTGGTGGACCGAAAAAAAAAAAAAAAATTATAAAAAATTAATTATGCAGTATAAAGTAATGAAACTTTCTGGGAATGCTCTCTAGATGTTGGTGGATGTAAATAGGACATTTTTCAAAATCAACTTTATTTGCAGAAATTGTTTTTTCTGGGTAGTGTCCCCCAGATCCACCATTTTCAGTTGTTTTTCTGCGGACGCTTCGATGGCGAATTACATTTCAGCACCACTAAGTGATTGCTTTGTTTTTTCTGTGAAACGATTCTGGCCAGGGGGGATGACAAGGCGAAAAGTCACACTACCCTGAGCAGTTAAAAACTCGTACTGGGAATGCTTTGCCCCGCGCTTTTCTGCATTGGTGTAGGCCGGTTCCTGTGAATCGAGCAAGCCTATTGGTGTGGCGTTGTTGATTGGAGGATTCGTTGGATATACACACTTCCAAACAATCGCATTTCAAAAGCTATTCTGGCCACCGTGGGTAGAAAATGCTTTGTTGTGAGGCCAGTTCGGCAACCGCGAGCACATTTTAGCGAGGCTCGACTCTCTGACGATCTACGGATACCAGCGACGAAATGGTGGTTCCCAGAGGTTGTATTTAAAGGCGTGTTCACAGAATCTGCGGAGTCCGCCAGTCTCAGCAATGTCTGCCGTGCCTTCTCTGCAGCTGCCGCGAAGCCGCCGGTTCCTTACGAACAAGAATTAGGTCTACAAGGAAGGACAGAGGATTGGACCTTTAAATGCATCGGTTACATAGTACTGGCCCTAGCGTAATAGTAGTGCAATACGCACGTCTAATTCATGCCGGCTTCCTGCAGGTGGCGTTGCAACAGCATTGTCAGTAAAAACCTAAGCAATACGGAAAAAATATGGTGCTAAAATGTTTTTCTATCTTTCGTATCGCAGGTCCCGTGTCTCAACGGAAGCCACGCAAGCCTCTATGTTCCCCCGCCTCTCGGAACTGTGTCGGGAAACGTGACGCAGACGACAGCGAGTGGTTGCCCGGCGTTTGATAGGAGGCACCAGACAGTTCCCCTTCATTATTCTTTTTTCTTCTCTGCAAGGTTCTACTTTGACCTAGCCCAGCCCAAGTTTGCCACATTGGCAGTGCTTGAAGGGCAACAACAGACTGAAGTGCGTGTGTGTGCGTGTGCAAGCGTCCGGCCTTTTTTCTTTCTTTTTGTTTTCCGCCGAAAGCGGAACAGAAAGAGCCGACGAGCAAGCTGGTAGTGTGTGTGCGAGGATGCTGGCAGCCTTCTATTCTTCTTAAAGATTTTTTTTTTTTTTTATTGGTTCTTGTAATTTCTATTGTAAATGTATATAAGTATCACCTCCATAATTCTTGATTCTTTATTGGTTCCCCTCCCCAGTTTTTAGTCCCGCGCATGTTCTCCAATAAACATCTTAGGAAATGTTCTTTACAACTCTTGTCGTCTCACTTTTTTTGCTACCATACTAAGGGATACTTAGGGGCAAGTTCCTGTGGCATTTCGAAAGTGAAGGGTGCGTACACAGTTTTAGAACGGTGGTATGCGGAGCACAAGTTTGCCTACTTCATGCACAGGGGTTCCAATGATGTCAGAATGCCGAGCTCTTATTGGCTGATTGAAAAGAATAGTGGGTAGATCTCAAAGCATCTAGCATTGGGGTTATCCGTCCAATCAAAGCCAATACTCGGTGTTGTTCTGATGTCGCCGCAATCCCTGCGCAAAAAGCAGACGATTTGCTCTCCGCATTGGCTCCATTGGCAGAGATAGTTGTGCACAAGTGTAATGGAGTGTGTGTGTGTGAGAGTGCAAATGTTAAAATTTATGTAACAGACTACGCAAGTTTTGTTTCTGCTTTAAGCTTCTGCTATAATTGATAAGCTACAATTCGTTGCGGTCATTTTTTTTAATTTGGTAGTGTTTGCGTGCTACAAGTGGGGTTCTGTGTTTTCGGCTAAATCCAAAAAACATTCGCCGGTAAAATTGGGGTCAGTTGGATTTCAACAAACCTATTTTACAAGTAACATGTCAGTTACAGGGTTAATGTTCCTAAAAAAATGACACCCCAGTTGCACATCTAGGACCATTAACAAAATAGGTCTCAGGTTTAACTTGTCGAGGTTTATTCGGGACAAATCGGTCATTTGCTTTTGGGTTGCAACAAAAGGCCACTGTTCCGCTGTTCCGGTTTTCGTTTGGACCATACTATTTGTGCTTGGAGAAACGAGGGGTTGTGCTTTTGTAACTGAAAGCTATGAACCACGGTAGGGTGATGAAATAGGTTGGGGGGAAGGGGGGGGGGAGATGGCTCAGATGGGACAAAAAAGTGCTTTCCAGTGACTGCCTCCAGGACTTGATCATTTTAAAATATTTATTCTTATTGAAGAAACACTTGTTAGCAGGTTTTGTTTTGGGACACTAGTAATGGCGATGGTGCCGAACCCCAAGCTCCAGCTTAAATGCTGTTCGGTACAAGTGTGCTTTTTTGAATCCAATATAAGTTTACACCCGGCTATTATTTATTTGTATTTGCGAAAAATAACACTGCGAAATTCAACCGAATTTCGGAGAATGTGGAATCAAATATAAAATAAACTAAATTTTTGTCGATTTGTTGAAACAAACTTCGAAAACACACAACCTTAGTTATAAGAATTTTTTTTTTTTTTTTTTATGTGCATGAGATTTGTGAATGTTTCGTCCATTGGCAGTCTTGTACATGTCCAATTGAATGTAGTTTCTTGAAACCGCTGGCCCCACGTTGGGCGCCATTGTGGTTGGTTTGCTTTGCTGCATACCGAACCTGGAGGAATAACACTGAGCCAGCGGTTTCAAGAACAAGAAACTACATTTAATGGTACATGGATGAGACGGTCAATACACTAAGATTGTTACCGGTGGCGCTTAAGGCGGGGCAGCGACTGCCTTTGTGCCGCCTCTGATCCGCCTTATCTAGGCAGCGCGCGCACAATGTGCGTGTGGCCGCCTTGACTCCGCCGCCACAGGGGAAAGTACGCCACCTGTGCCCCGTAGTCGGGCAGCTGGGCTGGGGAGCTGCCAGGGTACCCACAAACTGAAAACGGGCTTGGTACTTGCCTAATGACCAGGTTGTATAAAGATGGAATTTCTTATAAACTTGACCTTTAAATTGGCACTCGATTAATGGACCTCTTGGCGAATATGTGCTGCCACCTAGACACGCGACGGGTCGAGGCTAAGTGGCGAGAAAACAACGCGCGCGCGAGGCCTCTCCCACCCGTTGCACTCCCACAATGTCAGCTACATCCTGTTCACCCAGTGAGACACTGTGACCTAGATACGGCTCCCCCAAACTCGCCTTTGTCCCCTTCGTGCGTAATCTTTCGCCCCGAAGTCGACACAACGAAACCATCTTCCCTCTCTGCTCGGCCAGAAGGAAGAGAGAGAGGGTACTGGAACCAGTTACTCTCGAACCGATTTTCTGCAAAAGGTCCATTGAGGTTATCCTGGGGTGATGTTAAGGTTCGCGCAACAGGGTTTGTAAACATTAGTTTCGTTCGATTTACCTGCACCAGTACAGAGAAGTCAATGTTGACAAAAGTTCAGGGCAGTGCGCTTCTGGTCGTATCTGGACACATACTGGAAGTACAAAGCCCTGCACTTTTCTTCACCAGTGCAGGAGGTGCACCTAAGTCGAACAAAGCTAGTGCTGGAATTTGGGTGCTGAAACTCTAACGGTTATCTACACCGGGTACCCAGCTCTTGGACGCTCCTTTCCTCTCCAGCCTAATCCGCGCATTGTTATTCTGATCTAGCGACTCTATTGCCATGATTCATACGATTCATACAAAGTACGGGGGTATGGGTGTCCTGGGGGGCTATGTTCGACAAATATTTCGTTTCTCCTAAAAAGAAACGGAAGTGATGGAACTGACGATATCGCGTCTGATTGGCTAGAGGCTCAAATGACGAAAGTTCCCTCTTTCGTCATTTGAGCCTGTAGCCAATCGGACGCGATATCGTCAGTTCTGTCACTTTCGTTTCTTTTTAGAAGAAACGAAACATTTGTCGAACGGGAGGCACTCACTTGATCGAATGACGTTTTAGCGAACGCCCACGTTTCATCGAACGACACTTTAGCGAATAGCCGGACGCCGCGAAGCGGCGTTTTCGGGTGGGCCAAGTGAGTTTATATTTTTGTAATGAGTTGCCGCAGACTGTCGCCGCGAAGCGGCGTAAAGCGCAGCGCGACGGATGGGTTAACGCGCGCCCCCGTTATTCGCTAAAACGATCATTCGCTCAAATGTTGCCGTTCGCTAAAATGTCATTCGCTCTTGTGATATGGACCCTTGTCGAACATAGCCCCCCTGGGGGGCTATGTTGCGCTTTTTGCACTCCCAGGAGACTAGGGAGAGGGAAGTGACGTCAACGACACAGCAAACGCAGATTGGTTGTTGATTTCGTTTTCTTCTGTCAACATCCAATCTGCATTTGCTGTGTCGTTGACGTCACTTCCCTCTTCCAAGTCTCCTGGGAGTGCAAAAAGTGCAACATAGCACCCCTGTTGTCCTACTCTACACGGCGGGACATCCAATAAGCCTCCACCAACGATTGCCTCTATTGCCTCTTCCAACTACATCGACACACACACTTGGTCCCGCTAGGTCCCGCCGTGTACACCAGGGCTCCTGGTAACTCGCAGTCGCAACTTGACTCCCAAAAATATAGCTATTTCAGCAAATAGCTATATTTCTGGTTGAGCTTGTCAACGAGCCTCTGGTGTGTGCAACGAAACCGCAACCCCTAACAGTCAATAAAACCGGAGTTCTTTAAAAGGTAGTACCGCATAAAATATGGATAAACAAAGCGAATAGTAAACGAAAATCTGTGGGTAAAAAGAAAAAAAAAAAACTGTTTCCGCCCGGGATCGAACCGGGGACCTTGCGCGTGTGAGGCGCACGTGATAACCACTACACCACGGAAACGAGGTTAGGAAGGGCAACCTAAAGCTAAATTTTCTTGCTGTTATTTCTTCTCAAATCTGGTGTTTTGTTCGTTTATATTTGTGCTATCATAGTGTTCCAGTTTTATTGTTGGTTTTTTTTTCTTTATTCTTTGAAACCGTGTGCAACACTTTGAGCTGTTTGTATCTCGTAATGTGTCAGCGTCTGGCGCCAATTTTCAAACTTTTTCTTCCTGCAAGCATGCTGCAGGTGCTGATCCGAGCCTGGACCGTCATCCGGAAGGAATAATCCACAGTTTGTTTGAATGCCCCTCCTGTTTGGACAGGCCTTCACTGTGGTAAACGTCTGAGGAGGACGAAGCAGATGAATTGGTGCAGAGGAGGGCGTGAAAGGGATGAAACATCCCACTTGCTCAGGTGTTTTCCCTTGGCGTGTGACTTACATGACCCCTTAACTGCCTTAACTGTCTAAAGCACAAAAGTTTATAAGTCCTACTATGCTGACATCTCCTCAACAGGTTGCGATGTAATCCTTCATATTAGTAAATTTGTTTGAAAAAACAAACTAACAACAAAATGGCGAATTGACATCATGTGAAAACTTTCTGATAGGTGGCGCAAGCCACCGTCTGATTAAAAAAAGACCAACAAGCGTCATTTAAAACAGTCTTAAAAACCATAAAGACCGATACCTTAGAACTATTAAATAAATATAATAATAAAATATTGCGTCCTAAGACGTAAAACCTTACATAAGTACAGTGAGAGCGCCTCGTGATTCTCTATTGTTGATTCTACTCTAGATGACAAAAGTAGATCAACCATCCCATAGATCCATCCACACCTACCATTTTTTTTTTTTTTTTTTTTTGTGACGTCATTATGAACGGGATTGTTCGGGTGGTTCGGGCCCACTGTGGTTCGGGCAGTTCGGGCGGTTCGCGTATCGACTGAACGAGCGCATCGTATTTCGAAAGCAAAATCCACGCGTTTGCTTCCATAGCTTACGAAGATCGAAACATGGCAAGTGCCGTCGAAGTCAAAGTGGAAAAACTTGATTCCGCCGACGTCGAACAAAAGTAAGCATGGCTCAGGTTCCGCATGACAGAAAACTCATTCAGTAGTGGAGAATCTGCGAAGAACATGAAGTCCAGAGCACTGCATGTCGATAAAAAGCCGGTCGTGGTCGTGAAACGATGCTTGCATATCTGTCATCTGTTAAGTTACCCGAGCAAGCAACATATTTGTATCTAGCGATGTTTTGGACAGTTATTTCTTAATTTCATTCGTAATACATTTGAGATCTCTGACATTTGGCCAGTCGAGCTCAACAGCTGACTGGGAGTCTTACGTGTCTTGTCGTGTACAATGTTATGTTTGCGTGTTTCGCAGAATAATCGAGCTTTGCAATGCCAACCCAGCGGGAATCACGGACAAAATCGTCCAACTACACATCCCCAATGTGGAACCCGTCATAAGGGCGGAGGCATTCAACAAGTTGTTGGGACAGGTAGGATTTCGCAGCTACCGAAAATATATAAATAATTAAAACGCTAAGAGACGAGGGTCATTCACTCGCATCTTTCTTAACTTTCAGGGCAAAATAGAAATCCTCAAGCAGAAGAATCAACTACTGTACAGACTGAAGGACCCGGAAGCAGACAAGTAAGACGTCGGCTCAATTCATACAGACACACTGCAATCACTCATTTGTTGAGCCATTGACAGATGCGCCTTGTGTGCGTACACAATTGGCCCTCCTCCTCCCCCCCCCCCCCCCCCCCCCCCCCCACACACACACACACTCATTTGTCTGCATTTTTTTTTTTTTTTTTCGTTCCAAGGAAATGCAAGGGCTCCGACAGGGAAGAGAAGGTCGTCTACAAGATTGTGGAGGAGGCTGGAAACAAAGGTAATATCACACAAAGGAACAAAGCATCTTGATGATAGTACACGCACTTGACAAATTCAGTTCAGCTTTTCTCCGCAGTAGCACCGACAACCGGTTGCAATGGTAGGTGGGATGTCTGGGCAACGAGAATGTCATCTTAGGCATATAGAATGGGTAGCACAGGAGTATTTCTCTGCAACTGTAGGAACATTGAGAATGCATTACGAAGGGGGGGGGGGGGGGGGGGGGGGGTACATATAGTTCTACCATTTAGTTGCGTCTCCATGGAAAATTACCAACTCGTACGGTATATTAAATAGACTGCATAACGAGATAAGCCTCACCTTCTGCACCCATCACAAAACTTCAAGCACCTAAGGAGAGCCTCTGTTTCTCCACTGTCTTTGTTCTGTTTGCTTGAATCGAACAGACGGAATCTTGCCCTAAGTACTTGCAAAAGTAGGCGTCGCCAATGCTAGCAATGCTCGTTTTTACGAAACTCTCCCAATGTCTTGTCTCGGCTCATTTTGACCACACCGGTCCCGTTCTTTGACGTCGAAGGTGACAATCGAGGGACGACAAACACGAAAGAGTGCAAGTCATTGTTGTATCTCCAGCAGCCTGTCGTTGCAGGCATCTGGATCCGCGACATCCGCATGAAGAGTGGCCTGGTGCTCACCTCGCTCAACAAGATTCTGAAGAACTTGCAGAGCAAGAAACTCATCAAAGCCGTCAAGTCTGTCTCGGTGAGGAGCCTCCGCGCGTTCATTTCCTATACTTTGTTTCACCGTAACTTGGCAAAGAGCAAATGCTACGACCCCCCACCCACCGAGCAAGTCGGAATGATGCAGGCAAAGCATGTGGTGACCCTTACGACAGGCACGGGAGTGTGAGTGTAACCCATGTAATTGAGAAAAGGGGAAGGAGGAACTCCCTTCTTCCCAAGACCTTCTTGGGTGTGTCGCAGACGTCGCTTTTATCCCCCTCGGAAATTAGCGTGTCACTTAAAATTCTTAGCGAAGCGGCTTTCCTCTCTATCTTGGCCGTGGCTCCTACAGAACTTGGCGCAACTAGTGAGATGCAGCATACTCACGTGCCTCCCTCCGACGTGCTGATTGGTTCACCGGGACCACAGCCTTCACCGTTGGCCAAGTTGCGGCGAGGCGGAGTGTGCGGTGCGTAATTCTGTTTGCTTCTTAGGGAACAGGGTTTGCGATGATGTCAGAACGTCGAGCTCTTATTGGCTGATTGAAAAAGCAATGAGTAGAGCTCAAGGCATCTAGCATTGAGGTCTACCCACTACACTCCTAATGGAAGCCAATTGGAGCTCGGCGTCGTTCTGACGTCGCCGCAACCCCTGCGCAAGAAGCAGACAACTTGCTTTCCGCATAGCATAGGTAATATTTGTTTTGCATTGCAACTTCGGTTACATGTTAGAGGTTGACTGGATTCTCGTAGTACAGTAACAGCAAGGGCTACAATAGGGACGCCCGATGTTTTGTGTTTTTGCTTGGAAGAAATCGGTACATTTTGGTGCTTGTACCTGTTCTGGGCGGGTGCTGCTCGAATGCACAAAAGGAATCACTGTACTTTGAAAAAAAGATGAACACTGAATGAACATGATCACTCCCACTCAATATAATGGGGGATTTCTTCAGATATCTATTCTTGTTAATTAATTTGAGCAGTTATATATATATATATATATAATGAAGTTTCATTTTACTTTTTTTACTTCTTTTGTTGAGAGATCCTATTCTAGAGCTATAGCCTTCAGTTGTGCGACACTTGCTTCTCATGGGTATTTACGCAAAATTTAATTTACTGCATGATTCTGTATGTTCTCTGCTGTGTATCTGTACGCCTTCACTAGATGGTGCTGCCGACCCGCTCTGTAACGACTGTGTCGGGGAAGGCTAAGAAACTATCGTCAGAGGAGGGCCAACTCTGGAACCGCGGGGATGGAAGGCTGCTGTTATTCCGGCCGCTTGTTTTTAGTTAATAAAGTGTTATGTTATAACCTAACCCCGAAGTACATAACAATCTTAATACTATGTATGAGGTATTCTTGGTACAGGTCCCACACAGTGCCTGCTCATCCTGAATGATGCCTCTCCAGTAAATTATATGAAATTTGAATAGTACAAACATTCTGGATACTACGCCAAAATTCTTACCTGCTTCGTTCAGGATCACAGCTGTATGCCAATTAAAAAAAAGCTTTCAAACTACTCCTGTACAGAAACAGAACACAGATGCAGAAACAGCACCCTCAGCTATAAGTGTTTAGGGTTCAATCCCTTTCCTTTTTTTTCTCCATCCAAGGCTTCCAAGAAAAAAGTCTACATGCTGTTCAACCTTGAACCAGACCGTTCTATCACCGGGGGTGCCTGGTACAGCGATCAAGACTTTGAGTCCGAATTTGTCGAAGTCCTCAATCAGCAGTGCCACCGGTTTCTGCAAAAGAAGGCAAGTCGTCGGCAGTCGCCCATAAAAGCTCGAGTTCCGAGGGCAGTGCAATGAAGGTCGCTTGTTGGAGCGCGTTTTAGAGCATTGCCTAATGGTGTCTGTTCTTCGTCTTGTCCTTGTGCCCAGCTGACAGTGGCCAGGGAGACAAGCAAGGATCCCATGCTGGAGAAGAACGCCTCCTTTGCCTCTTCCAAAGAGGTGTGGAACTTCATCATGGAGCTCGGCATCAGCAAGGTCAGCCGGCTTGCCTTCCTCTGGATCTGTTGGCCATAAGTTGTTACGAGCCTACTGGGTACTAATTCATCTGCAGTAGAAACATTGGAGCATGGCAGGCACAGGGAGGCATTGAGGTGTAAATGAGGTGGAGCATATCTATCACACTGGCTATGTTAGAGAGCAGTTTTTGGACATATTAGTCGGAGAGACAAACACAACATTAAACAGGAAATGAACTCATATCCCCACGGGAGTGCGAAATGAGACTGGCCGTATAACTCCCCTGGACAAACCGCATTAGTGCAGCTTTTATGGCTCTTTTTTAAACAATTTGTTAGTCTTAAAAAGAAGCATTCTGTATATATAAATATACAGGGTGTTTTTTTTTTTTTTATTCTTACACATTTGTTTAAATATACTAAGAAAGCTACACAAGAAAGTTTGTGCAGGTGGGTTATACGGCCAGGCAGACATTATGTGGGTGGCTAATCTTTGCGTTAAGTCGGCTAATTAATTAAAATTCGTAATTTAACGTTTTAATTACTGAAAGTAAACATTTGTTTTCAATTAGAAACTTGCTGAGCATCATCGAAAACCCTTAAATCAACTATTTTTAGCAGGATATAACGCCGGGGCAGCATTCTACAGCGTTCTGTAAAAACGTTCCATTTGGACGCGTTTCTAGATTTCGGTTTCTTATCGGAGTGCATCTACGCGCCCGCGATCCTGCTCCCCGGTGGTCGTGGCGCGAAACCACCTCCTCGCATCCCTCGTAGAATGAAGGGAAGTACGGCGCACGTGTGTTGCGCGTCTCGGCCACTGGGGAGCAGGACCACGGGCACAGTGATTCGCTCCGATAAGAAACCGAAACCTAGAAACGCGTCCAAATGGAGCGTTTTTACAGAACGCTGTAAAATGCTTCCCCGGCGTTATATCCTTCTAAAAATAGTTGATTTAGTGGTTTTCGATGATGCTCTAAAAGTTTCTAATTGAAACCATGTGTCTTTTTCCACGAGCTAGAAGGTTAATTAATAAATTTTAATTAATTAGCCGACTTATCGCAAAGATTAGCCACCCACATAATGTCCGTTTGGCCGTATAACCCACCTGCACAAACGGCATTAGTGTAGCTTTCACGTTTTTTTTTAAACAAATGTGTAATAAAAAAAAAAACACTCTATATATATATATAGAGAGAGAGAGAGAGAGAGAGAGAGGGTGTTCCAGATAACTTGTACTAAACTTTACAAAACAATCGGAGCACTCTGCGAGAGTGAAACCAACTGTATGTTGTTAAAAAGCGTTTTGGGAATGTGCAAAAAATGTTTTAGTGCTCCTAGTTATTTAGTTTATTAAGACTAATTAGCAAATGTTTTAATGATTCATTTAAGAGACCGAGGTGTGTATTGGAAAGTTTTAGAGCGCATTGAGAAACACATAATTAAGGTGTTTCCTATACCTTACACTTTGTGTGCTTCTTTTTATGAGCCTAAAAAGAAAGCCTGCAAAATATAAAAAAGAACCACTTGACAATGCGCCCGCACGTCGTGCTTGCAGTGCTGTCAGACGTGCTCTGAAGGAATAAAGTCCACCCTATCACTGGTGCACTGTCCGAGAAAGAGCCTTGCAGCAGCAGATGCTCGCAGTTATCGTCGAGGACGACTACAACACAAACCCCTGTCTTGTACAACGCGCCAGTGATAAGGAGAACTTTGTTCCTTCAGGGCACATCTAAGTGCGCTGCAAGCTCAACACGCGAGCACGTTGTCACGTGGTCTTTTTTTATGTTTCACAGGCTTTCTTTTTAGGCTAATGAAAATAAGTGTGCAAAGTATATTGAATATTAAAGATGAAACAAACCCCCCCCCCCACCAAAAAAAAAAAAAAATTATTCCTGGTTATGCCACTGATATATATATACATATGTATGTATGTAGTAGGAACATTGCAACAATGACAAAATGTTACACACATGCAAAACCTGACTTTAGTTGTCAATCTGAAGTTTCAATGGTAATGTTCCTATGAAAAGCAAATTGGATGCCATGCATGTTTATACCGCAGAAAGTTGGTTTTGCCTTGAGATTTGGCAACACTGGTTCAGTCCTGTAAAGGCTAACTTGGCCAGTACAGTATGACTGCTAACTTAGGACACTTAACAGTCTTCATCTGATAGTGATGAGACAACTACAAACTGGTACAATTTCTCTAATCAGAGTATTTCAATATACCTATATAGTTTTTCTGAAGCGAGTCATACCTAAACCTTTATCTTGAGCGGGTCAGATAGGCACATCAGTCACGTTTTCCAGAAACCTAACTTTTGGAATGAAATGTAACAGATTGTCTCCAACTTCTAAAACCCATTTGGTAAATCTATCCTTCCAGGAAGAGGGGCCGTTTCTACTATAGTCGGTGACAGGCTAACAGGGGGGTCGGTGACATCCACAGTTCTTTTGCAACGTGCATTCCACACCATCAAGGTTGCTGGTCTTAGCAGCCTATTAATATGAGCTCATTCTGAGCACATGCTTTAAACAGCATCCTCAAATGTGGCACCCAGTGAATACTTTTTATACTGTCGAGACCGGTTGTAATGAAGTCGGTCATAACAAAGCGACCACGATTTCCCACCCCCTTTTGCACTTCGTTAACCGAAGTCGGTTATAACGAAATAGCGGGTACAGCGAAGGGATTTCCGATTCCTGTTGTTTTTGTTATAACAGATCTTGACAGTAGTGTTGTTCGCCCCGTTTCATACACATGCCTGTCAAAAGTAAAGCATAAACCTGCAAAACTCCATTCCAATGAAAAAAAAAAAAAAAAAGCAGCATTGCGCTTGTTGCAAGATGTCGCATGCAAGACGGGCTTGCAGTGATGTGGAGGTGAGCCAGCTGGCGCCGCGTGAATCCATTAGCGACGACGCTAGAGGGAGAAAGGCACGGGTCTTCTAGGCGGTATCTTTCCGTTTCGTAAAATGGCATGCGACAGATCCCCGAGATGACATTCCCGTCCCGTCTCGCACAGGTCCAGTTGAGCATGGACGACATTGAGACCATCCTCAACACCCTCATCTACGACGGCAAAGTCGAGAAGACGGTCGTTTCGGCGGGAGGGATGGGCTCATCTTCCAAGGGGGCCGGGGCGGACTCTGCGGACGTGGTCAACCTGTACCGGGCGGTCGATCCGCTGGTCGAAAGCGCCGGCATCATGCGGATGCCCTGCGGCACGTGTCCCGTACGTCTCCATGCACGCCCCTTGCTCCTTGGTGCCTCACCTCGTTCCTCGCGCTTCCGTCTTTCTCTGTCATGCATCGCGTCTTCTCTTTCTTTCTGCCGTCTGCTTCGTCCAACACCTCCCAATGCGAAGCGCAAGTTCGTCTGCTTCTGTCATAAGGCTTGTAATGGGGTCAGAACGCCAAGCTCTTATTGGCTGATTGAAAAAAATAGCAGGGAGACGTCAAGGCATCTAGCATTGAAGTCTACGCACTACCCTTTCAATCAGAGCCAATCAGGGCTCGGCTTTGTTATGACGTCACTGCAACTCCTGCGCAAGAAGCAGACGATTTGCGCCCCGCATAACGAAGCTGCCAGGCAGCATTTTCAAATCTGGCCCACCGGAGGGCAGCGCGGGGCATGAATTAGTCGCAGAGGGCCACGTCGGCGTTCGGCTGGGGCCGTCGTGTATTGAGCACGGGTCCTAGCCGAACGCTTGTGCAGCACTCGTGTCCAATCTGGGTCTGTTAGAACGTAAGGCGAAGAAAACCACCTCCCACAAAGCTTTGTACTGCTTGCGATTGGCGGATGGCGATAGATGGTACCGGAGTGTTCTCTCGCTGTAAGGCCAGCTTCAGACAGGGCAACTTTCTCAGCTGTTTCATTATTGCTGGCCAGTTATTCCCTAGCTTTCCCTACATCTTAAATGAAGTTGCTGACCAGTTGTTCCCTGGACCCTCGCGCTGCAACACAAATTGCCGAGATAGAGTTCGGCTAGAAACAAACAAGCAACTCCGACACGTTTGAAGTGGCAGCAGCCAATCAGGGACGCAATATTTCGACTTGGTTCCGGTTTGAAATGGTTTGTTTTTGAGAATAAATCGTTTCAGAAACACGAGTCAGCGTTCTCAATGTTATTTAAAGATATAAAACCACGTTTATAGCATGTAGCTGTGCGTCTAAATGGTGCGAGAAAATTAGAATTTAATGATGATGATGGAAAATCATAGCAATTCGGCTGCTGCGTATGCGGGGGCACGGGTTGCGACGCAGTCGACGGGACTCAAACACGTTTGTGGAGCGGCCTTGGAAATGCACATTGTAGCGGTGCTGTAGAACCTTGAAAACGTTGCTTCTGCAGGTGATCCAGAATTGCTACGAAGGTGGCGTGGTGTCCCCGGCCACGTGCCAGTATTTCAAAAAGTGGCTTGACATGGACTTCGACGAAAACGGGTCGTTCGACGACGGTACGGCCCCTTTATTGGTTTTTTTTTAAGTCTATACAGAGCGTTTCTTTTAATCAATCCAGAATGTCAATTTAAAAGAAAAAAAAAAAAAAGGAACTTGCATCAAAGTTTTTTTAGCCCACGGGCAGTTTGCTGGTGAATGAGGCTCTCTCTCCCGGAGGCTAAGATAACCCCAAGAAGGATTCTTCCTACCCACGGACCTGGTCACATGACCAGGTCCGTGGGTAGGAAGCACCCAGCATTCCACCCGATTCCGTGTAAGCCTTGCCCATCGCATTCTATGGCCTCTCGCTCGATGCAATTTTCCCCATAAAACATTTTACACACCGTTTCTAAAGTACACGAATGCGGTTTATTTCACTTGAATTTTAAGCGTGTGCACCGTCTTTGTGCATGCAAAGGCAGATTTCAGTAATCAGATTGAGGATGGACTTGCGGCAGCCATCTGCCTGTCTCAGCATCAACTACTTTGTGCTGCATTATCCAGGCTGGTGCAGCTTCCAATGTGCTCCAATGCTATTGGAGCTACTTGCACAAGCGCGTTGCTTCGTTTGGCGTCTCCTTTGCACGAAAGCGCGTGCAAACGAGATACAAGGCGAAGCCACGTGCTCTTGCAGTAGTGCTGAGCTGCAGTACTACACTACGCTAGTCTCTTTAGTGTAGCAGAAAATAGTTGACATTTTTTTTTATAGACGCCTTGACCTCATGAAGCTGGTTATGTGATCAAAAATCCCTTTTGCGGTGGCTTTAGCCACTGGGAGAGATACCTGCATTCACCGGCAAGCCGCCTCTTGGCCAAGTTACTGGCCACTGGGAAAGAAGCAAAATGGATGAATTAGTTAGCCCAGTAAAAAGTCTCGATTAACATTTTGCATTTCAATTCTGGAGGCATAATGTATTTGGAGAGTGGATGCTCGACCTCAGTACAGTACAGCCTAGCCACGATGGGAATTTTTTAATAAAAAATCAGAAGGGGGCACTAAGGTGCGAAAAGGTCGCTCTTGTATACAGCTTCGAACCAAAATTAAGCAGCCGGAGAGCGGTGCTGTCGCAGCCTGCTACGCTTGCAGAGGCGTCGACATCACTATGTTGAGGTTGAGCGCCGATTCACCAAATGCACTACGCCCCCCCCCCCCCCCCCCTCACAAAAAAAAAAAAAGTTTGACAGGAGGCTTTTTAGTGTAGACTTTTTAAGAGACTTTTTAGTGTTGTGTGTGTGTTTTAGTGTAGAGACTTTTTAGTGTTGTGTCGATTACCCGCAGTCTCGGGGTTTTTTCAACCATTGACAGGAGGGTCATTCCATGCCAAAAGAGACGCGGCAATTTTTCTATGTCTGGGATATATACAAAAAAATTAATTTGGATAAAGAAGCCTCTGAGCTAAAAAAAAAAAAGTATCCTTTTTCTTTTGTGAAAAAATAAATATTATTTTTGGTGATCTAAATTTCTGGGATTTGTATAAAACCCGTGTAGCTAAAAAAAAATTGTGAAAAATGGCTGCGCACCACACTAATTTAGGTTAGTACCTAGTTACTTAACAACATGCCCATCTTACAGTAAAATACAAACACTGAAAGATGCCATTTTGAGTCCAAATAGGAGCTCCAAAATGAAAAGACTTCATGACATTTCTTTATTTTTTTTAGTCAACTTGGAGTTGTGTGTTATCCACAATACTTTTTTTATTTGTTCCCAGGGAACTAATAATTGAATTGCATGTGTTAAATGTCCAAAGCCTCATTTTGTTGCATTTTAATTAAATGACAACATCTCCAGTTTATGACAAAACGGCCTTATTGAGAGCCAGAAAAAGCAATGAGGGCAGCGGTGCCCGCCACTTTCAAAATAGCCAAAAGTTCAATCCACCTCACTTCTTCAACATAGCAAAAAAATGGAAAAGTGCTTTTTGTTGTTGCCGAGAAATTATTTTTCAAAGATGAGCCTCTCCGACCGTGCATCCACGCATCCGCCTCTTAGGCGACGCACGCCGGCGTTCGCCGACGAGATGTCGACAGTGCGAAAAGCTGCCGCTAGGTCTTCAACTCTCTTCTGAAAATACTCTTTATTTAGTTGAAGTAGACGTTATCTTGACATCCACGCATCCGTATTTTTTTTACCTTACATAATGACACTGGCGTCTTAATTTCACTCTACTGCGCAGGTAACCGCCGACGAGCGCAGGCCTTCATCATCGTCTGCTTCCTCAGTTTGGAAATGCATACTGCATGTCGACCTTGTCTGTGGTACGTCCAGATGTAAAAAAAAATTCGGACCGGATAGCTCCTCACCTATGCAAAATGATAACAGTGATGTCGCTTCACCATTGAACGTAAATATGTATAGAACCAAGATGTATTGAAGTTCGTAGGTGAACCACCAAGAACGCGCTGTTGAGATAGCAACGGGTCACGGAAACGACTGTCACTTTTCTGTGCGTCATTGTGGGCGGGGCTTGCGGCAATATTGAAATCGGGAGTAAAAATGCGAAAACTGATCGATGAATATCTAAGAAACTATTACCTTTTTGCAAATTTTGTAAATTGTTCAAACCTCCGATAGTAGTTGGCGTCGATATTGGAATTGCGACATCCGCCATAAAACCGTCATTTAAAATGTTAATCAACAATTTGTTTATTAAGCAGACTTACAACGACGGTTGTTACCTCACCTAACGTCCGCCGAGCCTGCCGCTCCGATGGAGCAGACGACACCTGTGCAATGCCCACTTTTCATCAAACACACTTCCTCCAAAAATACTAGGGAGTTCAGAATTCGAGACATGTTCTGTTGGCCCCCAGTGTATTTTGGAGCCTAAAATACTGCACATGTACGTGACCTCAGGGGTGTGAGGCATCTGCCAGAGTGAAATGCTTTTTCCATCATTACACTCCTTTTTGGTAGCACACATATTCTACCGAATACATTTAAGCTCAATGGAAAAGCGACATCACCGTTACCATTTCGCAATGGTGAAAAGCTATCCGGTCTGAACTGTTTTTGTTTTGACGTGCAGTATGCATTCCCAAACTCTGGAAGCAGAGGACGCAGGCCTGTGCTCGTCGGCAATTATATGGGCAGAAGTACAGTAAAATTAAGAAGCCAGTATCAGGATATGGATGCTTGAAAGTCAGGATAACGTACACATCAGGTAAACAAAACGTGTTTCCGGGAGAGCTTTGAAGACCTTTTGGTGGCATTTCGCACCCGTGACGCTTCGTTGGCGAACGCCAGCGTGCGTCATCTACGAGGCGGGTGCCTGGATGTAGGGTCGGAGAGGCCCATCTTTGAAAAATAATTTCTCACCAGCAACGAAAAGTTTTTTTCTGACTTTTTGATATGTTGAACAGATGTGGGTTGAACTTTTGGCTATTTTGAAAGTTCCAAGCCTCGACGCCCACATTGCTTTTTCTGGCTCTCGATAAGGCAATTCCTGCATAAACTGGAGAATTTGTTAGTTATATAAAAACCAACAAAATGAAGTTTTAAAAATTTAATGGATGCAATGCAATTATTAGTTCTATGGGAACAAACGAAAAAAGTATTTTAGCTAACACTCAACCCCAAGTTGACTAAAAAAAATTAAGAAATATCAAAGTCCCTTCGTCTTGGGCTCCTATTTGGACTCAAAATGGCGTCCTTCAATGCTTGTATTTAACTGCAAGATAGGGCATATTAAGGAATTAGGCACCCACCTAAATTTGTGTGGTACACAAGTTTTTTCAGTGTCTTAACTACACGGGTTTCTGCAAATTCCAGAAATTTAGAACATGTCGGCAAAAATAAAATTTATTTTTTCACAAAAGAAAAATATTATTTTTCCTGGAGTTCGGAGGCTTCTTTATACAAATTAATTTTTCATTCATATTTCAGACGTGGAAATGTTGCAATGTCTCCTTTGGCATGAAGTTCACCTCTTCTGTCAAATTTTCTTGTCAAAAATGGTAATTTTTATTGAAGCCAGGCTTGCACGTGGCAGTGAATGGTTTAGTGCATGTTAAAGGGGAGCTCCGGACTTTTTTTTTTTTCCAGCTACCCAAACAAATTGCATTTTCTGAATAGCCGGGTGTCAGTCTTCACAGCATGCTAATTATTGTCTTGATATTCAAAATAGCTTTTTGAGAAAACCGCAAGTAAGTTTCTGCCTGCTTCCCTGTCAATGAGCTTCCAAACATTCTTTTCTGACGATGAAACATCTTGTAATTGGTTGGGAACGTGGTCAACTGCCCACTTTGTACCATTTCGGTCGGCACACTTCATTCAGAGTTGCCAGAGGGGCTCTCGGTTTGACAAACAATAATGGAATGCAAAAACTCAATGACTTTGCAAATTTTTTTTTTCTTTCACTCAATACTTGGGGGATTGGTACAGTCATGTTTTCTGTCAGTGTATTGAGCCACTTTTGAGGTAAATCGGTAACCATAAGAAAACATTGCTGGAGCACCCCTTTAAGCGTTAAAATCACATTTTTTCTTTCCTTGCAGTTTTCTGACGAAGCGCCGTGCAGCACAAGATTTGTACAGCTCCGAAGAATTGAATAAACGTGTCGCCCGTGCGATCGTTAGCAAAGCGAGAAATGCACGCCTTTACTTCAGTTTTTTTATTGTTTGCAATTCACTGCACCAAGAAGTAACGTCTTGCCCACTCTATAACTTTCCCCATCTCCTAAACGCCTACAGGTGACACATCGATAAAACATTACACTTTCATTTTCCTCTCCACTCCGTCAGGTGGCTAACAATGTTCTTTTCTTATTTTTTTTTTGTACACAGAAAAATGCAAGTGACACGTTTTTCACCGTTTCTCCTTCGAACGGTGCCACACACACGCACACAAAAAAAATTACCTCGAAAAAACAAAATGCATGACCTGAGGTGCTTTCAAATTTGACTGTTTGTGCAAGCTATAATATTTATTAAACAAAAAGAAAAGGTAGCAAACTTATCTACATGCTAAAAAGAAAGACGGACCATGTGTACAGAGCTCAAAGAAAGTTCAAAGCACGAATAAACGTCGAACATACGCAAGAAAAAGCGACACATTTCCTACGACGTCGCATCTTCGATTGTGGATGCTCGAGTTAGGTGCAGCTCATTTGCCATTTCAGTGCAATGCCACCATAAATAAGCCGGGCTGCCTAAACAGAACTCCCATCTGCCAGAATATTGGTGGGAGCGTGAAAAAAAAAAATTGTTTCTCATGTTGGTGTTTTCATTTCGTGTCTTTGCGACGCATGTAAATAAATGCTGTAAAAAATATATATATTTCTCTTCGCGTCAGTTCTGTCCGTTGACGGACTGGCTGCCATGCTCAAACTGCGTCTTGTTTCGGATCAGGTAGTTGGCCAGGTACTCAATCGGGTTTGGCGGCCTGCAAAGGGAATAAGTAGCAGGAGTTGGTACAAGGTAAAACTACAGTTTTGAAATTTGTTATATGCAATAAGCCATTTGTAGTGACCAAGAAACAACATCGGGTTCATATTTTACGAACTGCACATCTTGTAGGTCTGGGGTCTCAAACTCGTTTGAGTGTGGGTGGGGGCCGGATAGCTTAAGCCCGAAAGGTTGAGGAAAACGACTCGTGACCATAAAGAAGAGGGTGAGCGCGACTCAAAACGGCCAGTTCTTGATTGGCAGTTTTCGGGCGGAAAGAAAACAAATTTCGAGTCGCAAATTTGTTTTGGGTAGTTGGGCTCTCGGGGCGTGATGTCATGTTAGAGAAGTTATCAAAATCTCTGCTCTCGCGCATCTTCAGCGCCTGTCAGAGCTATGCACGCTGACTTTTGCTATTTTCAAAAAGGTCTGACGTCGCGACTGGTGTCAATGCGGAAAAATATATTTGGCAAGCTTGCTATTGCACGCACTGCCCACACGAGCGACATGTGCTTGGCGGCCCAAATATCCTAGTATGACGTCATGACTGGTCAGAGGTTTTCAGTGTTTTCTTGCGTTTAGTTACATCTTCGGGGGAAACAAACGTAATGTTCAGATTCATGAGATAAAAATATGCCACAATTCCTGTTTTTTTTGTAAATAAGTTTTAGCTTTTTTTTTTTTTTTTTTAAAGAAGCAATAAAAAGAAAATGTATCGGCCAGATCTTAATTTTTTTTGTAATCATTAAGCCACAAAGATCTTGATTCCCAAGTAGTGCGGCAAAATATTGTACCTGCATTTTATAAGCCGTGTAAAAAAATTGTGTTTTTTGGACCGACTGAAACGACCATGCGACACACCTTGCCAGTATGAGCAGAAAAAATGCCATGATAGCTATGCAAAAAGTTGGGACAGATATTCAAGTTCATTTAATCCACAAATAATAAATTGGGTGCAATAAAAACACTTAACAGTTTACACTCATTCTTTTACGAATGTTTGTCACTACATCATGCGACTGTGGTACAGTTTCGGTTTTAAACACATTTTAGGTCTTCTGCTGCTTAGTAACAATCGCAACTATGCGCCTCGTCCCGCCGCGGCTCGCATTCGTTGCGGAACCTGATTGGCAGATTACAATTCTAATAAAACAGAGTTAAGCAATAAAAAGGTTGCAACCCCGAGAGGATTTGAACCCAGAACTTCGAGTAAACAGTAGCAGGGAGGGACGTGCACGTTTGACCTTTCGACAATCTTTTGACTTGCCCATGACAAAATGCTGTATGAGAGGAAGGGGGAGAGGAGGTCCCAGCAAAATGGAAAATTTCAAAGGGGGGAAAGGGCCCAAGCCCCATGGCCCCCCCTCCCTCCCTCCCTTCCTTCCTTCCTTCCTTCCTTCCCCCCCCCCCCCCCCCCCCCCCCCTTTTGGCTACGGGCCTGCTACATCCGTTTCGGGCCGTTTACTTTTGCAGGTGCAGCCGTAGGACGTAATATTTCAGTATTTCCCATGACCTCTAATCGTGGTCATGGGAAATACAAACAACATATAGTGTCGGCGTACGACTCGAAACCTAAAAGCCAACCGCAGAGTAATAGGCAAAGCTAGAGCTCAGTGGTTGGCCATCTTATAATTATCTGAGCATAATATCAGACATTGGATGTCATCCGTTGACTTGCATGCGTGACGCCATTATGGCACTGCTGCTGGAGTGATATCTGACGCTCAGGCTTTGCCCACCAAGTCTTGTCTAGGTTACTATCTTGCACAGATAAGAGAAATTTCCTATGCACATGCCCACCAAGTCTTGTCTAGGTTACTATCTTGCACAGATAAGAGAAATTTCCTATGCAGAGAGCGAGTCGTCTGCTGGTACTGCTGCTGGGGTGATATCTGACGCTCTGGCTTTGCCAACTAAGGCCAGTCTAGGCTGCCATCTTGCACAGATAAGAGAAATTTTCTATGCAGAGAGCAAGTCGCGTGCTTCTTACGCAAGAGTGGCGGTGACGTCAGAATGACGCCAAGGTCCGATTGGCTTTGATTGAAAGGATAATGGGTAGACCTCAATACTAGATGGTCTGGAAGCAGACGATGCAGGCCTGTGCTCGTCGGCAATTACTTGCGGCAATTACTTGGGCAGAAGTAGAGTAAAATTAAGAAGCCGGAAGACGGAAACCAAAATCCCAGGAGAACGCCAAAGGAGTCCACTACCCACCTTTCCTTAGCCAGAGTGGAGAGCGCCTGTAGCAAGATCGGCACCACCGTCTGATCCAAGTACTGCCTCGTCGGTAAGGAATGGAAATCCGAGTCCATCTTCGACTTTTTGGGTAGACTAGCGGCGATGTTCTCCTTGTCGGATGTGGCCTTGGTCGAGTCCTTTTCCAGGTTTCCCCCACCCCCCAGGTAAAACAAAAACGAGAACACGACGCAACTAGTCAGAAAAGTTCGACTAACGACCTTAAACTCGCAAGAAAGCAGAGTTCGCTACCCCAAGCTTACTAACCTGAGCGTTGTCTGTAGCGCCGGCGGCTACTGTGTCTGTGGCGGCGCGTACGTCTTCGGTGACTTCAGCCTTGGTGGCAGCGTTGTTCTCGTCTGCAAAAAGAAGCGTAAGCACGACATGGCGTGCCCGATTTCTGCATTTTTCTCGATAATTTAGGGTTTGTTTCTATCCCTTTGCCCGCTTATAACAAAGATTAGACGCTGAAAAAAAATGTGCTGTCGGCCATTTCTTATCGTGAGTGGATTAGCTCGCCACAGTATCTGTTTTTCGGTTCATAGAGAAAGACGGCGGGGAAGTGGAATGATTCTGCTGCATTATTGAGTCCTCTCCATCATGTTAGACCATTGCTTTATGTTGAAGTGGTTAAAAGAAACACCGAGCACAGACTCTGCTCGCCGCATTTCACTTACCTTCGGCCATGTTTTCGAAAGCACGGGCAGGCGCTGCACGAGCGCACGGGAAGCGACGATTTAATGGATGGATGGATGGATGAATGGACGTAAATTTATTATGCTGTGAAGATGTGGCAACTTGCGCCATCTATCCTAAATGCTTCATCAAAACTATATTTTTAATATAGTTTTGATGTATATATTTTTAAAATTTATGTCAGCAGCCAGATAACCTCTGCTTGGTTATTTCTATTTTCCTAACGTTTGTGTATTCTTGTCTCGCCTTCGGTAACCCACCGGTCGTGCTTTTCACACGCTTTGATCGCTTTACTTCGTAACCTTCGTAACACTGCCAACACTGCCGTCCTGGTGCAAGAAGTTTAGAAGGACCTCGTCATAAAAAAAAAAAAAAAAGGTAAATATTGATTAGATCATAGGTAACGCAACACGCCACCCAGTTCAAAACGTTAGCTGTAGTTATTTATCAGAGCCGTTATTTATTTATCCATCCATTAAAATGTTGATCCCTCTATGGTTGATCCACGAGACTCGTCGTAGCAATTAACTTCCGCTTCCGCCGCTGGCCGCCGCCCAAGTTTTGCAGGCTGCTGTCGGTGCTCTTGGTGCTGTTTTCTGTTACGCTGTAGTTCAAGAACAGCTCAAGAAATCAGTTTTGAAAACATAATAAGACATTAGTGCTGAAAGTAGACGTCCTACGGAGTCTCCCGTCAGCCGCAAACTTAATCCTGGTTTGGAAAACAAGTCGGACCTCTGTTTGAAAGATGACTTCACCATTGCTAAAAGATGGTGGTGACTTGCTGCAGCAAGTAAGCGCTGACAATCTTGAATTGCTAGAACAGGTCAGGAAGCGGGTATATTTCTCTTACATCTGCCTGTGCATCCCCTGCAACGGAGACGCATGGAATCCACGGCACCCACACCACACCGTATTGTATTCGTGTTGTAGCACCTGTCGTATGCCTTGGCCGCCTCAGCTTTATTTATTTTTTTGCCCCCTTTTTTATGCTTCTCACCGGCTTTATTTCTGTACTTGATGTGATTTTGGGTTTTATTTACCGTAAAGCGCCTTACGTGAAGTGGTGTGGCTGGTTTTGGTTACGTTAGCGCCGTAGTTCCTTGTAAGTAATGCGAGCTCACACAAATGTGCTTCTGTGATGGCTAGCATTGATGTGAGCTGGGAAATGACCAATTTTTCACATTGTAAAAATTTAGGAGTTTTTTTAAGTATTTATTTTCATAGTTTGAAAGAGGAGCCTCGGGTGCCTGATATGGGCTTCCAGCTATCCACCTAAACATAGAATAAAATTATAATTATGAAAAGGAAAAATAAAAAGAAACAAACAAACAAGCCTTGCCCGCTTTGAGTCTAGTACTTTGATGCATTCGGGACTGCTCTCTAGAGAGAGGCTGTAAATTCGACACGCAGTATCCGCTTCTGCCGAAGAAATTCATAAAAGGGAGATGTGACTTTGAGGTTTTGAGGTTCTTGAATTAATTTATTCTTCATTTACAGTATTTCCAAGAAATAAACTGACCAAGTGGAAGGAAAATGTGATAAATTTTAACTTCTGCTCAGTCAGAGTTACACTTCATAGTGGGCTAGATAACTTGTTCATACCCCTCATACTTGTGGCCTTGAAATCTTCATTTTTGCAATGTGCGGTGGACGTCTTGAACATTTCACCAAAATTGTCCATTTCCCAGCTTGATTGTCGCAATTGCAGTGAGAACAGCCGGAAAGGGTCCTGAATTGAGGCATCCCCTTTCCGTTTTTGCTTCTACATGTCCCGGTCAGAAAGTCTGTCGGGTCTACCGGATTTTCCAGAAAATTCGGTGGCCAATCGATCCGACCTCGATAAACTTGAGAAATTGATAAAAGGATGAATACGGTTCAGGGCCTTTCCGTCTGCACCCAGATGGACCATTAACAATGACGTAGAGTGACGCGCCGATGCTTTGTCTACTCTCGCGCCCAGATCGGACTGTATCTCTCGTTAGAGAAAGTCGAGAACGCAGACAAGTTCTACAAGTCCGTGGTCGGTGTGCGGCTTCTGCAGCACTTCTGGAAGAAACTGAACAGGGAAGACGAGATTGAAGCACACAGGGTAAATATAGTTTGGTTTACACGAGTTGTCTTTCACTCGGCAAGCCAGTACTGCGAGTCTTGATTTTGCTTCAACTTTACTGTGGTGTTGAGAGTTCCTTGCATCGACAGTTCACCGCTCAAGAACAATATCGCGCTTGGTAAGCCTTTGTAGCTTTTCCTTTGGTGTTTGTACAATCACCGAGGTTGAGACCGTCTACTATTGCAATCAGAATCTGGCCATAAAACAAGTTTATCATTTGTGAACGGTATTGAGTGCTCAGTAAGCTTTCATAGCTTTTGTATCGGCATTTGCACAACCGTCGATGCTGAGAGACGACTTGCTATTTCCATCAGAACCTGGCTGTGAAACGAGACCATATCATTGCTTGTCTTTCTTGTGTCTCGTTGTGGATGAAGCATTGTGCAAAATGTTTCAAAGCCGGGACAATTCTTGATTAAGAAAAGTTTTACTCCGACTGTACAGAACACACAGAGCCACCTACACAGGTGGCATTCTCAGTGTCATTGTACTAGCTGTTGTATTTACTTAGTGTTATTGTATTTACTTGTACACAGAGCTGTATATAGAGAGAGTGGCCATTCATTGGGAAGTATAGGAGGCAAATGAGGCGCCATTGGCCAAAAGGTGGCTGGGCGTGTTCCAGGGCGTCTTCACAAATTTGAATGTGGCCAGCCAGAAGCCGCCAGTTGGCCAGGGTATTACCTGCCTGCCTGCCTGGCCAGCTGACAATCTCCGCCAGGGTAATACCCTGGTGGTGATCGCAAGAAACAAACTTAATAAACGTGTCGGTGTAACTGTCGGAAACTGAAAATTCGGTGCACGTGACGTTGTGATCACGGTCATGCAAAATCATAGTGGAAGGTATATAAAGATGTAAAAAGTGTGCGACTAGTAGAACGATCAATGTAGTTCGTATGCCAGGCGCCGAGGGCTGGGAATCTGCCATCCGAGCAGTCAGGCTCCGTCCAAGCAAAACAGAGCTAAAGCAGCACATTCGTTTCTCACATCTTTTTACATGATCAGAATCGAAACATCACGTGCACCACATTTTCAACCATGAAGAGTTACTACATTTAACTCTTACGCACTTATTAAAACTGTTTTTCGCTGCCACCGCCAGGGTACCATTTTCGGCTTCTGGTTGGCCATGAGGGCGTGTCAAGCCCTCATTCTGCGTCTGGTGCACGCTCTGGCTCTGCCCGTTTTTGCCATTGACCAAACTCTCTCTGTACACGACTTTGCTTGTACAGTCATGTCTGGTTAGTATGGACTTCTCTGTCCCCCAGGAAAATCGTCCATAGTGTGAGTCGTCCATAATAACGAATCTGGGCCAAAACACACACATCAACAAGCATGGAGGAGAGCTCCTCCTTCCCATCTTCTCCAAATGCTTGGGTTGAAGATGGGAAGAAGAAACTCCTTTCATCCCGACCTTCGCCGTTTGCCAAGTTGCAGTGGAACGGAGTATAGGAGAACTTAGCTTTGTGGGTCCAGAGCTTATCTCGTTCCCCAAACAATGACGAGGTCTACGGTCTTATGACCTACAGTCGGTTACAGGGTAAAGGTGAACTGGAAGCTCCTCCGGACCCCTTTCCACTCTAAAGCATTGCTGGAAAGGAGGTCGCCCCTCCTCTCCAGTGTTCACACTGCTAAAATGGAGGTGGGAGGAGCTTCCACTTTAATCTTAACCTGTCACCGACCATAGCTGCTTTAGTGTTCATTCTTATTTTGTTCCCGTTTGTAGGTATACCAATCTCTACAGAAGACTGCAAGTGTTAGTGACCCATTTTACGTAAAAGACAAAACAAAAACATCTTTTTGCGCACAGCTCATATTGCAAGACCTGCAACAGATGTCCGGGTGCACATTGTGACCTCCTGGGTTCATCAATATATCGAGGGAGTTTTTGGACCTTTTTAAAAGAGTTTAAAGAAAAGAAAAAAAACAAAAAAGTTTTGGCATCTATAGACAGTTCCATTAGGGTCATAGCAGAGAGGGTAATGGAGAAAAAAAATGCCCTCGCCCTCTCACCCCATATGTCGTCTGCTCCGCCGAGTGGGCTGTACCTAGCATCCGGCTGGCGTGCAAACTCTGTTTAAAATCGCGTCATTTTGGAAATTTCAAGTGCAGGTGCGCAGATTTTGGTATGCCAGTTATCGTGTAATACTATGCTAGATAAAAAGACTAACAGGGTCCGATTGCGCTGTTACCTACGTGCAAATAAAAAAAAATAGGGAAAACTGTGTCAGATTGGTCGGTCTCTCCGGCGAAAAGTAAATCCGGTTGCGGTACCTTTTTTACTATACAAAGTTCGTACTTGTGTAGATCTTTAGCGACCATGATTGGAAGTCTGAAATAATAAATAAAAATATACTTTTCTGCCGCAATACACGCAGTAAGTAGTTGAGGATAGTAATGCGGGCTGACTGAACTGCTATTTAAGTAACGGAAAAAAGATATGCTAGTTGATCATTTACCGAAATAGAACAACAGAGAGCTATGACTTTGGAGTAGCCATAACTATTCTAAGAACGCGAACCACTTCACAATGACAGCCACGAGCAAGAGTTTGATGTTCCGTACAGCCCGCCAGTACAGCCCAAAGATGGAGAATGGCAACCCTCGTTTTACCCCGCCGAACCTGCTGAATTTCCCGGATGTATGGAGAGGGCGCTGCTGTCAAACAAAATGGTGCCGCCCAGAGAGCGCTAAATGGAATGGTCTACAATAATGTGACAAAAATGCCTGCATTTACCCAATTCGTCCTCAAAATAGCTGTCCATAATCCGGACTGCGGGTTCCCTTATCAACAGGGCAGAATTGCATGGCGAAAGATTGGTCGACGAAAATTTCGTCCATAATGCGGGCGGGATGTTCATATTAACGAGACAGGATTGTGTTTGCTGTTTTATATCCTCAGTGGTACTGTAGTTATTTTACGTGGTATTTCCTGTTTAATTTGAATTTGAACATATCTTTTACGAAATGGGGGCCAAAGTTAGATAACAACTGCTGGCTTCTCCAAGTATTTATCAAACTCGGCGAATGTCAGATGAGGGCGCAAACGCCGAGGAAAGTTGGCTAATTAACAAAAATTTGTTCAGTAACTTTTTAATTATTTGTTTTCGGGAAGTATGTCGTAATTGGAGTATTGACAGAATTACTAATTAGGAGCCGGACAAATTGAACGAATTTGCCAGAATGCAATAGATTCCGAGATATTAATTGCTCCGTTTGCACATTTATTTTTGTCCCATCTAAAAATTGAGCGCAAAAATCATGGGGGACGCTTGAGCTTCGCCTTTAAGAGTGGAATGCGACAGCATTTTCCGGTCGTGTTCGCAAAGCCTTCTCATATAAGCGCATGTTCGTGTCCAAGCCGTGCATGTGTGTGTGTGTGGTCCCATAATGCAACGCGTGCAGACACGTGCAACGTCAGACGTGGGGTCGCACGTTGCATTATGGGATTTTTTGGTTACGCCGAGACTGACGCCGGATTTCCTGCGACTCAAGCTCCTAACCATTCTCGCGTTAAGAGCACTGCAAGCCCTACCCACGATGACGCTTGGAAGAGCTACGTCACTTCAATCTTGTCGTCACTATCTCAACAGTGGGTCCTTCGTGGGTGTGCCGACGGACGATGTTACTCAAGCACCTACGTCGCTCTTTAAACGTCGTCGTGGGCGGGGCTCGCACGCACCCTTTTTGTGCACAACTTTTAAATGGGCTCAAAAAAGTTAAAATTGATCAATATCTCGAAAACCATCGCATTTTTGCAAATGCTTTCAATGGGTCTGGTGTTTAGTAAATGCCATCAATACTGCAATTGAAACATGACCCCTAAAACCAATAATTAAAAACTTAATAAACAAATTTTAGTTAATTAGCCAACTTTTCATGACAATTACCCCCTATCTAATGTCCGCCAAGCCTTATAAAAATAGATGATGAAGACACTCATCTAACTCTCGCCCTTTAAAAAAAGGTTTCAACATAAAATTTACCATCCTGTATTTCCTTACATTGTATTTACACATCATCTTACTTTACATTGTATTGTTGCATTCACTGTCAGCCTCTCAGTGTGTGAGAAGGTATAGAGAAAAGTTTTTTTCTCTTCAGAATGAAGCTCTTCTCGCAATAGCGGACTACATCAAGAAAAACCCAAGGGCCACAGAAGAACAAATCCTCAAGGAAATCCAGAAACAAATCGACATCTTTGTTGCAAAGATCGAGTGAAGTCAATGCCTGCGAGTGTAAATGTGTGTGTGTGTCGTGCGTTCCCTAGCTTCTCAACTTTTGTTCAAAAGGTGTTTGAGGTCGGGTTGCACCAGTGAGCGACAAACAGGGAAGAGACATTTCAGGGGTAAAAGCAGTCGTTATATTTCTTTATTCAACTTCTGCGCTTATTTCACAACACAGAAACACCAATTTTTGTTTGCGTGGAGAAAAGATTAGCACAAAATACCAGGTCAGTAGGGAAAAACAGGTTTGCAGCGCAGTAGCACAGACATTTCTACAAGCTGCTGATCTCGCGACGCACCCTTACGGTTTTGTATACAAAATGCGCAGTGTAAAAAGGGAGAACAATCTTTCATTAAACTCTGCTCATCAACCTGTAACAAAAATACGGCGGCATTATCTGCAAGGCACAATGTTTTCGTGGCACTTGTACATTGTATAATATATTCTAAAAAAAAAAAAAAGCACGACAGATCTAGTCGGTATAATAAATGCTTGTTCGACAGCTATGTACATTCTATGTTTGCGAGTTCCGAGTTCATCCAGTTTCCGTCGACGCGGCAAAAAGGTGAAAAGCTGACGCCCGAAAAACATGGCCAAGATTCAAGTTTTGATCACACAAAACCAGTTTCTTGGCGCTTGTTTCTACCAGCTTTTGATATTGGCCTTCGGTGAAACGCAGCTTTTTCTTTTAAAAAAAGCACCACCAAGGCACCCCACTGTACGCGACTGAAAACGGACTTCCAAGATGGCACTTTTACGTGCACGTCTCGAGCTGACGAACACCAAATTATTCGTATGGCATTTTGCAAAAATTAACACGACACATGCAGTACACTGTACAACGTTCCTAAACCCTGGTACGTTCTGCGACCGTCGCACGCACACCGTATTTACATGTTTATGTTAGTAGTAGTCTCATTTTCATTTTATGCTCCACAAAGAAGCTTGGATACCCTGACACCAAATCACAGCAAGCTCTGTCGGACGCATCCAGTGTTACGACGGCCAGTCGCCCCGAAAATTCGGCGGGTTAATGTAAAATACTTTTATTTTCTATCCATTGGACCGAGCGAGTCGTTAGAATGAGAGACAAAACTCTTTGCGTGGGGCCCGTAATCTCACACGCTTTTTGAGTACCTTATCACGCAAGGTGCTTACGATGTCGAGCACGCGAAACACTGAAGTGGAAGGGACGGAATGACGCTGCATAAATAAACACCTCTTCACAACCTTGTCAAGTTTTGATTATGTAGAAATGCACCTTACAGGGACCATGAAACGATGTGGGGCTTGAATTTTGGTAAACGCATGTGGCGTTTACTATTTATCCAGTTGCCTGAAGCTATACCTGAAATTGCGAAAAATGTTTTTCAGTTTTCTAGAAATGTTACAATGGTACGCGATGGAGCAGAACGACGTTGCCCGAGCGTACTAAAACCGTGTCGAAAGATTAGAAAGTTGCATTTTTGAACTGTAACGATTGGTGATTGCGATCGCTCTGCACCAAGCACCAAAATGGCAACAAAAAAATGGCGGCGCCTAAAAGAAAATTTGGGAATGGAGTGCCCATACTTTGAGGTGTGGCTTGTTTGGTGGCATAAGTATGGCGATGGAAGTCACCAAACTTTGATAATGTCTGGAGCACAGCCCAGTATTACCAACTCCGTGGTTTCTGCAACAGTGTGTGTGTGGACTTAACCTACACGTCTGTGATCACGTCTGAACAGTATTTAGCGAAATCGAGCAAAGCATTTCGTGGTCCCTCGAAGCGAAGCGTATCATTAAATTACAAGAAGCGAAATAATGACGCAGGCACATAACCGCTCAGAACAGACCTCCAAAGTTTTGTTCCTGCACACTTGGCAGCTTCTTACGACACCTAGTTGTGACCTTCGAGATCCGAAGCGACCTGTACTGACACGGGGCAAACCGCAGGAATACGAGCACAATTTATGCGTCGTCACTCTCGCCTTTTTGTACGCACTCAAGTCCCGTCGAGCCTCTCTAAATGGCGGGAGCTCGGCGAGAAACGAGGCACGACATCCGAAACAAAAATAATTTGCGGAATGCGTTTAGAAAAGGGTTTGATAATAATACTAAGGTGGTCGTTGATCCGAGGGGTGCACGGGAGCAAAAGGGCATCCCCGCACGCCCTTCGATTGCGTAAAACAGTCGAAAAAGAGTCGCGATGGCATGCATCTCGGAAACGAGCGCGGTTGCCCAGAATGCATGGCGGTGCGTTGGCACGTCTTCGTTTCTCTTTCTTCCGAGTATTTCAACCTCCTTTGGAGACTTGGCCACCCCTTCTGCTCTTCCTCAAGTCGGTCCGTCTTCCAACTTCCGCCACACAACCTGTCGAAACGCAAAAATTGTAAAAAGAATGGAGTGAAATTGCGGAACGCTACGGTCACCGAGGTTGAGAACAGCAGGAAGTCCCTTTCCGGTGCCCGGTGCCCAGCACGTGCTCAATGTCTTCTGACATACTGTTCTTATCCCATCGGCGTCTGTAGCAGATGTAACTGTGCAACGGGCATATCTGTCCAACGCTCCATCGTCCGTCATTACTGGGTCAAGAATCGGAAATAATAGAACATTACAATGGGGTGTTCCCCTCAAAAATTTACAGGGGTTTCTTCACTGCAAAAATAAACAATGCATCGCCCAATGCCCATTCTCCGCCCATACATAGCGCTAGCAGTCCGAACCACACGCCAAAGTTTCAGGACTAACCGTTGTCTTGCTCAAAAGTTGCGAGTGATTTTCTGAAATTTTCAACGGGAAGATGGTGGCCGACAAACTTGGAATACACAGGGCTGAATGGCACCAGTTACCAAAAACGGGCCTCATTTTCCCGTGGAAATTTTCTGAAAATTGTGTGTAAGTTTTGATTGAGATAAAGTTAATTTCTGAATCTTTGGCATCAGGTTTGGCCCGCTAGTGCTACATTCAGCAATGCAAAGTTCATTTTTGCTATTAAAAAAAAAAAAAGGAGACTTGTTTTGTTAAGCCTACGTCTTGCAAAACTAAGGAATGTCATTTTGGGTTTCAAGTCAACGGGTCGGTCCTCATTTTAGCAATACAGGCTTTCCTACACTTCTGAGTGTTCTTAGATTTTTGACTGAAGTTAGGACAACGATCACTTGTTTAATTTGTAGCCCCTTTCCCAAACACTTGCGCTCACTGACATTTTATGAACGTAGGCTCGCCATTTCGTTGCATCTCTATCAAACAACTAGCTCGGACAGGCTCATATAAATTATCCGTTGCAATTACTCCACAATGTGCAGAGTTAACATGGTTTTGACTCACGTTGCACATTTCTCTGACAAGCGCCTTCTCTCCTTCGGCGAGCTCTTCAAACTCGAGTTCGCTATCCGTGGTCTTGTCCAGCTGTTCGTGAACTTCCAAAACCTGGACAGCGGAGAAAAAATGCTGCGAATGAGCAAAGACTCGCACACCATCTTCGTGTCCATCAATTACGCCAAAGGCTGGCACTTTGGCCAGCAAACCGACACTTTCTTTACAGGTACTAGTGATGGGCCAATCTTCAGCAGAATCTTGGGATTCGGCACAGCCGAATATTTGCCAAACTTTTCCAGAAATTCAGCAAAAATGCAACGTTGTCAAACTGACTAAAGAATTTTTTTTTTTTATTATTTTAGCGGAAATTTTTTTTAGGTGCCTAGCAGAACAAATAAATAAATTTGAACATAGAAATCGCTAAATAATGTGATTATGAAAGTACAAGTTTATCAGTGTCATTTTTGTGTGTTGTTTTGCAAAATTACGGTGACTTCAATCATGGTACGCCTAGAATGCCTCGATGTCCTTCTGTTTAGGGTGATGCCACCCTTTGTAGTACCCGATGCCGACAGCACGCGCTCACGGGTAAAATACAAAGAAGTCGACGAAAACAAAATGTCGCCATAGCACAGTCGGCGCCATAAACGTGTGCAAGAACACATTCTTTCATGGGCTTCTGAACAAAAAAGAAAAATAAATGTGTGGGACAGAATGGCCAGATGTCTCGACCCTAAGCAAAGCGCACATGAAGGCGCCCTAAGTACGCCTATGGAGCTGATTTAGTTTGTTTCGGAACTTCATCGATGCAAGTGTTTGCATTTGGAATGGTGGTCCTGGCAGGTACCGTGGATAGATTTGTTTTCTGCGTGTCGCAATGAATCCGCCAGCTGAACCTCCACTGGAAGCCACTATTATTGTAAGTAGTATCCAAGCTTTTGGATATTGCACCAGTTTTGCACGTGTTGATAGCTTGTAAACTGTCTAGGAATGTGGCACTTAGAGGTTTTGGATGTGCAAAAACGAGCACCTTGTGTAGTTTTGCATGAAGTTGTTTAAACCGAGATAAAAACAAAAAATGCAAAATTCGCGCTAAAAAAAATGTTTTCTTTCAATGTTGCCGACATTGCACAGACGCACAGAAGTCTGCCAAATCTGCAGGATTTGTTTAAAAAAGATTTTGCTGAATACGAACTTTGGCTGATTTGGCCCATCACTAACGGATATTATCAAAGGCAGGGTCGGACGTTTTGGACTCCCGATTTGAGGAAGAGTATGTTTTCCTCAAATTGTAGAGAATGCGAGGGTAAAATGTGTTAGAAAGATAATGTTTCTCAATTGAAAAAAACAAAGGCCAAAAAAGAGTTTTCATTTAATCTCACAGATGACAACATTCAGATCCTAAAAAATAGTTCCACACTATTTTTTGCTAAGAATCGCGCATAACTATTTATTGCAAGGAAATTGCAAGCCTGCTTTTCACCATTGCGAGTTATGAATAAATGCCCACATCTGAATTGTTGCAGAACGATTTTCGCATCTGTTTTTAATTTTGCACATTTTTGGCTGGATTTTTGCACGCGTGTTCCAGCCTCAAAGACTGATAATTAAACGCCTGGAAATGCTCTGTACACACGTTTTACCCGTGTTGCAGGTCCACATCTGCTACAGCACGTCCAAGCCAAATTCTGATCATTATTCAGCCTGAGATTAAAAAATTGTGTCGCCGTGGCTTTAGTAATCAGACGCGCCAAACACTTGCCTTCATTGCGTGCACGACGGCTTCCGGTCTTGCCACCCCCACGTACGGTTCCTGAAACAAAATAACAGACCAAGCTTTAGAGATTGTGTCTCCAGCAAAATGGACAGGGCAACATCAAGCTACACAAGTCATACCCACACAAATACCGTATCACATAATAAACGCACCTTAAATTTTCGGTCTGCGAGTTTTTAACTTGCCAACTCGGCCAGCCATCAAGCCTACTGAGCAGATCTTTTGCCGCCAAACCAAGCGTGGCAGTAACATCGAGGACTTGCCTAGCCCCCGAAGACGTTTCGCCCATCGGATAGAATAACGTCACCAAACGCGCAGTTGTCTATGGTTCGCACCCTTCCTTTGGCAAACGGAACGCCGAAGGCACCCTAGAAAAGGTTCGCAATTTATAGAGCACGGTTACTGTGGTGCACCCAGGATCAACCGTGGGATGCGTCCCCGTGTGTAAATGCACAAAACTTTACCTTGCATAATGAACGCATCCCCCCCCCATATGCATAAATTTCTCGGGAGAAAAAGTGCATTCATTATGCGAGTAAGTATGGTAGGCAAGGCAGAAAAATGACAGAGTTGGAGCAAATTGATTTTGAATGTTCGATGCCACTTTGGGCACACCGTTCGAATTGACGGCCCACAATATTAATGTTGACCTACGAAAACTTCCTGGAGAAAAGAAGAGACGAACCGACGGTGACAATCGTCGTAGTTAACAGATTTGTACACATGGAGCTGCCATGGTCCTGTGTCTTATTCGCTGGAATAAGTGTAGGGAGAATAGAATTGTTAAGGAGTTATCAAATGCACTCGCAATCTTTTCGGCAAGCCCGGAAGGACGCATTAAAGAAAAACTCGCGGTCTTGTCGGAAGACGAGACTGGTCTCCATCCTGTTGTGGAGACCTCGTCGGGAGCCTGACACTGCTATCCCTCTTGCCCTTTCGAGCTTGCTCATCTGGTCGATTGCTACAATACAAAACAGGGCCCTCCAGACTAAGCACTTGAACAGATCCCAATAAATAAGAGGGCTAACTAAGAACTCGAGACGAGTCTTCAAAATGGAAGCCTCGGAATAATTCTCGAGACAACTGCGAGAGTAAAGGTAATCTGAACGAAAAAGTGAGCTGGTGTCGAAGAAACAACTGAAAACCAAGCCCAACTTGGTTTATTGAAAATATAAAATTAACCTTAAAAGGATAAAAAAAAAATTGTGGTAAAGTGTTTTGAAAAAGTAAAAGGAAATTTACTCATAATGCACCGCGCAATTACGCCGACGCCGCTCAAGCCGGAAACGGGTGCCTAAAAGCTGCGCTCTAAAAAAAACAAAAACTGTCAATCGCTCGTTCAAAACTTTTACCACCTGTGGCGTAGCCGGGGGTGGGGGGGGGGGGGGGGCTTATGGGGCTTAAACCTCGCCCTGAAATCCAGCCGACCCTATAATATACACATGCATTTTGACCTCCCCCCCACAAGTCATGGACATACAAGCCACATCAGCCCCCCTTGAAAAAAATTTTTGGCTATGCCGCTCGTCGCCGACTCACCGAGTGCTCCAGGCCGTTTCCAGCGTGCATGCGAGGCACCCCGATGCAGTTGGCCTCTTCCGCCCGTCGGTAGAGGGGAGCTCGAGGGATGCCGCTCTGGTACTTCCTTTCACCGTTGCCAGACTGCTTCTGCAACCCTTCCAAGTTCGGCTGCGCATTCGGTCAAGAGAGCCGTCCGTGCAAGCGTGTGAGAGAATCCCCCTACCAATGGTATGGGTTCGGTGCCTGGGACAGTAACATGCCGGTCGGAGACACGCTCCAGGCACTGTGGTATCGGTTTGTGTCGTGCTAAACCAACCCGAGTGAGCTACAAAGCGTAATTTTACGGTTGGCACTGGAACCACCAAATGACATACGTTTCGGAGTGAGAGTGTTTCGGCCATCTCAGTGTGTAAAATTACCGTCGCCAGTTGTCCGAAGCTTCATCTGAAATTCTGGCAAACAATCTTTCATCCTCCAAGGATCTCAAAACGGTCCACGACGGAGAGAAACAACGTACTAGGTATGTTTGGGATACCAAGTGCAATCGATAAGGAGGTCAATATGACCTTGCCGAGTCAGTCTCCCAACTGTTTGACGCTTGAACGTTCTAGGCCGAAGGTTCAAGACACCTTGCCAACTCATTCTCGCACTCTGGCGCTAGCCAGCCGTCGCACCGACACCTCGACGCTCAATTTTCCTTTTCTTTCTGGCACAGGTTCGCCAACGAAACCTTTATTTTTAGTTCTACGTTTGTCTATCCACCTTCATCCGCGACAATATCTAAAGCTCGGAAAGTAGCATTTTGTAACAATCGTCGATTGTGCCCGTTCCGCGCTAATCACCGAAATGGGGATGCCCACAAAAATTTGGGGAATGAAGTGTCAATACCCTAAGCATAGCTTATTTGATGGCTCTAGTTGATGCATCCCGGGAAATAGTGATCCAGTCGTCGCAACTGAATAGACGATCACAATGGCGCATGGTGTTGCACGCAACAGCGCAAGACGACTATTCGACGGACCAAGCTGAAAGTAAACCGCGTTTGTGTTTTGCCCGTGAAGAATGAATGACCTCGTTCTCGTGTCATCCAGAATCTTTGGGCAGAGCTAAAGCCATTGTGCCGCCACGCTTGACGTGCGGATCTGTCAATTTTTGGAGGCAGCAGGTGCCCATTCGGAAAGCAGAAGGTTTTTGAGCGTTTCTTCACCACTCTAAACTGCCACACTTTGTGTTCCCATTTGCAGTACCATCAGTACTGAATATTACACACACTCTAAGAAAAAAGGGAGCGTGACTTTCTCCCTCAAGGGAGAAAATGCGCTGACACAACCAATGGTCCCCTAGGGGAGCAACGGTAACGGGAGCAACCCTTGCTCCCCTACCATTAGTCCCTCAAAGTTGAACGCCCAGGACTAACTTTTGCACCCTTGCATTTAGGTCACTGGAACTAAATGTCGCGCCCTTACCTTATTTATTACCGAATTGCGCCCTTACACCAAGGTGGCGCTAGTCAACGTCAAATTCAAAATTGGTAAAAAAAATATGGTATCGCTGGGGTAGATCTTTTTCACGCTCATTCTATTCACATATGAACAACGCTTGTTTCACATTTGCACATGTTATACACATTTTAACATAGACAAGGAATTAGAACACAGATGACACACACAACATACACGTGACGACACGCTATTTCAATCACCACCCCACAGCCTACCCATGCGCCTTTTATACTAATCATATGACAGGAGTCGCTTTGTCAGTGACCATCTCAACCGTGAACGGTGTTACAAATAAGGTGCTGCTTTCGCACCAATATTGTTCTCCAATATTGTTGCTAAACTTTCCAAGGAGTGTATATCTTACTAAGAAGTAACGGTACACATAAACTTTTTGTGACACTCTATAAAACAGCGTCCCCATAGGCTCCCAGCAGCCATGTTCTCGCTTTCCCGCATAGACTGCCCTACTTTGCGCATGCGCATCTCCGTGGCAACCGCATCCTCTCTTGCGAAAAAATTAAACAACACAGATTATAAAGAATACAAAAAGAAAATAAACCAGAATGAATCTTTTTTGTCTTTGGAAACGTTTTTACCACATGCTACGTGGCTATTTTAATTCCAGTTAAACCAAAAAGAAAATATAAATGCTTTCAAAGCGCGTTCAAAAGAATGCAAAGGGGAAGGACGGCAGGACAATGTTCAAAAGCCGCATGGCCAGTGCATCAACGATGGCGGCGCTTGAGTCAGCGCCGGCTTCCACGACGTGCTGGTACAGAGGCTGCAATCGTTATAAAGTCAGCTTCAACCCTTAAACATGCCCCCTCCTGAAATTTTTGATGTTATGATTGTCTGTGGATACCTCCCCCTGCGTTCCGAAACAGTAAGTGCATCGCTAACGCTGGCTATTAGCAATGCAGCAAACGCCGCCATCTTGTCCGCGCGTCTTTTTCTCCCGCGCTCTTGCTCCCGCGCGCATTTCGCTGCTATTTCCTCCTGCGCGCATTTCGGTTAGTCCCAATCGGGTGCAGATAGTCCTCAGCATTTGCCCATGGTACCTAGCTCGAACCCGGTGGACTCTTCGGGGAGCAAATGGGAGCTCAGAGGACCAAATGCTGCCGTTAGTCCTTTGAGACCATCTTTTTTCTTAGAGTGCACAAGAAGACAAGAAATGGGAATACGAGGCTATCGGTATACATGAGAGGACGCTACGACAGCTGTTTTGCACTGAATGTCAGAAAAAAAAAAAAAAAAAACCTCCACTGGTGTTTTGGACACTGATAGAAGGTGTCGTCTTTGACCGAAGCTGCGCAATGCTCACCATTTCCTTTCCATTCTTTTCCAACTCCAAGAGTTCGATGCGCCTTTCCAGATTTCTGATGTAGCGCAGCACTTGCTCTGCAAATGTGAACGTCAAGCAGTTTGTAGTACAAGCCGTCAACCATAAAGGCCACTTCCCTAAAGATCGCTTGCAAAAGTACAAGCAAGAAGGCCCCAAGGGTGCATTGATTCATCCAATGAATTGTAAGTGTTGTATAACCCCCCCACCACCCTCCCCTTAGAAATTTATATGCAAAGTACATAAACCTCCATAGAACACACTCTTTTAAAACTCCTCTACGAATTTGCAATGTCCTCGCACCCCAGGAAGAGGATCCTGCACTTGTGGATTTGTGCAGCAATAGATACTGGCCAGATATTCCTCGTACCAGTGGCAACAAAATTTACTCGTTCATCAGCTTGGCAAGCGGCGCTTACAAACAGAAAACACTGCCGTCATGCCAACCCAAACAACAAAAGTTGGCCATGCTGCGCGCAGAACCTGCAAAGCTGCGCTCGAGGAATTGCCCGGCCCTCAGAGATGAATAACGGTTAAGAGTTGAGCGTGTTGGTACATACTTGTAAATATATCAGCTTGAACTTTAGAATTATACTTGAACACAAAGAAAGAAAGGACAGGAGAGGACAAACAGCTGATTACCAACCGTGTTTTAGTGTAAACTTCTCCCTTGCGCGTTCGCTTCTTCATTCAGTAGAAATCTTTTTTAGTGCAATAGGTTTAGTTATGCAATAAGTTTATCGTGCTCTACTTTGGCTTTTGAATCAATTTGGAAGTTTACTCTAAAACACCATTGGTCGTCAGCTGTTTGTCCTCTCCTGTCCTTTCTTTCTTCGTGTTCAAGTGTAATTCTAAAGTTCAAGCTGATATATTTACTCGGGGATAATTTGTCTGTCAAACACATCTATGTAAATAGACACGTCGTCTGCCGTGACAGACCCTTTTTTATGAACATTATTTTTGGTCGTTGGTAAAACACCCTGTATTTATATGTGATGAAAGCAGACGAAGAAATTTCGGTGTAACAATGGTCAAGCCGTCCTTAATAACAACCAAGTTCCTCGCAAGAGGAGAACAGAACTTCTCTTTCAGATGTTCATTTCCAGCACGCGCCCCTTGCCTTCTGCCATACATTCACTACGCATGCGTTTTTGGGGCTCACCGGGACGCCAAACATTTACCGAAGGTACGAAGCTCACGCTGGTGCGGGAGAACCGAAAGACCTCCCTGTCATTCTCATCCCGACTGTTTGTTACATTACGCTATAGATGTTACGTAGCAGACCAAGATACTTCATTGAAAAATCCTTCAAGGTCCTTCAATGTGGTGCAGAATCCCAACCTACAACTGCACTCGAGCTGAGGTAAAGATTTTGCTCTAGAGGTTTAATTTTGGTCAAGATAAGAGCGAGAGCCTTGTCATCTGCCGATTGATGTGGAGTCACAGCTTCCCACTCGATGCACGTAATTGATCGAGAAATTTTTGACCTGTTGGCGAGCTCACAATTAGGCAATATTTTGGCGAGAATGCCTTGCCAACACACCTGTCCTTAGTACTCCTTGGTGCGCTGGTCGATGTCCGCTTTTGTACAGCAGCGGAACAACTTTAAACTCACAAAAGAAGCGTTGGTTGTCCACTCTGAAACAGCTAAAGATCACTATTTGCCCATTTTATCTCACTCTGCCGCGGCGCTCGGTTCGTAGCAGACAATAGATTTTTTTTGTGGCCTAATAGCAGACAATGTACAATATTCTCTCGCTCAATTTTCGTCTGCAAAAAACGCTTCGTAGCAGACAAACCATCTATGAACGCCATCTTGGATCACTCTGCGAGAGAGATCTCGCGGACACAGAAGTCTGACCCTGGGAGAGAAAGTCGTCAGTGCTCACCGTTGATGATGGTTCGATGCCGGTGGATGGCCTCCTCTATTGCCGCAGATCTCGATGAGGGCTGATGAACTCGCAACGCCGGCGGTGGTGGACCCCTGTTCCCAGGTGGCGCCGGATGACGCATGGGTGGCATGCCCCCTCCCGCCATCGGAGGAGGGTGGGGGGGTGGGGGAGGAGAGGAGGGGGAGAGCGTGTCCTCCTGGTTGGTGATGGTAGACGACGAACTGCCGTCGCCGTCGTCGCGACGATCTTCGGACGGGACGCCGCACGAGGAGCACGTGCTCTGCAGGCGCTCCTGGTCTAGGTACAGGCAGAGCTCCTGCAATGCGTGGAATGTTCAGAGCAACGATCTCACCGCAATGCTAGAGGAACACAACTTCGATAGGTGTATTTATCGGCCTGTCCCATTTAACTTCGCCAAATCGTGGGGAAGTAGCACCAAACTCCCCATGCGGTCGCCATTTTGGTCCCTGGTATGAGCCGTTTATTTTTGGACCCTCTATTCTTGGTGAGCCGATCCAACTTCCCGGTGGCAGGTTGCTTAAAGGGGTTAGGAAACGAAAATTAAACGGGTATATTATGCTCGAAATCAAACTCTCTTAGATTACTTAGAATGCACACCAAGTTTCACGATTTTTAGAGCTCGGTACTAATTGCAATAATCAATTTACAAATGTTGATCACACTTGTCTGGCGACCGGGCAGCACAGCCCAAGTTAGTCGCACCACGGTGCCCATAAACCACGTGATCGTCATATTTAGTAGAACACTCTTTCGTTCTTGGTGCCCCCATGCTTGCCCAAGCTCGCCTTGCCATGGTCTGATTGCACACTGTACCGCCACTCTGCTACTCCAACGCTGCTCTCGCCCACTTACTCTTTGACCTTCCACCCCGCATGCATGTACGGGACCGTCTTGAACGATGGCGAGTTTGTCCGTGGCTATCTCGTCGTCATCACTGGAGCTGGTCGCCAGTGGATCGGAGTCCAAATGACCAGCCTCCAACATCTCTCAATAACAGCCACTCTCAATGCTGCTGCGATCAGTGTCGAAAACTCCGATGAAGCGGACGATGCCGTATATGCAATTGTTTCGAGAACGCGTGCAACCCAAACAAGGTAGCTGAAGGGCGAGACGCCGAGAGAGCCAAGTTAGCGAGTACGTGCAAGTGAAAGTCGCGCGTTGGGCGAATGATGTCACCGACCGAACAACCAGGGCGGCCTTTTCGAACAGAGCAGATCAAAGGGTCTCGCATATAAATAGATTTACCCATGAAACTATAGTGCCATTTTCAAAACAAATTTAAGAAGATTATAGGAACGTTCAGTGGGTCGTATCAATATACTTTAATATCCCAAGAAATGGCCCGCCTAAGATCGAGAAAAAATTGGGTGAAAGTAAGGAGTGGGCTCACTTTCAATGTGCAATCAAGAAAAGTTGAAAACAAAATCCTATTTCTAGATCATGTGCCTCTGCCGAACTTGTTAAAGAGGCGAGGAGCAATGAAGTAAAGATGACTGTACTTCCCAGTCAGCAATGTTCGATTATATCCTGCCATAGCGAACTAGACGCATTTATGCTGAGGTTATCATTGATCCCAACACTACTATTACTAGGAATAGGCTATCTTTCGGTACTTCAAAGAAAATAGGAAATCAAGCTAAAAATAGGGGGAGGGTTACCTTTTAGGGAGGGCTGGTCATCTCTCGGGGGGGGGGCGGGGGGGGGGAAGGGGGGGGGGGGGGGGGGGGGCTTCAATGTAGTTATTTTGTATTTTATTTTTGGCATGTCCTAACCCCTTTGATAATGATATTTCTTGTATACCGAGATTTTGCACCCACACATCAGCGAAACAAGTGCAGACCTATGAAACAAGTGACATTGGTGCTTGGCGGCATTGAAAGATAATTTCCCTGCCTTGAAATAAGAAAAAGAAAAATTGTTAGAGATCCGGAGAGCTCAGAGTGATTGATAAGTTTATTGCATATTTATATTGGCGAGGAACGCTTTTAGTATGATGACTCTTTGTAGTGATATCGGCTTGACTGGTTCAGAACAACCTGTTCAAATCTTCAAAGATTTCCAAGGACCGAAATGGCAACTACCGTGGCAACAGAGACCAATCTGCCAATCGCCTTGTGAGGTTTTGGTCGCCTGTATGTTAGTATCTGTTTCCGCCCCACTAGCGGGCAGGGAACCCAGGCGAAAATCAGTCCACTTCCAGCTGGATTATGGAACTGGAAATGAGGCGGTCCAGCTGGGTCCAGCTGGATTCCAGCTGGGTCCAGCTGTGTCCAGCTGGAATCCAGCTGGATTGCCTCGTTTCCAGTTCCATAATCCAGCTAGAAGTGGACTGATTTTCGCCTGGGAAGGCAACGGTGCTACTTTCCCAGTATCCGGTGACTTTAGTCCGGCGTAGAGCCGCCACTACATAAACTTTGCCTGAGGGAGACGACACTTTGGCCACCTAGGCACTTAAAATCATTGTTGCCGGTTGGCCAAAGCTCTAACTAAACACCTAGAAACAAATTTCGGTCACCCTGGAAAGTAAAAACAGTCTCTGAATACATATCGCACAAGCTTTTGAACGCTTTCGGACGCACCGTCGAAAGTCGAGTAAATGACAATTTCAAATTGTGACGACCGTCGATAACATCCGCTCCGCACCAAGCATCAAAATGGCAGCATCCACGAGAAAATTGGCGGCTGGAGCGCCGACGCTCTAGGTGCAGCGTAGCACTTGCCGGCCTCAATTGTAGTTGTGCGTCGAAAGTGGTCCCGAGGTTGCAACAATTTGCTCCACCGGAGCCGGCGTCTCGTGCCGTCGGATGTCACAATCCTGGTTTTCAGTCATAGAAGTGCCGGAGCAAAAGGCGAGAGGAAGCCAGGGTTCCCTGTCGTTGCAGCGTCTCGTCTCGTGCCTCCTTCGGTGTCCGTCGACTCTAAACACACCAGTCAGAGGTGCGTTCTAGGCACCGAGTTTTGTTGAAGCATACAGACACCCTTACACCCTGAGCTGCAGGTCTCATTAGCAGCCCATAAGTGACGTACCAAGACGTAACCATTTCATTAATGATGTAGCGACATGTAACCATTTCATAAGTGATACACCAAAACGGAGCTCTTTCATAAGCAACATACCACCATAACTGCTTCGTGAGTGAACAACACACACCGTAACTGCATTATGAGTGACGCAGCGACATGTAATTGTTTCGTCACAGCATACCCACCTTGAGCTGCAGGCAGTCCCTGCAGTCCATAAATGAAGCACCGACACATAGCCATTTTATAAGCGGCGTGTCAACAAGCGAGCATATCAGAAGCAACGTACCGGCATGCAACCGAAGCGTGTAAGCACTCTTAACTGTTTTGCAAGTGACGTAGCAATGTGCAACCGTTTGGTCCGAGCGTACCCACCTTGAGCTGGAGGTTGTCCCTGAGGAGGTCCTGCTGGCGTGCGTCCAGGCCCCTGAGCTTGCCCTGGTAGGCAGCCACCTCTTGGCGCATGACCGAGGCCGTGTAGCGCCCGAACCGCTGCCACTCCCGGGCCAGCTTGCGGCCCTTCTGCCGGTCGTCGTCCAGGAAGCAGCACAGATCTCTCAGCTCCTGGCTGTCCCGCTGCAAACGCTCGTTCACCTCCCGCAGGCTGCGGATCTCCATCAAATGTACCTGGGAATGGATTGGATCGGATTATGGCAACTTAACATTTTGTGTCAAGAGATCACAGTGTCAAAAAATACTGGATCTAGCCAGAAATGTTCAAGGGCTTGCAAATCTTCATGAGCAGAGCCCTGCATATCCACGGATTACCCGCGGATCATCCGCGAATATCCGCAGTCAACTGGCGGATGTGGATAAGAATGAATCAGATCTGGCGGATGGCGGATCGGATGCAGATGCCAGGGGCAACGGATGCGGATCAGATGCAGATATCTGCGAGTTGGGATCCACATTTTTGCTGAGGCGGACCATAAACGAGTGAGATCGCGGAGTGCAGAGTGAATAGGCGAGCGATACAGAAACTTGCACCGGCATGAGTTTCCGTACCTCACTCTTGTAGCGCAGTTCGTGCATGCCATCCCAGCATCAAATGCACTGGCAGAGAGGCTTCTCATTAGTGGGTCTTAATTTAAGAGAGGCGAAAGTCTGAATCCACCTAAGCTGACAGTATTCAATTCCTTCTACACAGCAACCCCGTTGCGTGCGAGTGTTTTTTTGTTTTTGTTTTGTTGATAGTTGGCTAGTTGCTTTTAGGTATGTGGTTCAGAGCATGCAGTTGAGGGTTTCTGCTTAGAACTGATCCTGAAGACGTGTAAATATTTTCAAAGAAATTTTGTCATTACTTTTATGTCTCAAACTTAATACTTTGGAGCTTTGGACTTCGGAGTCCGGACTGGGGAGCGATCGAAAGTGGCGGTCAAAAAAATATTATCTTGCAGGCAGCGCCGCGCCTCGACACACATTTTCTGAAAACATGTGTGGTCGACCGCAGTTTTTATGACTTCTAAGTGATGTGGAATGCAAAAAACAAAGTACAACATCAGCTATCAGGCTACGTGTAATCTTTGCTTGGTTGTGCCCAATATTACAGAATGCGGCACCGTGGCTTTTTATGATTTATTTCACGTGTTTTATATACACAAACGAGCTGAATGTCAAGTCATCAAATTTGCAGTTGATTGAAAAATGCGTGTATGTCACACGACAGTGCCAGAACATTTGTCTGTTTGCATCAGTCAAGAAACATCAAGGAAGCAATGCTTGCATTCACAACCTTTTATTTAACCCACCCACTAGCTATACATGAGGCAAACAGATAATTTAAACTAAACAACTGTGGCCGCCCACTTTGGGCATGGGAAAGAACACCGAGACTCTGCATCGGCTTGGCAGTTCCACGGTACTATTTCTTGAAAATCAGAATAAACGCTTTAACTTGACATCAAAGTGACAATCAATAACCGTTTTGGCCAAGTCTCGTCAGGCCTTCATGTTCGAAGTAAACACTACCATGCGCTGCCGCCAGTAACTCTCAACGCAGAATCATCCTGATCCCGCTAACCTATCGCCGAGATGCAAAACTCGAGAGACTTCGAATGAATGTACTATTGGTAAATGAATGTGAATCCACTTCCTCTAGTTTCCACTTATGGAAACGAGAGGAAGCGGACAGCCCTTAAAAATGCAGACAGAAACGCATGTCACGCAGAGATTGTTTTTAGAACACTCGAATAAATAAACATTCACAAAAAATGTTTTGTTTATATACTTCAAACTAAAGGAACACGAATGGTCTCACCAAACTGCAAATAATAAAATGTAGCATACGCCGTGGCGTGCAGAAACAAGATCCAAGAGATGCAGACAACACCCTGCGCTTCCACTCCGGAAGCCGATCACAGCGAAAGTCCTAAAGGGTGATTCACACATTTCCGTGAGTTTGACCGAGTGTGATTGCAATGGCTTGGGATGTACGGGCTGCTAAGACAAAAGTTGCGTCGGCTCCAACAAAACAGGGTAAAAGCCGGTTTTGTCGAAGCCGACGCAGCTGTTGCCATAGCAACCCATATATCGCAAGTCATTGCAGTCACATGCGGTCGGACACGACGCAAGTGTGTGAACCAACTTTAACACGGTGGCTGCACTGGTTCTGTGCCGCCGCTGCACGACTTCCGCACCCCTCTAAACTCGGACAGAACTAGTTCAAAACTTTCTGGCCAAATCGAACAGACCTCAAGTTTGTGGATGCAGATCGGATACGGATACAATAATTTAAGCACATTGCGGATGCGGTTTGGTTGCGGATACAAAGTTTGCGGATATGACTCTGATGCACATGATAAAACTGTTATCCGTGCAGGGCTCTATTCATCAGGTGCACTGTAGAGGTGCCAGATTGGATTGGATTACGGCACGTGTTAAAAAGGGTTTGCAAAGGAGGGTCGTTCAGGTGCAACTAGGAAGGCACCAGATTGGATTGGATTGTGGTGGCCCAACCAGGGCAGTCACGCAGAGTAAAAAAAAGACGGGATTTAGCCAAAGACGATGCAAGATTTGCAAATCTCTATCAGGTGCAGCTGGGAACATTGGATTGGATTGGATTATGGCAGACCAACCCATCGTGTCAAGAAGTTGTGGTCTAAGCTGACATTATTTATAAACTAAGGTTGGCTGCTACACTGGATGTCATGCCCATCTGGCTGTAATCTATGCAAAATGCTTCCTCTAGGAGCTGCACCGTGGCACTACCATCTTGTCGCACGCTTCCAATTTCATCGCTTCTTTCTGAAAAAATAAGTGCTTGTTCGTAAGGAACCAGCAAAGCCATAGGAAAGGTAAGACAGCCATCCTAAGAACAAGTAGCAAACGATGTCGGCGTTTGAAGCCCTAACACCTGACCTTGATGCCACTGCTCCCTTTGCATGAGAAGCAGGCAACGATATTGCCGACTCTCAGTGGAAGGAGACGCAAAGGCAGCTAGCCTCTGCGCCTATTCTCCATCCTTCCAATCGGGGCTCTGCGCTCCGACGTCACCGCCGCATTCACTGCAGTAGCACACGGCTGATCCGATGCACCAGGGGAGGGCGGCAATTCTTACCTGCATGCGCCGGTTGACCTCCCGCATCATGGTGCCATGGTCAAACATGAGCTTGAGGTTCTCGGCCTCGACTTTCTGCAGCCAGCGCAGGATCTCTTGCGGGGGTTTGCGCAAGAGCTCTTCGTTGCTGGGACGGCCTCTAGGGGTGGCCGTGGCCGCCATGGCGCACCGACTTGCTTTCCCAGGTGGTGCTGTGGACGGCTCGAAGTATCGCAGCACTCGTGAACCCTTGCCGACACTGGTCATTCATTGTCCAGCGCCCGGTACGGTCCAGTCATTGTGAGCCGGACCCAGCTGCAAAATAATGAGTTGGAGGCAACACTTTGTTTGATCAATGAAAAGTTTTCTAGGCTAGGTGGTGCAAGCTACCAGCCACTATAAAGGGTCCAGCCACTATTCTCTGTTTCACCTTACAACAGCCCGTAGCCCATGCTGTGAGCCATTAGAACCAGTCCAACGTCGCGTGAATGTCACCTGACCTTCAAGAGGGTCACAGCCACACACGGGGTGCTGTGTTGTGCGATAGTTCATACTGCTAAACTGGCTGGGATGACTGATAATGTCCGTGCAGTACATTGAAAAGTGAAACAGAGTATAGGGTTCTTGCACGAGACCATGATGCAAAACTAGTTCTGGTTTGGAAATCTCACCAAAATCCGAATCGGAGGTGTTCGTTGCTGTTACGCAATGTTTTGTGTGCTTTGGGGGCCGTGTACACGCTATAGTTTGTCCGCTTACTTGATGTCTAAAACGGTCAGTTGGGCTGTAACGAATTGTTCCAGCAGTAAAAGTAGGTGACAAGATGGATCTATGGCAATCAGTATTTTTTTTAGAATTCCGGCAATTATTAGGAATTAGGACAAGGCGATGCCTGAGCAATCAGTTCGCCGGCATCATAAACGGCTCCAATGGATCTGTCGGTACAATATCGACAGAAGAGCTGTGTATCGACTAAGGGTTCGTAAACTGCACTTTGTGTCAGTTGAGAAACCTCTGCAATTGACTAGGACAAGTTAAGCAGACAAAATTACTTGTGTGGCAGCTTCAGTCTTCATCTCTGTAGCCAGTCAAAAAGTTGGAGGACCGGCTACAGTGCTGAGAATCTTTGCACAGCACTAATTTTCTTGTTAGTCACCGCAAATGATTAGCAGACGACGCATTTTTTGCCCTTCGACGACAATCTTGCGAGGCATTCAAGTGCCATCCGAGGATGTTAAACGGCCACGCTTATACTGACCCGTGTTCCATCGGCTGCTCGCCACCACTTTGTTTTATCACCAAACACGGGCAAGGCAAGCGCCAGGGCTCTACGGCACTACTACTGCCACAATAAGACGCCGAATCCCTCTAACAAGGTGCCAAGGCACTGATGGCAGACACAATGTTGGTTTCGATTTCGAGGCTAATCAGAAGTGATGTCAGATGCAAGAGGCCTATAGCTTCCACCCATCCAAGGATTTTAGCCAACACCATTCAATCCAATGCATGATCCAAAGCAGTACTGATGTTTGCACAACACAAAGTCGATCCACCTTAATATGGTGCCTTGTCTCCCTGCCATAGAGAGCACATCTGAGCAGTGCAGCCATAGGTAACCTCGGGGCTATAACTTTCACTGCGCAGTAGTGATTGCATAAGTGCATGGTGGTGCATTCGTTTAATTCCTCTGTGTACCAGATACAGCTTAAGTTTTTAAAATAGTTCTTGGTTGCAAGAGAAAAACAAAAGTTATGCTTCTTGCACTTTAAACAAGCAAGTTTTGACAAAATAAGGGACAACTCATCTCAAATTCCACATAAAAGGGGAATTAGTAATGGGTTAAGCAAAGCAGGCCAGGCCCCTCATATAAAGCTCTCTGCTCGCTATGATTGGTGGTTGCCTCCTCTCCACTCCTCTAGCCTTCCCTCTGCTAAAATGGAAAGAGTGGAGGGCTTTGTGGAAGTATACAAAGTTCCCAAGATGAAAACAAACTACTCAACTGCATCACGCACACAGTAAAAGCTGTATCACACCAAAGCGAAATTTCGGAGCTTATTTCTTGGTCTATATGTGTTCAAGAGAGCAGTAGCACATCGTACACCTAAATCTTTTATTGAAAATGACACAAAAAGGAATTTAAAAAAAAAAATTAAACAATTAGCAAATGGCGCCTGATGGACGTCGCTAAAGCCTCGTTTGTAATGTCCGTCTAGGAACATTAACAGGTAACGACGATGCCTGTCTCACCTAGAACTCTAGCCTCAATGGTGCCCCATGCGTGCAAGCATGTGCAGCATGTGCGTGAATGTAGCTTTGGCAAGCTTGTAATCGCAAGCACTTGCCCGCACCAGCAGAGACATGGCAGCGGCAAGATGCCCTGCTTGCAATCGTATTGTCGACGTCAGCCTTGCACTGCAGCTTTGCTCGTCCTGAGACAGGTGACATCACAATTGTGCTGGATGTCACATGTTCTGCGCTGGCTGCTCTCCGAGCGCTTGCCAGAGTGAGCAGTTTATAATGAAAAATACAACCATCAGGCTCAAAGTACAGACATGCGATTGTCACTTACGGATATTGTGGATCATCATGTGGCAGGGTTCTCCCCAGAAATTTCTGAGGGGTGGACATTACCCAGAGATAAAAAGAAAAGGGGGCGCGTTTTTTTTTGTTTTTTTTTTTTTGGGGGGGGGGGGGGGGGGGGGAGGGGGGTTGTTAGGTTTGTTTATCGCACCCCCCCCCCCCCCCCTCCGGGCACTGCTGCTGAGATAGGGGAAGAAAAAAAAAAGAAAGAAAAAGAAACACGATGAGCGCCTGCGCTCTTTGTTTGAAGCAGTGTGGCAGTGGCAGCAGTCAGCGATGCAATAGCAAACGATAATGTGGCGGTGCGTGGATCTGCTGAGCACGACGGCGACGGTCTGCAGCCATGTGCGCAAGCGAAATCGCATCGTCGTCCCGCGGAACTAAAAAAAAATTGAGGCTGCGATACGCAGGGTCTTATACAAATGGGTTGATAAGGGACGGGCTCAAATGCAAAGGGTCTTTCGAGTGTCGGTTGAAATGGGACGGGTTCAAATGAGAAAGGCGTTTGGGGAATGGGATGAAACGGGACGAGTTCAAACGAGAAGGCTGATTCGGGAATGGGTCGAAATGGGACAGGTTCACTAGGGAAGGTTGATTCACGAATGGGTCGAAATGGGACGGGCTCAAACGGGAATGGGTTGTTTCAGGCTACACCCCATCAGGCAGGTAAGGGCCTCTTCTTACCTTGCCGGCTTGGGGGGCATATTGGATGGGAACATTGTAGTTCTTTTAGAAGAGTGTTATAGTAAATGCTCTTGGACTCTGTCCTTACTCTGGTATGTGTATCTTCTCTTCCGCTATATTCGAGAGTGAGACAAGGTAGTCAATCATTGGCATTGACAGAGGTAATTTACCGAATCGACCCGCGGTAATGTGGAACTAAACGTCTATATTGCCGCAGGGATGTGGGGACCATGCTACTAGGTTTAACGTCTCCTTTGAGATCGCCGCCGCTGTTGAGATAACCCTTTGGTTACTCTATCGGTACCTCTCTTGGTAGCAAAATCCCACAATATTCAGCCTATATCTGAACACGACAGGTATATTTCAAATTTTGTTGAAATATCAATTTAAGGGGCTGTTTAAACAGGGTGAATTTTCTAGTCATGTTATCTGCTGTACAGTGGAGGTTTGCCTTTGGTTCTGTTCCGTTTTTGCACATTGTGTTCTTGCCAGGAGGAAAGCTTCCCTTCGCTTGTGTCCTCACACAGACTTATAGAGTGTGCTCATTCTGTGGGCTCGGGCAGCCACTCAGACAATCTGCTGGCTATCGTCAAGGGAGGAGGCAAGGAGGAAAGCCGTGCTGTTTGCGTGGCTAATGCCCAAATGAGGAGCGCAAGTTTGTCTGCTTCTTGCACAGGGGTTGCAATAACGATAAAGTCAGAACGTCGAGCTCTTATTGGCTGACTGAAAAATATAGTGGGTAGACTTTAAAGCATTGAGGTCGATTCACCGTCTTTTGAATCAAATCCAATCGGAGTGAGGCGTCGTTCTGACGTCACCGCAACTCCTGTGGAAGGAGCAGACGACTTGCTCTCCGCACTGAAAACAGATGCGCCGGGCATAGCATCTGCTGTGTTAGCTGGTTGGACAGCCATTTATGTGTACCCATTCTATGACCCCAGGGGCAAATATATGGGTCAGGCTTGGGGGGGGGGGGGGGGGGGGGGGGGGGGGGGAAGAGTTAAAATATGTGTTACAGCCAAAACGCTGCCCAGATCTATTTTGTTGGCCCAATATTTGCTGTCACCAAAAAGTAAACTTTTGCCAGGTGTAAATCAATTTTTGAATTTAAAAAAGTCAACCTTGGGGGGCCTTTGGAAGGGGGGCAGTCGCTCGTTGCCCCCCCCCCCCCCCCCCTCTTAAAAAAAAGCCAAAAAAGAAAAAACATTTTTTAAGCAGTTTGGTTGGGACACGCGTGGCAGAAAAAAATAATAATAATAAAATTTACGCGAAAAAATATTTGACGGCGAGAGATTAATTTGAAATTCTGCGCGCAAGGTCCATGAAGTCACGGGTCATTCCGGAATGACCATCTCGGTCGTGAAGGCTAGAAGCCGATCCTCCTTTTCTCCACGCGCCCGAAATGCCGAGAAAAAAAAAGTGGAAAGGAGGTGACTGCCGACTAAATCGTGTCTCGCGCCGACAAATTACTAAAAAAAAATATATATATATATATTCCTTCGCGCAAAATTAATTTTTTGACGCGCGTGTCACCCCCAAACTGTTAAAAAAAAAAAATTTTTTTTAGGTGCTTTTTAAATCCTTTTTTATGACCTCATATGTGGGGCATCGAGATCAATCAATGATTTTTCTATATTTATACAGAATCGGCTTTTAGACGCCATGCAATGTTTTCGTCGACAACTTTTATCGGCCTATTCAATTTTCATTTTTTGCGAGTTGCCTTACCCACGTCGAAACATGAACAAAATTACATTAAATTAATTTTACCGCCTTGTACAGCATACGATTTCCCAGAGAATTGTAACTGAGCACGGCGCAACAACTCACGCACACTAACGAATCAATGAACACAGATATATACGAACAAAACTTCCGCAAACCGCCTATCGGAAAACCGATTCTCCCGTAACCCCATTTCTTTTGTGTGTGTCGTCTGCACGCAGTGTTGTCTGCTAACCGAGTACGGAACGGTTTCGGAAACGTGAAGCCAAGCGAAAGCACGGCGAATTTCTCGGACGTGCTCGGGTCATCTCAGTTCATCGCGCGGAATTAAAGCGAACGTAACGGAGCCGGCTCGACCTCGTGCAAATTACGCAGAAACTCTCTCCCTTGTACGGATTCTCTCTTCAGGCTGCAACGTCGGTTCGCCATCAGCCAATACAAACTAGTTTCCTGCTAATTTAGCGTTTACTCAGATCCCCAAACTCAATTCAAACCCATTAAAGAAAAGCGATTACTTTTTAAAACGAAATCTCCATAGTTCGTTCCATGCGCGAGCGAAACCAGCGCAAGAGCCACAAGCACGCGCATGTTGCCTCGAGCGACGCTTGCATTATGCGAGCGCGCGTGCTTCGCAGGGACGCTAAAAGCCCGAAGCTCGCTCTTGTAGCTTCTGCTAAGCTCGCAGTTTTAAAGTGAAACGAAGTACAGTGAACAGTACCGCGAATGAGCGAAAAACGAGACGATGTCGTAATCTTCACGGCAACATGTTTCGTGTGTTTTTTTCTTTTGTTTTTAGCCTTAAGTTTAGCAGGTGCGTTCTAAACTCGCCTAGCCACTTCGGCAAGCTCAAACAAGACAGTCTGATCGGTAGGATCATGTTCAAATGCTTTTCGGTTGCCTGTTACGTAGTCGATATGTGCGTCAAGCGGCGACCAAAGTTTGAGCGCGAAAAAAATGGCATCGCGCCTGGCTGCAGTTCGTGGAAGAAAAATAAGTTGGTTCAAGTACGTGTCACACCCCCCAGCCTGTTGGGATCGCGCCTTTTTTTCTTTTTCGCCTACAGATGCCAATTTTTGAGGCGGAGTTTAAGATCAGTGGAAGAAATGGTGAGATCGGGGTGCGACTTACAGATGTCCACATTGCGTTGCGACTCGGCGCGGTTCTTGGCCGTCGGTATCCGATTCTCGTTGTATTTACATGCGGCGGTGAACATGGCAACGCTAAGTAAACAAACAGTTCGATGGTATGCGGCTGTTCTCTTGGTCGCGCGTGAGCAGTTTTACCAAAAAGTGAGAAGACGCAATAATAGACCAACAATATCCTGTAATATTTTTTGTATTCTTAATTATTTAAGTGACACTGTTCATGTTTGTTTCTAACAAACTAAAAAAAAAAATTCAATGACGAAGGAGTATGAACGCTTAAAAGAAGAGCTGAACCACTAAACTTTTCGTTTTGTTTGGTTAGTACTTGTTTCGGTTTTGGTTTGAAAAAAGGGAATTCATCAAGTATGTTAGTATTTATTTCATATATATCATTTGGTTTTAGTTTATAAAAAACATTATTTCTTAGCGGCTCAAGTTGTGATTATGGTACATTCGGTACAGCTCACTGGTTGAAACCAAAACGAAACCAAATCCGGTTTCACATTATTAGTCAAAATGGTGAATTATATTTGTTAAAAACGTTATTTTAGTGCTGATAAGTGTTTTATAGAAAATAAAATACGCCTTTTGTTTTTAATAAAGAACGCAAAATAAAATGTTTCTAATAAATAAATAAAAATCATCATCATCATCACATCATAGCCATTATTCCGCAATGGCTGCGCTCGACCGCGGTTGACGCAGTTCGTGCTCAGCGAGAGAACAGGCCCGGTAGGAGCGTTATATCGGCGCTCTTTGGTCTTCAAAGTCTCCAAAAGCAACGAAGAAGCCATGTACGAACCAGAAGAAGGTAACATTCAAACTTTTTCATTGAACTGGACTCGCGTCGAAGTTGTGATTGACAGAACGTTGTGAAGCCGTCAACAAAAAAAACGAAGCAACTTTAGTCGCGGAAACGCAAACATTTGCCTCGGGATCGGGCCAACGTTCGCTCGATTGTTGAGACGTCTGGCACAAATCCTTTTTGGGCTGCTTGTTTTCGACTGTCGCACACTTTTCGTGATGCATGCTGATACGTCGAGAGGATGTCACACCGGGTGATGGCGGTGTCTCAATCTGAGCCCTTGGTACCTCGGAGGCGGCAGCTTTCTACTTTGACTGGTTTACTTCCTTAGAGCCTGATGCTTCGACCCCAGTGAGCAACAGCACCTCCGTGTTCTTGGGGCTCCTTTGTACTACATGCACCGATCGAAACCTGGACATCTGCAAATCGCACTGCCATACTCCGCAATAACAGCAATCCATCTCGTCGTCATCTTGCTTGTATATACCCATCTCATTATCATAACCCTTAGACGCGGCACCTTGGGCTTCCATGGCACGGGCTGCTGCCTTTCCGCGGTGCCGCGGCTCTCCAGAGCCAAAAAATATATTAATAATATTATTCTTATACTCGTGAACAACTTTCCGTGATGCGCAGATTCCCAAGGATCACCTGTGTCAAGTTCCACGGCCTCGAGGCTAATCGTGCATTGATCTTGCCTAACGTTCGTACTCCCTGTAATGACCTGTGTGTTTACCTGAACAGGTCAACAGACCAAGTTAAATGACATGGCAAAACACTTTTTTGAAATTTATTATTTTAGCCGTGCTCTCAATGCTTCAAGACATTCTGACAACATTCTGACATTTTTGTTTGTAAACATCACAGCCTGCCTTGAAAAGAAAAAAAAAAAAAGTAATTAAATATAAGTGGCGGCAACGATCGTGATTGGTCGTATTTATAATTTATTTGCAAAACTTTGTAAAACAAGTTCCCTTGTGAGTAAATAGTCTGGTTCACACATCTGCGTCTGACTGTGCTCACGTGCGTTGCTCTCACTTGTAACCGCTTACGACGACGGTAGGTGGATACAGCTAAACTCTTAATCGTGCGGAGGCTTGCACCACCTATTCAAAGCTTCTAAATCCACCAGCGAACTAATCTCCGATAGAATTCTAATTTAGTGGAGAAAAGCAGAGATACTTGTATCGCCGCTAAGCTCAGGCATTCATCTACCAGTCTCCGCAACCGAAAGTTGCGATCCATGTGACGTTGGTGCCTCTTCGGAGCCCAGTACAAACACTTTTTTCACTATTACAGACGAGAGAACAGACTGGTGCCATCTGTCAGGTAGCAATAGAATGCGGAGCGCAAGTTTATCTGCTTCTTTTGTAGGGGTTGTGGTGGCATCAGAATGCCGAGGTCTGTTGGCTCTGACTGAAGTATAGTGGGTAGATCTCAAAGCAAGCTGCCTTGATGTCCACTCACCATCCTCCAATGGGAACCAATCGAAGGTCAGCATTTCGACATCACCACAACGCCTGCAAAAGAAGCAGACAAACTTGCACTCTGCACATCTCCGAAATAGGTATACTAGACCGCAGGACTTGTAGCATTTGCGAGATCAGATTGGCACGCTATCCATGAGAAAGGGCGGCTCGTAACATTGTCAGAATGATATTGTGTCCACGGCGAAAGAATGACGAATAAAAGATTTATGAAAATTCAGAGTGTTCCAGGGTGATCTAGATGGTGCCAGTGTGATCTACAGAGGGCCTAAATTGGAGAGAGGGTCCAACTCAAACTACGGGGAGCGTTTGCAATTTAATGGCAGACGCCTCCCGCAAAGATTAGTTGCACGTGCCACATTTTTGTGTGGTGAGGAAGAAAGCGGGTGGAAAGGTCGAGACGTTTGCAGACGAGCGACGCTTTCCGCACCTCCTCGCAACTCGTGTTGCAAACGCGGTCCATGAACCACGCGACCCTGATCGAGCAGTTGGAAACTCTTTGTAATACACGCTCTCTAGCATTCATCGCGTCGTGAGCAGTTATGAGGGAACACGGTGGGCTTGAGCATTCTCGAACATGGATTTGGGAACCGACATCAAAGGGCATAATTACGCAGAGCCTTGAGACCAAGGGTAGAGGAAGACAGCAGAAACACAAAAAGAGGTGTTTGTGCTGTCCATCTCTTGTCTCGGTCTTAGAGTTCTTTGTAATCGTGTTCGATTGATCATCAGTTTGTTTGCGCTTCTGTTTTTTGTTCATTGAGCCCCGAAGAGGTGAAAGTGAACATTTGACAGAAGTCTGTCTGGTTGGGGCGAGAGTAATTTAAAGGGACGTCCAGCCGAGCCCTAATTTGGGACCCCGCAATTTGAGGCCTCCCCGGCCTCAAAAAATTGGGTCTTTATTACGGCTTGGTTGAACATCCTCGTTAACTAGCCTTAGAGAGTGGATTCCTAACACTGGTGGGCTGGGAGCAGTATTAGAAGTACTGCTTTACAAGTAACAGCACTACTGGTAACACATTACTTTCTTCAATGGTGCATTAACATGCTCGTTAGATTTCTATATTACTAATGAGTAAAGTATTTTAATTAATATTTTAATGTATCCTTCTTTAAATTGTTCCTCGTTACTTTTGATTACAATTTTGTTTAGCTGAAAATAAATTCTGTAAAGAGTGCTGAAAACGGGAATTATATTTTCTCCCCGTCATCATTTCAAAATCCTTCTTTGAGAAAGCGAGGTCGATCCAGTCAGAATGAATAAAGTACTATTCTACAAATTCAATAAAAAATATCAACACTACGAAATCACTTTGTACGGTTTAATTACTGTTGAAGTTTGTATTCGCAGCTTATCACCATCTAACAACACCGAAATCTAAAGCAACGCAAAAGTAATGTTTGTTTGTTTTCGGAAGTGATAATGGTAACGGCATTTTGTTACATTGGGAGTGCGGTAATGAATCTGTCGCGCATCGACGTCTTGACGAACTGATGAGTGACGCTATTTTATTATTCATTTTCGGCAATGTGCACTACATCTGGCCGAGAACGTGCTGAGTGTGCCGCCTTCCTCCCTCCTCTGCAGACGCCTTCCGGGAAGATGAGTCGGAGGAGATCACCCCCGACCTGTGGCAGGAGGCCTGCTGGATCGTCATCAGCGCCTACTTTGACGAGAAGGGCCTCGTGCGGCAGCAGCTGGACTCCTTTGACGAGTTCATCCAGATGTCGGTGCAGAGGATCGTGGAGGACACCCCCCAGATTGACCTGCAAGCAGAGGCCCAGCATGCCTCTGGGGAGATAGAGAATCCGGTGCGTCTTGGTTGCCCTATTCGTCTGGAGTCTTTGACCTTGAACGGCAAGGTGGCTAGATACTCAGGCAGAGCCTGAGTATCGCCGCGATGCCTGGAACGCTCGTCCGACTGCTTTGTTTAGCATCCTATCTCGCCTTTGCGAAGCGCAAGTTCATCTGCTTCGTTTGCAGGGGGTTGTGGTGACATGAGATTGTTGAGCTCTGATTGAAGGATAGTGGATAGACTTTAAGACAGCTTGCTTTGAGGTTATCGTTCTTGTGAAAACTGCAAGATGCCGAGAAGATGTACAGCACCTTTGGGAGAGTGCTTCTGGTGGTGTACTTAGCTGTCAAGCACTTCCGTCACTTTCTTGAAGGCCGCACATTCTTCATTGCCACAGACCACAAACCACTGGTCTACGCCAAGAAAATTTTCTAGTCAAAATCACTCTACACATCCTTTCACTTAATTCAAAATCATTCAACGCATCCGACATGTTTTTTCATCGCGGAATTCACATCTGACGTCCGCCACGCAAAAGAAAAAGATAACATTGTTGCAGACACATTCTCCCGTTTTAAACTTAACAGCCTGAATGCGGAAAAGGTGCATTTCGCACACGTCAAGGCTGCCACGGCTCAAGCAGTAGACGGCAAACTTCAATTTCTCAGGAGGACCAACACACCCCCCCCCCCCCCCCCCCCCCTCGAAGAAGTCGCGTTTCCTGATCATGTCCGGGTTACCAATTATGTAGAGATAGTAATCAAAAACTCTATGTACACTATTACAGCGGAGCTGTTAAGGGCTAGTTTCCCCAGTTTCGTGTCCGGGGACAAATAAATGTTGACACAAAACTCCAGAAAGCATCGCAGTTTTTGAGCGACGGCGTCAACCAGACAACCGGCTTGCCGTTTGTCTGGTTGCCGCCTTTGCTCACAGACGGCGGCAACTTTCCCAGCCTTTCCACTCTGGTTTTCACCAGACTGGAAAGGCTGAATTTCTCTAGGCGTCGTCCTAGAAGTTGACCTTAAAGGGATGGTGAACCGAAATTTGGATTTAAAAAAAAAACAACAATGCTGGAGATGTAGGCGGGACGCTACTATCCCTACAACACTACTAGTAAGGCGATATCTCAAATGGACGGCCGTATTTTTGGAAAAAGAAGTCGAGGTTGAACCAGGCCGACGAGGCGCTTGACGTCAAGATACCTAGTTTCCTCTTCTCTTTGCTTTGCTCCCTCAAGGCCGCGAGGCGGAGAAGATGCGAGGCCGTTCCCTCTCCTTCTCGGAGAAACATGACGTCAACATTCCTGCCAAAAGCGTCTCTTTCGAGGCATCGCTGTATGAGTGATGTTTTGGTGTTTGTAGCATCCCGTTGCACGCTTTTGTCATGTGTTTTGGGGAATCCAGATTTCAGTTCAGCGTCCCTTTAAGGTCGTCCTAGACGTTATCCTTGAGGTCGTCTGAGAAGTCGTCCTAGAAGTCATCCTTGAGGTCGTTCTAGATGTCGTCCCAGAAGTCGTCCTTGAGGTTGTCCTTGAGGTCGTCCAAGAAGTCGTGCTAGACGTCGTCCTCTGGGCATCATCCTAGACGTCGTAAAGATAACAGCTTCACTAGTCCTCTATCTTCACGTGAAGTGGAAGGGCTCTAAATTTTATTTACAAAATATACAAAACCGTCCAAGACATTGGTTGATGCACCCGCCGTGCAGTGCTGGCTCCGAGCCTCATGTCTCGTGGTGTTCTGGCAGCAGCACGCTCTGTCTTCTTGCTCATGCTCTTGCTCACCGACTTTGTCGTTTTGGACTCGGTGGTCGCACAACCGCTACAAGGTCTACCCTACCTACTATTTTTCAATCAGAGCCAATCTAAGCTTGTCGTCCTGACGTCACCACAACCTCTGGAAAAGAAGCACACAAACTTGCCCTCCGCATACGTCTAAAGTGGTTCCAAAGTGGTGGCATATGACGTCGCAAAAGCCGGCGTGTCACACTGTCGGATGTCGTGATCCCAGCGATCGGTCGTAGATGTTCCGGCAAAAGCTACGAGCGAACTCGAGCATCATCATCGTCGTGGGGTTCCAACTTCTGGCTGCCGAATCTTCCGTAGATCGTAGAGCTGGAGAGGTGACCTGCAGCAGAACAGGCACCTGCCATGTGCACCCCCCGACGCCGTAACACCGCCAGAATCAAAGCTGGTGACAACGTGACACCTCTGCGGTGTTGTCAAGCAGAAGTCGAGGGACCACGTTTTAGGCTGTGGTAGGCGCACCTGGCACTGGCAGAGACTCATTCCAGGCACCCTAGTATTGAACATGACATAAACTCGAGAGTGTTCAATCTAAACCAGCTCGTTTGCGCCCTTACATTCATTTCACCATAGTATTGCCTTCCTTTTCCTTTTGTCGGTCACATGCCTCAAACGACAAACGAATCTAAAGTGCTTGCAAGGCAAGCGGCCTGGCGAAGCGGTGGATTTGGGGTGGGACGTATTTTTCGCACCGCATTCGCAAAGTGTAGGTCTTTCTTCAAAGTGTGATGAGCAGGAAGCTTCTTGATCCTTGGAATGTTGTGTGTTCCACTGGGATTTGCGTAATTGCATTTTGTTATGTGAGCGCTGCTTCGAAACAACCGCGAACGAGCAGACGGCACTGCATTGGCGTGTACTTCCGTGGACCTTACTGTTGGCGTAGCACGGCACCAAAGTTGACTTGGTGTGGAACGTGATTTTTGCTTTGCACTTGTGAAATGTGAATCTTGCACTGAAATCGGACAAGCTGGATGCTTCTTCAACCTTTCATCATTTTTGTACTAATCGGTAATGTATTTAAAACATATTTTTAAAATGCCTGTGTTCTAAGCATCGGTGTTCAAAACATTGATATGACTTTTATGATGCACGCAACGTTTTAGAACACCAATGCAGCAGACAACACGAAGCAGATGACACTTACCAAGCTGCTCAGGCAGCGCAGAGGGATCTGGAAGACATGTGCGATGCAATGGCCCCACACGCTGTCGCGCCTGTTGCGTCTCCTGTAAGAGCGACAAACACTTCCTGTGTTATTTGGAAGGCCAAAATCGGGGACCATTGGGCGGCTCTGCAAGCAGGGCACTCTAGCCGGGTTGATCATGCCTCCAGGTCTAAAAAAAATACCAAAAACAAGTTTGCTCGTTGTATGCGGATCTTTCTGGACCTGGGCCACAGATTCAACCTAGCTAGCCGTGTAGCACCGAGTTGAGCTGTAATTTGAACTACCGGGTGTTTGGCAGAATCTCTCTTTCTCGTCATTTGTTTTTCTCACCGCAAAAGCAAATTATGGTTCACGAAATGTTCAAGCTCCATGCTAATGCGGCGCTGGCATTTGAGACGAGATGCCAGGTTTTTAGAGCTTATTATTGTCTAATTAAAAAGTTATAAGAAAGTTTCAGAAATTTTCAATCGGGAAAAGGGTGTCCGTTCCCGTCACAGACACCATGCATCTCCGTGTTCCTGGATGTCTTGTTGGCCGCCATTTTCTTGTTTAATATTTCAGAAAGTAACTTATAACTTTTGAATTGGGTAATGCTAAGTTATCAAACTTGGGCTTCTGGTCTCAACTACAAGTGCTACATTTGGACTGACACGGCTTGCATCAGCAAACTGATGTTTTGCTGACGCACGGTTCAGTTTTCAGTGGGAAAAACCCAGTTCTCTGTTCTGCCAATCACCTGGTTCATTATCAGAGTTGAGTCCCTCACAGTTTTTTGTTGGCTACATTGATACTGCCTGTTTGGCCTCCAGCTGTTGCAAGCTAGGAAACCTACCTCTCCCATAGGGTGGATAAACATTTTTTTTTTTCAACTTTAAATTGTGGAGTTTATTACCGAGTCTCATGCCTCAGTGTTGTTTTCGGCCCGCATACCAGCTGTTCTGAAGTCTGCAGGCCGTTCCCAGGTTTTCTTCTGGTTTCTTGAAGCTGCACTGTGAAAGCTTCTTTGACTCGCCCGACAAACTGTATTCTTCTTGCAGCCCCGCTACCTGCTCAAGTTTGAGCAGATCTACCTGTCCAAGCCGACTCACTGGGAAAAGGACGGCGCCCCGAGCCCTATGATGCCCAACGAAGCTCGGCTGCGGAACCTGACGTGAGTTCAGTTGCATCCCTCGCATGTTTTCTTTTTTTTTTTCAATTTAGAGTCACTGGATAGGTTACGCTTTAGGTTAATGACATTTCAGCCGTATTGATGTGCAGAACCGGTGCTGCCATTTGTCGTTCCCGACGGAAGATGCAAAAAGTGGTTTCCGTCATCCCGCTTGCTAAAAAAGTTCATAACAGAGCAAAACGATATTGGAATCTTCCAATGCAGTTAAGGACGATAGCTCGTCGTAAGGGTCGCCATAGCAACAGCTTGATGCAAGTAGTCGTAACGCAGTCTAATGCAACTGTGTGAATGAGCTTTAATAGACCGATTTGCACATTTGCGTCTGAGTGCACTCGAGTGCACTTACTGTGATGAAGCATGCTGACATATATAGCATTAATATAATAATCTAGAGGGTAAGGTCCACGCATTCCGGCCCCTTCGGAACGACGGGGCATAGGCACAGACATCGGCGGTCCCAGTTGGTGGTCCCGATTCGCCCACATTGCCGGCGACACCTTAATATGCACCAAGATGCAGCGAAACATCACCTGGAGGGTGTATGCCCAGCCCTTTCCTTGCTTACTTTGCGAGAAAACACCGGCGTCACGCATTGTTTAGAATGAAATAAGGAATTGATAAGTGCTTGAGCAACTGTGGCTCGTCACAGCAAAACAAACACACCTGACCTTTCGTCTGCTTTCTTTCTCCGCTTTACTGTTGCTTTCTCATTCTTGCTCTCAGGAATTACCGATTTCGGCACTCAGCATTTGCCAGGTTCCGCTCAAGTCTTGGCCCCCTCTGCTGGAGTGCCAGCGCTGTCTCTCGGGTTACCTTGGAAGTCTATAACTAAACTGATGGTTTCGCACAATTTGCTAGATCAAATGTATGCACTGAATGAGAAACGGTCACCTCCAACGTTGTCAGAACTATTTCAAGCCCACAACAAAAGAATAATACACGAAAAATCATAAACATGAGTACGGAGGTCAGAACTGTTCCAGCGCTTCCTATAGGTGGCGCCGGCAAGCCAGCACCTTCCTTCGTAGTAAGCGGCTACAACGAAACGCTCAGACACAGACACGCAAACCAGCCTCGACCCCCTGCAAACAGCACCCGGCTGGCACTGGGCAATGAAATGGCTGTGCACGCAAGCCGCCAGCATGTGCACAAATATTGCGCGGTGCGAGCGGACGAACGACCATCGTGGCAGTGTCGGACAGCGCTGGAAAGGAATATCAATGCTCTAAGCACAGCTTTCAGTAGTCCTTGATGGGACGGGAAGGGCAGGGCTTCCCTTTGGAACGCCCGGCCTGCAACACACGCTTGTTGCCGTTCGCCGTGCTTTGGCTACTCTCGAGGCTCAAAAGAGGGCGAAGCGTCGTCAAAGGTAGACGGCCCGTACCGGAGGCGTGATTGTCGAAACTCTTACCTACTGTTCTCGTCCTGTCGGTGACCCTAGTCCACGGTGTAAGATATATATAGGTGAGGACACATGGCACAGAAAACGCTGCAACGCAATCGACTGGATAAAGTCCTCTTGGCGTGCGCCTAAGTAGCATGGGTCAACGGCATTCCCGCCGTCCAAAAGGTGCAAATAAAAAAAATATATAAAAGGAACTGTCTTGTTTTTACGGCATTTGTGCTCTAGTCAGACCCTCACCTCAGTTCACCGGGTTTTCGTGTCGCAGGTACTCCGCTCCGCTGTACGTGGACATCACCAAGACGGTGATCAAGGAGGGCGAAGAGCCTGTGGAGACGCAGCACCAGAAGACCTTCATCGGCAAGATTCCCATCATGCTGCGCTCCACGTACTGCCTGCTCAACAGTCTGACGGACCGAGATTTGAGCGAGCTGAACGAGTGCCCCTTGGACCCCGGGGGGTACTTTATCATCAACGGTTCAGAGAAGGTGACTGCTTTCGGGTGTCTTCTAAGCTTTGTCATCCATTCGAAGTGCCTGTTTCTTTGAAACAGTGATACTTTGTGTCGTCCACATCTAACCTGTCTCTGGTGCGACAGACAGGTCTTTATTGTTCTGAGGTGTGCAGTCGAGTGAAATTGTTAATGTGGACAGCTCTGTTCCCCTGAAAAATCGTCCATAATGATGAATCGAGGACGAGACCACAAATAATGAACAAGTGTGGCCACAAGAGACATATTTTATTTAGGGAACTAGCTTACCTCCTAAGTACTACAGTATAGCGAAAGAAGTGTCCAGCCTTTTATGCATAAGGGGTATACATGACCTATGAATGTTCTTCAAGTTTGTCATTCGCGGCCGTGATGCAAGTGGGCAGGGAAGGTCAAGTGATCCATTTGGTCGGAAAGACCCCGAGAAATCGGACCACTGTTCAGTGCTTAGGTCTTGTTTGTTTCTCGGGAAGGGCAACTGACAGTAGTGAAGCTCTGCATGTATTCTGTAAACCGAAGGCACTGCCTATCTTTCTTTTCTTTTTTTTTCACCTGTGGATTGTCTTTAGAAAGTTAGTGTTCATAATAATGAGGCAAAAATGCATGTTTACTCAGTTCATTTCCAAACTAGCTCTCTATAGTCTGAACTGCAATGTTTCTATATTAATGAGGCAGAATGGTATGGGGGGATGAATCAGTGCTTGTAGAGTTTGCGCATAATGTGCGCTGTTCATATTAACGGGGTCCATACAAACGAGACATGACTGTAGTATGAGCCAATTTCCATGAGTCTTAGCAGTCCTGTTCTTGAGACCAAACTTCAAAGCGAAGTGTCATTCATTCGCACATTGCTTTGCTTGTGTCCCCATCCAAGCTGTTCATTGCCTTCTGACCACTCACCTTGGTGCCTGGTGGATGCTTCCTCCTACGACAGGTACTCATAGCCCAGGAGAAGATGGCCACCAACACCGTGTACGTCTTCCAAATGAAGGACTCCAAGTTTGTGTTCAAGGCGGAGTGCCGGTCGTGCCTGGAGCACTCTTCACGACCCACCAGCACCCTTTGGGTGAACATGCTGGCTCGCGGAGGACAGGTGAGTCCCCCGCCGCCATGCGTCTTTGACTGGCTTGCGTCTTTGACTCGCTTGCGTCTTCGACTGGCTTGTTTGTTCACCATCCCATCTCGCCCGTGCACCGAAAGTGGTCCCGAAATGACAACAAATTGCGTCGCGGTAGCCAGTGTGGCATACTGTATTAACTGTCTCGCTGTTAAACGAGCCGCAGCAGAACAAGCATCTACCACATCCTCTGCTGCTGTGCCACCGCCAGGATCAATGGAGGCAATGGTGCGATGCTTTTGTGACGCCGGCATAAATTGACGAACCTCTTTTGAGGACGCGGTAGACGTGCCAGTCGGAGACGTGCTCCGGGCACCGTACCGCCACCTATCCTGGTGTTCAATTTTGGGTCGCAGCGAGATCTAATTTGCCTCTCGAGCGAAGTTGGCATTCGTAAGCGGTCTGTCTGCTAACGCGAGCGAAGGACGCAGGTCGTCTGCCACGAAGCGTCATTTGCAGACGAAAATAAAATGAGTAAACTCCGTACGTTGTCTGTCGACAGCCTGGGAAAAATATTGATAGCTTGTTACGAACTGAGTGCCGCAGCAAAGTGAGATCGGACGCAGGCTGAAATTGATTGTCTGCTATTTCCGGTTGGAAGCCATTAACAATTCATACTTCGCTTACAAATCCGAAGTTGTTCCGCTGCCGTACAAAAGCTGACATTAATCGATGGGTGAAGGAGTACTAAGTACAAGCACATCAGAGGTGGTGAGACTTTCCTTGCCATTTGTACATTTGCAAGACGTTGTCACCAAGTTTCTGCCCAATTGTGAGCTCGCAAATGGGTCAAAAAGTTCTGTTATCGGTCGATTATGCGCAAGCTGTGGCACCGCATCCCATTGGCAGTTAAGAATGCTCTCGCTCTCGCCTCGAACAAGATCGGACCCCTGGGTCCAGCCTCTCACGTTGCGCCATTGCACACACGCAGGGAGTGCGCAAGAGCGCTATCGGCCAGAGGATCATCGCCATCCTGCCGTACATCAAGCAAGAGATTCCCATCATGATTGTGTTTCGGGCACTGGGCTTCGTGGCTGACCGAGATATCTTGGAGCACATCATCTACGACTTCGAAGACCCCGAGATGATGGAAATGGTAAGGTGGGCTGGAGTACAGCCACTGAATAAGCTACTCTTATAGTACAGGTTCTCAAACTGGGTTTTTCAATGCACCTTCAAGAGATCCTCGAGCACCCGAATTTTATAGACTGTTCCCGCCCCTAAGCGAAATCATCTTCCACTTTAAGCACTGCATTACCGGATCTTAACCATTCATTGATCTACGACTATGTGCCAATCACTTTCTAGCATGCGCATTATCATGAGATCGGTTGGGATTTTTTTCATTTTTTGCCTAAAGATGGCCAAAGTGTCACTACTCTGAAGCCTAGCCTATCTAGTGGCTCCAGCTAGGATGGCCGAAGTCGTGAGCAATGAGTGTTTATAGGGCACCGACGGAGTTGCTGAATAAGCTTCAGCCACCTTGTGGTTTAAAACCGCAGCTGCCTATTTTTTGGTAGGTTTATTTGGAATGGTGGGAAACGCTTTCCCGTCCTCCAGAGACGCCATAACTGTTCGCAAAAGGGCGAAATGATGTCGCTCGACCTTCCCTACACCGTGTCTAGAGCCCAGAAATTGGCATTTTCGGATCATAAGCATAGCAGATTGCGCTCGCCCTCTTTCTTGTTTTCTCTACTTCTTACCTTGCCGCCTCCTAGTTTTGGAGAGGAGGACGCAAGTAGCTGAGGTGTCACAACAATCTTTAAGCTGTCGGCTACTGCAAGGCAATCCAGAAGGGAAAAACCTTATTGAAAAGAAAGAAACCCTATCGGGGGGGAAGAACCTTTTTCGAAAGGAAAACCTTTTCCCTTCCGGTACGTCCGAACCTTCGCCGTATGTCTTTCTACGCCTCCGCGCGTAGAAAGACATACAGCGAACGTTCATTAACATGGCGCCCGGCCGAATTTCGAGCCAGAAGTACGTCACGTAAAGCCGCCCTCTACTCTGGAATATCCGGTTGTTTTTCGGAATGTTCACCGGGCTCGGCCGCTCCCATGTTTGCAGGTGAAGCCCTCCCTAGACGAGGCCTTCGTGATTCAAGAGCAGAACGTGGCCCTCAACTTCATCGGTGCTCGTGGGGCGCACCCCGGAGTGACCAAGGAGAGGCGCATCAAGTATTCGCGCGAGATCCTCCAGAAGGAGATGCTACCCCACGTGGGAGTGAGCGACTTCTGTGAGACAAAGAAGGCCTACTACCTGGGGTGAGTGACCTCCCGACGTCTCTGCTTGGCACTCACTATTTTCCAGACGGGCTGTGCATGTCTCCACTTGTATTTGGGAGAAAACTGGGGGGATCTTCCCATCCAATTTGAAACAAATTGGATGGGAAGATCCCCCCAGTCTGGCTGACTGTCCACCTCTACTATGTCCAACCCACCACTATATTTTGCCTCTGCTGGGCAAAACAGTGTTGATTTTAAAAATGCATTATGCCCCAGATTGTTGTGGTGTGTCACTGCTGTGTGGCAGAGAAAGTGCCAAGAACACCAAAACTTCCAGCAATCACCCCCACCTCCTTCCCCCAACAACTTGGAACTTGTCAGATGTCCAGATCTCAAGAATTTATGGGGAGAATCCTGACATGACGTTACCTGGATCCAAAGATAATTGACAAAAACTAAATTTCTCGCTGAGCCGATGCCTACCTAAGCCTAATATATCTTCAAAACAAGAATTGATATTGTGGACGCCTTTTGTAATTATATCAGTGAAAAACACTGGTCAGCAAGAAAGAGAATATTTTTTTCTTTCTTGCTGTCAAGATTTTTTACTGAAGTAAGTGCTACAGGCGCCTGCAATGTCAATTCTCGCTTTGACGATATTAGGCTTAGGTGGACGTCGGCTCATGGATAAATTTCGTTTTTCCTTATAATCTTTTGATCCAGGTAACGCCATCTTCACAAGCCACCTCGGTGGCTCCGAGGCGAGAGCGTCGGCCTACGGATCCCCATGTGGCGGGTTCGAATCCCGGCCGAGGTGCCCGCAATATGACGGAGGGTTATTGCGGAGAAGACGCCGTGTAACCGAGCTTTCGGTTGCACGTCAAAAGAACCCCAGGTGGTCGAAATTAATCCTCAGTCCTCCGCTGGGGCGTGCCAGATGCCCGCCGTTGGTTTGGCACGTAAAACCCCCAAATTTGACGCCATCTTCACAAACTTCCGCACTCTATCGCAACTGCGAGCGCCACATTCTCACAGAGCTCAAGCTTTCTGCGACGCATAGTTTATATACCCGAGTCAAAAACCGCGGTTTTCATTTTTCAGGAACTCTCGGTATTTGTGATCGTACGCAGTAGTATTGAGCGCCTTTATTTCAATCTAAATTGTTGTCACCCATGGTACCCTCAGCGTTCAGCTCTGACCTGTGTCAACAGTGGCCAGAGTTTTCTTTTGAGCTGTCCAGTGAGCGCCTTTTCAGGGTTTACGTTAGCCATTTATTTCATAGAATTTCACCTTGACGTCTGTTTCGATGTTGACGTCGAGCGGGTGCAGCGTACCAGTGAGTCCTCCCTGGACCGCATGCTTTGTTCTGCACCATTATGCAGATTTTCTGGATACCATATTTGCAACCCGGTGCACATCTGCCCCAGTCCAGGGTATAAGCGCCAGTTCATAAGTACTTGTCCACTGCTCTCAGGTTATGGGGATCGCATAAACCAACTTAGCAGAACGAAACATTCACGAAGCTCGACGACATTCGGCAGCCCGAGTGTCCGATTTTGCAGCAGCTAGTACTGTCCATGAGTGGAAGGCAACTACGGATGATATGATAACCATAAAAAGAACAGCTTTCCGAAGTTTTACTCCCGTCATCCTTCTTATCTGCGCTTCAAAACACCTCAAAAGTGGCAGCAGAGACGCACACGTGGCAAGGTAAAGATGGTGGAGATGTGGAGTGCATGCCACACTGCTTCGATCAGCCTGCCTCGGAAGAAGCGGATTGTGTGTGGCTAATGCACGAATAATTTTTAAAATCTTTTTCTTTTTTATATATTTTGGTTTAAATAGGTGGGTTGCGGCCCATTATATGTGTGTGGCATCTCTTGGCTCATGCACGCAATTATACGGTATATTCTGGCATTTCCTTGGCACTTTGAGTATGGTCCTACTTAACGCGCCGCCGTTTCTGTTCACCTATCTCCTCTTCAGTTTGTTCCTTCCTGTTGTGAGGCATTTTGAAGCCTGCAGCACACCTAATGAGTGCTCCGTCTCGCGACCCGAAGGACATGCTGTTCTCTGGGTCGGGGGGCGAAGCACTCGCTGAATGTGCCACAGAGGAGGACCGGAATGTTTCAGGGTTTCAGAGATGGTACATGCATGGAAGGTACATGGTACCTTTTCTAAAGCTAAAGCTACATGGTATTCACAGGTACATGGTGCACCGGCTGCTCCTGGCAGCCCTGGGCCGCAGGGAGCTGGACGACCGGGATCACTACGGGAACAAGAGGCTAGATCTTGCAGGACCCCTCATGGCCTTCCTCTTCAGGGGGTGGGTACCGCTCTCAGGACAGCTCGCGAGTCATGCCCGCTTCTCTTCGGCCAAAAAAACACTCGCTTTCGTCAGCCAACATTGAGCGAGCAAGACTCGCTTGTTATTGGCCCCCACATCTTGTGAGACCGCTACTTGGCTCGCGCTTCTCTGTTCCTTTGCTATTATTTGTTGTAGAAATGGTCAGACGACTGCGGTAGAAAATGGCGCATGCACTTAGCTTTGGGGGCTATCCTTTTCGCTTAAATATTCCCAACTGAAGTAGCTTTTAAAGTTGAAACTGACTGGCCCGCAGCTGGTCGCGGTCCTTCTGATGAAGCGCAACCCGCTTCCAGCAGACCCTCTCCCAACGGCACAAAGTGAAGTGCGCGTAAAGAAACGACGCCGCAACGCACTCCAAATGCGCAAACGAAGATGCCAGAAAGGATGAGAGAAACTGCACTGTAATGCGGATCCTCTCGCCATAATATTTATTAAGGCGAAAGCCTTGTATGTCTCATCGTTCAGTCGACCCTCCAAGCCCTCAACGATACAAAAGCTACCAAAACTCGACGGCGACGCGAAAGGTACGAAAACCGGCGACAGGAAAGGTACCAAAACCCACGGTTTGCCACTGAACCACGAGATGGCGTTACTTGTGCCAGAATGGGTGGAGGTTCTATATTCCTCCAAAAGGACTTTTCGCTCTTGTCCCTCGGCTGGCGTCGAACCAGCGACCTTTCATTTAGTAGTATGATGCGGTACCCCTCCGCCACGGGCAGAGGGGTACCTCCAAATCTGTAAATCATGCGTCTGTCTTTAATGCATCGGCACGTGGGCTTTCGCCTTCAGGTTGTTTTAGAGATAACATAAGAGACCCTGTGCTTTTTTAACATTTTCACCAGTGTCATCATTCTTAATCTTCTGCTTCGTGTCTTTGTGACTGTATGTTGAAATTTCTTTGCATTTTCATGTACATTGGGCTTAGTGTTCTTTGTCACAACAATTGCATATTGTCAGCCTTAGTGTTACCATTCTCATTAGTATTTTGCACTGGGTGAACGTGCCGAATTTTCCACGCGCTTTGATCTTTGCCTGGGGCATTTTCTTGGTCACAATTTTTGGGCAAGGTCATAATTAGCTAAATATAAAATTTCAAATTGAAGTAGACGCATTCATCCACCTTAAGGTGCTGTTTTGAACACTTAATCTAACAATAATTTTTGTGTTCAAATGCTTATCTAGCTTTGTTTGTCTAGCTTTTTCTCTTTTCTAATTACTATTTTTTTCCGGCCCTCGAGACTGCGACAGATCCCTAATGCGGCCCCTTAGCCAAAAAGGTTTGGAGGCCCCTGGTTTAGCTGAATACGAGTTGAAGAATGTGCCAAGGCCACCTCATACCAGTCAGAGCGTTGAATTGCTCTGTGGACCAACCAAAAATTATAGTGTCTGGGATGAGCTACGTCACGTCAGCTTGATGTCTGTCTTTAAAGTGAGATATATACTGGTAGGCAGATCACGGAGGAACAGTGACTGGTGGTATTGAGGCACATTCTCGTGTTGGAGTATAGCACCACATCTGGAAGGGTTCAAACTCAATTGTCCAGCTATACCAGTGGGTTGTGCTGAATGTCGACCAAAGTTTGCCTGTGAAAACTATGCAATGTGGAGAAGAACAGCTGGTGTTGTATTAGTCACTGCCGAGGGACCAGTTTATTAAGGTACCTAGCATTTTAGATAATGAAATCCTTAAGTTTTGCATGGTAAACCTTTTTGGTTACTAAAATCGGCATATGGTTCTCCTTTAGAAATTTGCCTGGTATTATTCCTTAACCACGAATTGATAAATTTTAGAAAGGCTCGCAGTGCATGGGGATTATGGTGATGCACAAAAGTTTCTGCTTGTACTACAGGCGCAAGGCCGGGTAAATAAAAATACAGGTGAAAATAAAAAGTAATTTGCGAACGCGGGATAGTTGGGTGCCTTATCGGGAACCGAGAAAAATGAAGCACATGCTCAAAATCTTTCTACGAATTGGCTGATTTTTCAGTTCTTGATGACACTATCTAGTTTCTAATTGGAATTGTATTTGTTTAAACTAATCAGTAAGTTAAATGTGTAAGTTTAATTGAAGACGGTAAATGCCCTAAACGCTATGTACTTTTATTGGTGGGCCCTTTGACAATGACCAATTCTTTACCTATTTCGTTTGCACGATGCATAGTTTTTACATAAAAAGTTTGGCCAGCATTTGGTAAAACGCTCAGTAGTGCAATGAGGTGTTTCTCTTGAGGTCAACTCGATCATAGGATTACGCCTTGAAGTGTGAACCAGAATAGGCCAAGGATGTCATATGTAGTTTTGAGAGGTGGCAGTTCTTGAACTGCCACCCTCTAAGGTGGCAGTTCAAGAAGTTGCCTTCTAAATCATAAAATGGTTTCGTACAGTAATCGCCTTAATGTTCGGCAAAAAAAAAAAAAAAATTTGAAAACGCTTTTAGAAAATGAAAGCTGTCCCGAAGCTTTCTAGCTGCCAAGGTGATTTTGCCCCTCAGTCCAGCTGTGCCGTTGCGTCTTGGCGTGACGTCTCCCGGAAAAAGTACAAACAAAGAGAAAGGGAGTGGAAGAAGATCACAAGGTCACACTTCCACGTGCCAACATGCCTCTCACTCCGGCTGCATTGCTCGCAGCATGGAAATGCTTGGCCTCTCGCTCTGTTCGATCTGCAGTGTTGGGAACACTTCTGCGACATCGTTAATGAAAGCATGCCACACTCTTTTCAGCCTAACTCAGTGTTTGAGGAGTGACCTCGCGAGTTTCCGCATCCCACACTCGCAGGCTGTTCCGCAACCTGACCAAGGAAGTGCGCATGTACGCCCAGAAGTTCATTGACCGGGGCAAGGACTTCAACCTAGAGCTGGCCATCAAGACGCGCATCATCACCGACGGCCTGCGCTACTCCCTCGCCACAGGCAACTGGGGAGACCAGAAGAAGGCTCACCAGGCACGTGCCGGCGTATCCCAGGTAAGCGTTGCCAGTTTGCGGACTAGTTGTGACACCAGGATTTCATAGAAATTCCACCAGGCACCAGTATTAACGTTAGGAATGCCTAAAAGTGTTCAAGCATTCGCATCCTGAGCTTCGTCTTTTCCGGAGGCTGCATACTCCGCATGCGGTGCCTAGTTTGGCACGTAAAAAGTACTTATACACGACACACCTCGACAGTTTGCCTGCTTTGTTCTTTCACAAAGCAGCTTGTGTCGTATATAAATCATCATTAACATACTACTTTGTCGTTTTCAGGGTCTGTCATGTCTCGTCATAAATAACAATCTTGAAAAAATGAATCCTCATGTGTTCGCACCTGTAGATAGTCTGCGCGGCTAAAATTGCAACTTTGAAACATCTATAGTCTCAGACTATGCGGAGCGCAAGTTCGTCTGCTTCTTTTGCAGGGGTCCTGATGATGTCAGAATGCCAAGCTCTGATTTGTTTTGATTGAAGGATAGTGGGTAGACCTCTAGGCGGCTTGCTTTGTGGTCTACTCACTATCTTTCGAATCAAATCCAATCGGAGGTCGGTGTTCTGACATCAACACAACCCCTGCAAAAGAAGCAGACAAACTTGCGCTCTGCATAGTTTGAAAAGTTTGGTACACCAGATTTCCGAAATCTGGCGGCGAATGTCACTGTCCGGCAACGCCGTCGCTGCAGGTCCTGAACCGGCTGACCTACGCGTCCACCCTCTCCCACCTCCGCCGCGTCAACTCGCCCATCGGACGCGACGGCAAACTGGCCAAGCCGCGCCAGCTTCATAACACCCTGTGGGGCATGATCTGCCCCGCCGAGACTCCCGAGGGCCACGCTGTGGGGCTCGTCAAGAACCTCGCCCTCATGTCCTACATCTCGGTCGGCTCCCAGCCGTCTCCCATCCTCGAGTTCTTGGAAGAGTGGAGCATGGAGAATTTGGAGGAGATTGCGCCGTCCGCCATCGCGGAGGCCACCAAGATTTTTGTCAACGGCTGCTGGGTCGGGATACACCGTGACCCGGACCAGCTGATGAACACTCTCCGCAAGCTTCGACGCCAGATGGACATCATCGTGTCGGAGGTGTCCATGGTTCGCGACATCCGGGACCGGGAGATCCGGATCTATACGGATGCGGGACGCATCTGTCGGCCACTGCTCATCGTCGAAGACCAGAAGCTGCTGCTCAAGCGGCGCCACATCGACAGCCTCAAGGAACGCGAGTACAACAACTACAGCTGGCAGGACTTGGTCGCCAGCGGGGTTGTGGAGTACATCGACACCCTAGAGGAAGAGACTGTGATGCTCTCGATGACGCCGGATGACCTCCAGGACAAGGGATTTGCGTACTGTTCGACATACACCCACTGTGAGATCCACCCGTCCATGATCCTGGGCGTGTGCGCATCCATCATTCCGTTCCCGGACCACAACCAGAGTCCCCGTAACACTTACCAGTCTGCTATGGGCAAGCAGGCCATGGGTATCTACATCACCAACTTCCATGTACGCATGGACACGCTGGCCCACGTGCTGTACTACCCACACAAGCCGCTCACCACCACACGGTCCATGGAGTACCTCCGGTTTAGGGAGCTGCCCGCAGGGATCAACTCCATCGTGGCTATCATGTCGTATACGGGGTACAACCAGGAGGACTCTATCATTGTAAACGCATCGGCCGTGGACAGGGGCTTTTTTAGGTGAGTCTCTCGTAGTTTCACATTGGTTTTGAGTGCCGTCAGAATGGCCATGTCTCATTCGAAGGAGTTAGTGCTACAGGTGTACTCGTACCGTAAAGTTCCGAAAGAGCACCCACCCAAAATGGAGAGATAAATGGTGAAGAACATAGGGTGGGCTATCTTTGGGGATGCCACAGCGAAAGTTTATCGAAAATTAATGATAAACACCCTGGCACCGGCTACAAACCACATGACGCAGAAACATATACGACATATCGCGGACATCGCAAATTTGCGTTTCTTGATGCGATAAACACACAGGAATTTGCTACAAACTCCTGTGTGACGAGAAAGGATTCTGCAAGTTGCGGACGCAACAGATTTCACAGTGCGAAGGACCCGCCTAGAACTCACATCTCATGGGAATTAACGCAGCAGATTCAAGTTTTATGGTGCAATAAACACACAGGGACCCCTACAAGCTTGCCTGTCATGGGAACTGATATCGCGCGCGCAGATTGCAGACAATAAAGAGGGAATCCGCTACATACTTGTATGTTACAGGAACAAGTACTGCAGGTCGTGAATGTAGCAGAATCATATTTCACGATGCAATATACACGCGGGACCAACTTTCGTGGAATCGAGATCGCGTGCGCAGATCGCGGTCAAAAACGTGGGGATCTGCTAAAAACTTTGTTACGGGAATGGATACTGCAAATTGCAGACGCAGCAGATTCGTATGGTGCAACATACACGCAAGAACAACTCGTGCGTTATGGAAGCTGATATCGCGCACTTCGATTGCAAATATGCAGGAACCCGCTATAAACTCGCTTGTCAGATGTGCCGGTACAGCGACTTGCGCGGTTGATGCAATTCCCGCCGAACATCGCGTGACGTCCGACGGGATTTGGGGGGTGGGCGATGTTTCGAAATTTTTATATTACAGATATTTAGCCAGAAAAACGGGGTGGGTGATCTCTCAGGGGCGGGTGTTCTCTTGGAACTTTATGGTAATTAGATGTGGAGTACATACCCACCTGCTTTGGAAGGAGTGTTGCATCTTGCTTTATATGTATGTGTGTGTTCTGCATTGGAGCCAGGCTTTATGCTTCTCTTTCGCCCTATACTGTCCTTCAGGCCCTTTCGGTGTATGCAGGTTATGCCAACAATAAACCACTGGAGTGTGCCCGTTAAGTGTGACTAGACCACATTACCTCAGGACTAATGGCGCAAGAATTATTGTTGGTTGCAAACCCGGTGTAATTTGACATATTGGTTCTGAAGCGGCCTACCAGCAAATCAATTTATTCTCCATTAGCAGTTGTGCACCACAGTAATACATTGGAAATCAGTAATTAAGGTTGTCAAATTTATGCATATTTTTAGGGGCAAAGCTCCTTAGGGAGCCTTGGCCGTCCGTCCGTCCATCCGGCCGGCCGGCGTCCGTGCTCACATAAAAAGTGAAAATGTTTGTGCAGTCGACAGGATTCGAACCTGTACAAGGAGACCCCAATGGATTTCTAGTCCATTGCCTTAACCACTCGGCCACAACTGTGGGACGAGTAGGGGGTTCTGAGATGTGGTAGTAACTCAAGAGCTGGGGTTTCTTTCACGGATGAAACGTTGTATGTAGCCGCTCAACATCTATACAGGAGAGGGCACTGCAGTCAAATGCGTATGTAATCACGTTAAACTTTGCATGCATTGGCTCAACATTTATAGACGAAAGGGTGCTGCGGTCAAATGCTCAAATGCTTATATAACCACGTTCCATACCACACATTTTCTTTCTGGCATGGACCGTTGACTTAAGCGGTGGAGTTGCGTTCCTACGGCTTCTATCGGATCCAAGCTGATCCGCTAGAAGAACCACTGGCTCTGCATTTCACCAACCATAAAGCAGTAATAATGAAGTCGAAACACAACCCGAAACTCGGCACTACCTATGAGCAATAAAAAAAAAAATCAGCACCATCAGCCCTAGCAGAGTTTTGCCCCAATCAACATTATTCACCACGTGAAGATGCTGTCTTTTTTTTTTTTTTTTTAAATCTTGGTTTATATTATTGTCAATTTTAGCAGTTTTTGTCGCACTCAGGGGATTGCTATGAGGATTCTCACTATGCACATGGCCAGAAGTTTAAAAAAAAAATCTTATGGTGCTCATTACAAAGAGAAATTGGACGGTAGCACTCAGTGCCCAGGCGAAAATAGGTCCACTTCCAGCTGGACTATGGAAGTGGAAATAAGGCAGTCCAGCTGAATTCCAGCTGGAATCCAGCTGGACTGCCTCATTTCCAGTTCCATAATCCGGCTGGAAGTGGACTGATTTTCGCCCTGGTGGTTTTCAGTTCATCTGTCATTTGGCTTTGGAATCAGAACTGTGCAGCTCTGTGAGAATGATGGAGGCAGAACCTGCGGCTTCAAGAGCCACACAAAATATAGCCTGCAGCACTGAGCATAACAGTTCACTTTATGTTTTATTGGTTATTTTCGTAAGTTGGTCATCTCCCTCCCCCCCTCCCCCCTTTCCCGGATGTTTATCTGGCCTGCTCTGTCTCTACTTTGCGACAGTTTGGCCCGTGGCAGCTATTGTAGAGGATTCAGCCGATAGTCTGTGCCACTTTTCAGTGGCAATTTAGCCAGTACAGTGTGGCTGCTAACCTGGGCTTGTGACACAGTGCCGACTGGACGGAGGCACACCAGTGCAGCGTCCATTGACGATTTCCAACCACTTCAGACCACGTTTTGTGCTCTTTCCTCAGGTCCGTGTTCTACCGGTCGTACAAGGACTCGGAGTGCAAGCGGGTCGGCGACCAGGAAGAGCAGTTTGAAAAACCGACCCGGGAGACATGCCAAGGTGGGGAACGTCGTGCACTTCCTTTTGGACCTTGACGTTGCTCCTCTCTAACGCACAGGCATGCGCAACGCCATCTACGACAAGCTGGACGACGACGGCATCATCGCCCCGGGCACCAGGGTGTCCGGAGACGACGTCATCATTGGGAAGACTATCACGCTGCCGGAAAACGACGATGACGTGAGTCCGCATCTTGTGCTGTTCTAAGGCGGAGTGGCTTTCTACTAAAAGCTGGCTTGAATTTCGCGTTTGACCGTGGTGCGTCTGGCCTTTCGCGCAAGCCGGCGTTGTGTGACATTGTGGTGCGAAGTCGTGGCGTCATGTGATACCACGGCGTCAACGACGTTATATGGCCTGCGAATTCGTCTGCTCTTTGCACACCTCAAGGGTTTGTTTACCCCCCCCTCCCCCAAATTCGCCATGCGGTTTTGTTTCCCCCCGACCTTGACCAATAAGCACCTATACTTGAATGCCTCGTCATTGCGCAGTTCCTACGCATTCTCTATGTTGCCCTCTGATTGGAATGCTCCTCCTTGTGTTCCAATGTGCGAAAGAAAAATTTTAAAACACGTGCTCGCTGTATTGGGTCCCGTATCGTTGCATGTCAAGTTGTGGTGTAATGCAACGTCACGTCATAGCACCATGTTGCGTGACATCGCGTTGGCAGATGACACTGCACCACAACGACAAACGTCACTTGGCACGTGACCGGACACTGACGTTACACAATAAACCAAAGCGTGCAAGAAAAAAAAGAGAATGTGACGAATGTCACGAAGAATTGGAATGTCTCCTGCATTCCTATTCTCCCTGTGACAGCCTGATCGACGCGTCGAAATGCAGTCACCAACGTTCTCTCCAAACCCCAGCTGGAGAGCACCAACCGCCGGTTCACCAAACGGGATGCCAGCACCTTCCTCCGGAACAGCGAGACCGGCATCGTGGACCAGGTGATGCTGACGGTGAACGCGGAGGGCTACAAGTTCTGCAAGATCCGGGTGCGCTCGGTGCGCATCCCGCAGATCGGGGACAAGTTTGCCAGCCGGCACGGCCAAAAGGGCACCTGCGGCATCACCTACCGCCAAGAGGTGGGTCACTGCATTCCTTTTTCCGCTCTTTCTCACATCGAGAGAGGGAGAAAAAAAATGGCCCCCATGCGAAATATGTCTGCCGCAAAACTGGTTTTTGCGGGATAATGTAATTTCAAATAATTAAAATGGTGCTTATTTGTAAAGTGACCAGTCATTGTTTCGAGCCCGTCGAGCTAGGATGACACAGTTCTTACATTGTGTGCTGTAGCGCACAAATATTCCCGCTAAATTTAGCAGGAAAATTTAGCGAAAATTTCCCGCTAAATGGGAGGCAAGCAGGAGAGGAGGCGGGGAGGGTACGGAGGGAAAGCAGGGGCATACCCTCCCCTCCTCCTCCTCCTCAAGAGTTGCACTTTAATTCGGCATTACAGAGAATTGTAAACGTCTTTAATTTTTCTTTAATAACTCAACAGTGGTGTAGACGTCATGTGCAGTCACGCCTTTCAACTAGTGCGTTTTTGGATTGGTTCCCCAACGTAAACGCGGCAGGTACTTGGCACTGGAAAGGTTGTCTGTTCTACGATTGCATCTACGACATGCTGTATAAACGAGCCACTTATATAAGCTGCTATTTTTTTTAATATCACTTTCATCAGTCAGAAATGTTTGAGAGTTCATTAATTGTTTCGTCCGTCAAAGAGCGGACGCACGTGCTGCGCTGACATGCCATGGTTGAGTCATTGAGACAGAGCGCACGAAGAGACATGCGCCCCACTTATTGCTAGGAATTAACCTACAAGTTCTGTATGTTCAGGTGACCTCCCCATAAGTGGCACGACAAGCCCGGATTGTTTGCTTTTTGCATGAGTTGCCTCAGGAGCCGCAGGAAGTGAACTTAAAATGCAAAATGAGTATACTTGGAGTAGCGGGGTGTGCATGGGGGATAATCAAGTTATCTCGGAAGCTGTAGTGAAAGGGTGAACCTGCACGTAACACTCTAAGCGGCCGAGCTTTGCGGGCACGCTTCTTGGGCCGAAGCTGGCTACAGGGAAGTTGTCTTCACAAAAGCCGGCCACGGGGAAGACAGCTACACACACAGCAATTCACTTTTTCTGCAGGACATGCCGTTCACGGCAGACGGCCTCACACCGGACATCATCATCAACCCCCATGCCATCCCGTCCCGAATGACGGTGGGCCATCTGATCGAGTGCCTTCAGGGCAAGGTCTCGGCCAACAAGGGGGAGATTGGCGACGCCACCCCATTCAACGACTCCGTCAACGTGCAGAAGATCTCCAACCTGCTCCAAGAGTATGGCTACCACCTGCGTGGAAATGAGGCGAGTTTTACGAAGGCCGTACCCGCTGCTCCGTTGTAAATCTGGTGTTGTACTCTGCCGATAGACCTTTTGCTAAATTGCACCAAAGCAATATTGAAGGTAGGAAGCTCGCGCAGGAGGAGGAACGACCGAAATTTCTCTTTGCTGTTCCCCGATCTGTCGCCGACTATATAGATTTATGCGCCTAGCATGCCAGCATCCAGCAGGAACCCTTTTAAAGCAGACGTCTGAAACAAGTGGCACTTTGTATGTGCCTTTGTCGGCGCCTTATCTTGATAGTTGACTTCATATCTTTGGTGCAGATGTTCCTCCTTCAACACGCTGCACACACGCTTGCCACTTTTTCTCAAGATATAGTAGTATATGCAGTCATGTTTAACCCTGTTCGGGCTCCTGTTGCGAAAAGTGTTGCTCGAGTTCTCGGTTTTCGGTATGTGCCGACAAACCGCAAAAGTTATGGGCCCTGAGCCGGCTTCATACAAAATCTGGAAAAACCAGGAAGCCCCAAACTAGAACTGTCCTTGAATGGTAAAAGACTTGCGTGGAAACACCGGATGCCCATGGGGGCCGACTAAGGGTTTACTCCCACAATCCATTTTCACACATGTGACGGTTTCGAAAAATTGGAATTTTATGCAATTGGCTAATTTGCTCGTCGAGTTTGATGCGCAAGAACTGCGATGTATTGATTTGCAAGAATTTTACCAAACCTTGTCTTCCGCACCGGAAGTACTATCGGGCATCTCGCAGCAAATGGCGTGAAGGATGCATGGTGTCAAGACACAGCCTGCTTTAATATCACTCGATAAGCTTTGTTTTCAGAGATTTGGCCCTCCCCATTTACTAGGCCTGCCAAATCGGAAAAAGACTGCAAATGTCAAAGAACGGGCGGATGTGGAATGGTGGTTGACGCACCAGAATGTAGCATTTTTCTGATTAAGAGGTGAGAATATTGATGGTTCGGTGGTTGGACGATTAGGCTGCTAGTTGGCAGCAGGAGACATCCAGGAAGGGCAGGTAGAGCGGCCGAGCTGTGGGGTTCCCTGACAAGAAATGAGCAGCGGCCGCCGCGGATTCTGCCGGCAACGAGCCAGAGCTGGTCAACTTTTAGGTTTAGGTTTAATGTATCATAGAGCAGGACATCAAAATTGAAGAGCACGATCGTCGGTAGGAAGGTGCAAGCATGGGATAATAGCACAAATAGTAGCTCACAGTGACCACACAGCCAACCATGGAAAACCAATTACTATAGGATGATCTGAATTTCAGAAATTTTGGCTCTACCAAAAGATAGGTTATCCCCTGTCATCATGTTTATATGCGGCGCTTGCACCCGTTGCAACCGGCGAGGAGTATGCACCAAGCCGCCAACCCGTACCGACCGTACACACCGCTTCTCTGCGTGGTGCTCATCGCCGTGTTGTGTTTCTTTTTTTGGCTTTGGCTCGGATACAGAAATGGCCGAATATCAGGCTCCTCCGAGAGCTTGCCCTGCCTCGAAAACCAGATGTCACGGAGACGTCCAGCGACCGTTGGCAGTGTCTGTGTTTCTTTTTCGAGCAACTGGCGGGCTTTAATAAAGTTCTGGCAAAATCTCGCTCCGAGAACGAGGAGTGCAATTACCCTTTCCCAGATGCGTGCCTCTCTTTCCCTCGTTCAAATGGCGCATCTCTTTCCCAAAACCTAGTTTCGTGACACTAGATTTGCCGAAAAAATGCGCAGTGCGAGCTGACCCGAACTTCCCGCCGCGTATGCACACACACGACACAATTTCACTTACGGGGCCGCTCTTACTGACCGGCCGTCTCTGCAGGTGATGTACAACGGGCACACGGGACGCAAGGTGAATGCCCAGATCTTCCTCGGCCCCACCTACTACCAGCGGCTGAAGCACATGGTGGATGACAAGATCCACTCCAGGGCTCGAGGTCCCGTGCAGATCCTGGTCCGGCAACCCATGGAGGGCAGGGCCAGGTGAGCCTCCGCTTCGTCAGTCGTGCGAATATAGACGGCGCCACGAGCACCATGTCCCATGTCGTCGTCGGGCTCCTTCGGTTTACTGCTCCAGCTTGCACCGGTGCAGGAAAGTGCGGGGCAACATACTTTTCTTTATGTTTTGGTATAGGCTGCACTCGTAAATCAAACACTGCTGTGTGCACTGAGCATGGCCGGTGTAGGAGGTGCGGGTTTAGGGGAGACACACCCTGGGAGGGTCAACCTCTGAACCCTTGGCTTAAAATTAATGAAATTTACAGGGTAGGCTGGTGGTCATGCTAGAGGGTGCATAACAAAATTGCAGGTCTGTCGGTTAAGTGGGAAAGAAATTAGGGCAGCTTCTATCAGCCACACCCCTACATTGTTTAGTTAATCTATCGTCGGAAAACTATCAGAATATTCAAGATTTTTATTCGCTAGATATGTAGCAGAATGCCTAGGAGGTGCACCTATGGAAAGGAGGTGTGCCTATGGAAAATTGGTCAACTTTTTGGTTTTCTGTGTCTCCAACAAAATGTCAACATTTTTTATAAAAGACATCCGTAAAGTGACAAACAAACTACATAGGCGCATTCCTTATTAAATTTCAGTCAGGAAAAGTGAAGAACGAACCTTTCCTGTGTTGCCATTATCAAACGATAGATTGACTAAAATGGAGTTTATACAAAAAAGTGGAACGGAGAAAAATGTGTTCAAAGTGCTCCAAAGCCTACCTTTTCTTTAGCTTCGTTAGACAGAAAATAATTTATAAAAAATTAACTATGCAGTGTAAACTGGTGGAAATTTCTGGGAATACTCTCTGGATGTAGATGGATGTAAATATGTAATTTTTCAAAATCAATGTTTTTTGAAGAATTTTTTTTTCTCCGGGTAGTGTCCCCCCTTAATGGAGCAGAAAAACTATGGTGCCTTGAGCTCCACTCCGACTGGCGTGTTTACCAGTGTGTCCGCTCGTTGTAAAAGATAGGAAGAACTCAATCTTAAAGGGGCAGTTACATGGTTTTTATAGAAGCTTGTTTTGGATGGCATATTATATGTTGGGCTTTAGTCAATAAAAACAACCAGTTCTGGACGGCAAGGTGTCCTAGTAAACGCGCAGCGATAGAAATACACGGGCACCATGTTTTTTTATGGGGAGCCATCTTCTTGTCCCCACCATTGCCACAAAACTTTGCCAACAAAAATAGTTAATTACGTGTAGATTCCGAACATTAGTATTATTGTTCTCTTTAGGCTTTAGGCACGTTGTGCATCATATTTTGACCAAAACATCAAATCTTTGTACATAGGAGACATAATACAGCAATCATTGTTTAAAAACGCCCTCCGACGGTGCCCCATGGCGTCTGCTCTAAGGCGCAGAAAGGGGGGCATGTCACGACCTTTGATTAGGTATTAATAGGAAAATCAACCGCCCAGGAGCGTAATTTTTTTTTTTTTAATATTCTTTGAGCTTATAGGTTGAGTTAGACAATCTCAGAATCTGCTCGAGTGCCCTTTTAAGCAAACGCAAGAGTATGAACGGGCCTCAAGATTCAAGCTGCAATCCAACTGCGTTTGCCGAGCGCTTCGAGGTTGCCGAAGTATCCGATTTGTGCAGGGACGGCGGCCTCCGGTTCGGTGAGATGGAGCGGGACTGCCAGATCTCTCACGGCGCAGCCCAGTTTTTACGCGAGCGGCTGTTCGAGGTGTCGGACCCGTACCGGGCCCACATCTGCAACCTGTGTGGTCTGCTGGCCATCGCCAACCTGCGCAACAACACCTTCGAGTGCAAGGGCTGCCGCAACAAGACCCAGGTGCCGTACCCTACACCCGCGACTTGCTCCCAGTCTCGGGCTTTTCCGGGGTTTCTCGAAGCTCCACCGTGCTCAGAGAGCGAGCGTGGAAGGCACACTTAACGGACGGCGGGAGAAATGGTTTTATTATTTCTGGAACGAAAAAAAACAACAAAGACCCGGTTTCTCACCGTACCTTGCAAATATGAACCGTGGCGAGAGTCGAGGCGCCGCATGGCCACTGCAAGCAGTTGCGCTGCTGTGTTAAAATTTAGCGGACTGACATCCCGCTATGTTTTGCAAACAATGTTTGTGTGACGCTTTGACATCTCATGACTACGTAATGTGACGTGACGCAGTGATGTCATTTGGTACCCTGACGTCAAGTGGCACCAAATTCTTGCTAAATGTGGCGGAGAAATTTCTCTGCTAAGTTTAGTGGGAAGATTCTGATATCACATGACAATGTGACATCACGAAGTAACGCCAGTGCGACTCTCCTCTAAATTTGGCGGAGAAATTGTTCCGCTATAATTATCGGGTCACTACGAGCGTACATGAAATGCACGAGATTCGCCGGGAAGCAGTCAAGTCCGTGGCTGCCGGGATCCGTTGGGACGTAGTCAAATCCATAGCCGGGTTTGGCTACATCGGACTGCCCTGCCTTGTAGCATACTCTCGTCCTGGTTCAAAAGATGCTGCCTTTTTGCGGTCGTCTCTGTGGATGCCATCAGTGGCTCTATGGGACGAATGAATGCTGTAAAGGATGGAGGTGCGTGCGAGTTTGCTCAACAGAGATTGATACCGGTTTCTCACGAGGCTAAATTTTATCAGATTGTGCGCAGTCCAAACGAAACAGAAAGTATGTTGAAGTTTATAGGAAGAATTGAGAAGTAAACCTTCTATAGAAGCTTTTGAGCGGCAGCTGACATAAGGAGACATAGCTCTCTCAGGCTGCCGGATTATTATTGGTCAGAAATATGTAGGGTACTACATATATGTGCATTGCTACCAAGGGTACAGTTGCGAGAGTTTAGCTCTGCAGAGTGCCTCATTTGCGTCGACGCTCGTGCGAGCCGTGCACTTTTCAAAGCGCACCCCTGCGCGTGGTAACTCTTGACGTTGAGCTCAACGCACGTCACTGGATGCCAGTTTACAGGGGCCGTGGAGCGGCTTCGTACCCCCAGAATAATCCGGTATCTGTGTTTCTTTTCACGCATTAACATTGTCGTTTTTCTTTTTCTGGTTGCAGATCTCTCAGATCCGCCTCCCGTATGCCTGCAAGCTTCTTTTCCAGGAGCTCATGTCCATGTCTATAGCACCCCGTATGATGGTCCTGTGAGGTGTCTCACAAATAAAAGCAATCTTCCCTTCTGCCTTACGTGTTGTCTGTATTGAGAGTGCTAAAGCAGAATCGGTTTGATTTTAATGGACTTTTGGCTCGATACAAGTCCTGGCTGCCGTGTGTTCAGAAAATTTCTTATTTAGTGTGGTCAGCATGGACACTCAGATGTCAGTGTCCAACACCCAGTGACAAATGGTATGTGCAAACAGTGCTCCGACCCAATAACCGGCACTGCCTTCCTCTAGCCTCCGTGGCACAACAAAAAACTTGATTGCCAAACCTGCTGCTGTGGAGTTTAGGAACAGCTATACGCACTTCAATTCAAACCATGGGGCAATACATTCTAATCAGGTTGAGAGCTGGGCTATTTGGTAGTTGTTCAACATGATGAGATAAAACAGTGCCAAAAGGTACAAAAGGAAGAAACAAACCACACAGGACAACGCTGTCCTGTCCGGTTTTATATCTTCAGAAGAAATTAGCTACGGCGTTTGCATATAACTGAATGCTCCACCCAAGAACATGGCTTTAACATATTTTTTACTTAAATACGAAAAAAAAATCTGAGGACACCTAAGCACTTCTTATGAGTTGTGAATGCAAAAGCATGAATGTCGTTCATCTGCTCCCTTAGTTTGTCTGCAGCGTAGTGGTGCAGACAAGACAAGACGGTCATTGAGCTCTATTTTACTTTTAAAATTGTTGAAGAACAATGAGTGCATACTATTTCAGCAATGTTCTTTGCAAATTGGCCAAGGGATATAAAAATTTAGAGCACCTAGAGTGCACTGTTGTAGAGCGTTCAAGTGCCATCCGGCAGCACTTTATGCCAGGGGTGGATTTAGGGGGGGGGGGGGGGGGGGGTGTGCTGTAAGCATTTGGTTGGTGGGGGAGGGTGGGAGGGAGCTCTGCTGAGAGGTAATGTTACGGCCGAAACGTTGCCCTGATCTGTTTTTTTACCCTATATTTGCTATTTCACCAAAAACTAAACTTTTGGCAGGGGTATATAAATTTTTCATGAAAAATAAGTTGGCTTAGGGGGTGTAATCTTTCCTTCGTCCCCCCACCTCCTCCCCCTAAATCCACCCAGGCTTTATGCCCGCATTCGAGTGCTATCCTACGGTGCTCTTGCAGAGTGAATGCTGTCCCTTAATTAGTGAGGAACTGCATGCTTTTGGCATACTATTGCGGGCGAAATTAGTATGCCTACTTTCGCTGTATTTTTTTGTGTTAAATTTGCCATTTAGGAGTGTACACGAATACGTGGCTCTTACATAATGTCACTGCGGTGGCGCTGCCGTCACCAGAGCCCAAGACTAACTGTATAGGCATATACAGTTACTCTACGCAGCCCATGCACAGACGCTTCACTTTACGCAAGTCTGGTTTCTGCATACTCGCAGCGCCCACACTTGGTGATGTGGGCAAACAACTTATTTTTGAACACCGCATGTTGGTCTATACTCGGCCAGAAGTATTCGATAAAACTTTCGTGATAAAAAATAATATCTGAGAACTAAAGGGTCACATTTCTTGATTGTTCCAAGGATAGCATGTTTTGCTGGTGGCATGGTCTTAATTAACGTTATCTCAATCGAATAAGGTTCAATACCTAAATACGCACGCCACAACAAAATTGTCTTCCCGTTTTTGTTATGCTTTTGTTCTCGTAGTTTGTAGAGGCTTTCACTGCTACTACAGAACGTAAGATCCAAATGCAAATTTATTTTAAATCGCAATTCCAACTTTTGAGAGAGTGCCACTTCGGCAAACTTGGAGGACAATGCATACCATCATTCGGACAGCGTTTGAAGTTGGCGTGGAGTGCCGTACGTTGGACTGCACTTAAAGGGACACTGACGGCGTATTTATGGTCGCCTAGGTTTTTACTTGTACATGACATATGAGAGCCCAACTACCCAGAACACAATTTGCGGCTCAAAATTTGTTTTCTTTCCGCCTGAAAACCGCCGATCGAGAGCTGGCCGGTTTGAGTCGCGTTCACTCTCTTCTTTGGAGTCACGTGCCATTTTCTATGGTTTAGACACAACCACCAAAGATAAAGTCGTGGGTCATTAAAGGCACACACTCAATGTTAAAAATGGACAATAAATTTGATACCCTTTTTTTGTAGCTTGTAAAAAAACTGCAAATTCATTGATCGAAAAGAGAAAAGGGTTGCACACCCATAGGACTTTCGCTAGCCAGCTGATTGGGTAGTCTTCTGACACCATAATGGATCGCCTGGAAAAAAATTAAAACATTTTTTTGGTGGGTGTCAGTGCCCCTTTAAAAGATCTGCAAGAGTACCGTTGAACAGCAAGCTTACAAGCTTGATCATTCTGACGAAGATGGATAAGCACAGAATGTGTGATCCTTATCGACGTTTGTCTGAGGGGTTCCTGGGCCCTGGTGAAGGTTTTTCTCAAGAAAATCCTTCCCCTACAAGCTCGCAAAAGATCCGCTGCCGTCTGCTTCATAGGCGCCATGGCCACGGTGGAATGAAGAGAGCAGTGTCTGAACGGCGACGCCACCACTTCGTTATGGAGAAAGTGTGTCGAAGATTCAATCCCATTTCTGAGAAATGTGAAATGGTGCAGTATGATGGTAGCTTTCAGAGCTGTTTATTGATATACAGCCCTGAGAGCTCGAGGAACCGCCTTTAAATGGCCACACATTTTCATGGCTACGAGGCGCGCTGCGACTGCATTCAGCTGTGGCCGCATTTACATTGGACAAACAGGTCGGCGTTTCAATGAGGGAGCGCACGAGCATAGTCTTAGTACAAAGAAATTTGGGTGGTCATCTTGCTCAGCACGTTAAACAATGTGGGACGCGAACAGCTTCTGAAATCCACCAAGTTCCTGAAGAAAGGCAGGTGCATCAGCACGCTGCCGGTGTGCCTTATTGACAAAGAATTGTCGTTTCTGGATGGTTTCATCCGAAGATACCTAGACACGTGGTAGACAAACAATCTTAATGTATAACTATTTTTGTGTTTTTTATGTCCGCAGGCGATGGTATATATTGCTTGGTTGGATGATGAAATAAGCTTAGTTGGAAGTCAGTGCCAGCCCTGTCGTACGTGTGCAAGGTATGCGTGCCTTTTTTTCGTCTTTGTCAAGTTTGCGCAATTTTAATCATCTCATATGACACTTTCTTAACACTTTCGGATGGCACTTGTCACACTTTCGGATGGCACTTGTCGAGCGGCACTTGAACGCTCCGCAAGAGTGCCGTCGGGCGGCACTGTAGACGCAGCGTTTTAGTTTGTTATCCACAAATATTTTACGAAAGAGTTCACATTGTGGGGATTGCGATCCCTCAACATTCTGTCGCATCAGCGTTTTGGTGCGCCGTGGCGGTCGCGCTGACGTAGCGAGAGGTGGCGCTGCTTACCACTGTGAGTAACTTCCTCCTTTCCCCCTAGGGGGCGATTTTCGTAACGAACCCCCGCAGAAAGGAGATCGACGTGTCACTCCTTGATTGGCCACTTCGCCCCGCCGTTATCTTAAAACCAGCGAACAGCAGTATCTCGCGCTATTTTCTTCCTGTGATTTTGGCGGCGGCGACAACGGGGAACCGTCCGGTGTGCCGGTGAGCGTTTACCCCGTCCTTTGTTCTTTGTGAGCGACCATTCGGCCGTGGGCGATCTCCACACCAACGGCGTTCACCAGCTGATAGCCGCTGTCTTCTTGTTATTTGTTTTATATTGTAAATAAACAGAATTATCAACGTGACTGGTGTCTGTTTGTGCTCAACGAGCAGCATGCCACGCAAGTACGAACCTGCTTCGCGGTAGAGCGTCTTGCCACGAACGTGGTGCTCCCAAAGGCAGTGGCCCCAAGGAGAACCACAGCATAAAAGACGGAACACGGACAGCACGATGTCCGTGTTCGGCGCATGGCTACTCGTGGAGGTGGGGTGTGTGGATGACTCGTGAGGTTCCTAAGAAGAAGCCGGTCAAGGTTCAGTGCCGGGGCGAGGTCTCGGTACGGAGCGGTTCCTTTTTCGACGGATTGAACCTGACACTTCCCCAACTCATGAAAATCATCTACCTCTGGTTCCAGAACCTACCGTGCGCAGTCATTCAGCGGGAGACTGATGTCGCAAGACAATAACTGATTGGACGATCCTTTGTCGGGAGGTTGTTGTAAATTCCGTCTTTATGCATTCAGATCGAGGTGATTGGTAGTGAAGGCGTGACTGTAGAAATAGACGAGAGCAGGGGCGGATTTAGAGGGGGGTCTGGATGTCCTGCCCCCCCTCCTCTCTTGATTTCTGCATGTGCAAAAATTTAAGGCGAAACGGGGGAAGGGGGGGGTGGTTCTAAACATATGGTACGCTACCACCCCCCTCTCGAGAAATTCCTGCATCCGCCCCTGGACGAGAGTATGTTCGGGCAGCGAAAGTACCATCACGGGTATTTAAGGCCTGGCCAGTGGGTTTTCGGCGGTGTCGAGCATGGCAGCGGGTGCTGCTTTTTTGTTCCCGTGGAGACCCGTGACGCTAAAACCCTGCAAGGGCCAATAGCCGAGTGGGTCTGCCCTGGAACAAGGATAATCACTGACTGTTGGGCTGGCTATCGCAAGCTTGCAGACGACGCTCACTTCACGCACCTCACCGTCAACCACAAGCTGCACTTTTTCGACCCGAACACTGGTGCGCACACAAATACAGTAGAGAGCACCTGGGTCCACGTCAAAAACTCTCTTCCATCTGGACGATGCGAGAGCCACCATTTCACTGGTCACCTTGAAAAGTTAATGTTTTGGAGGAGAGAGAAGGTGCACGGAAACACTGATAGATTCCAGTCGTTCGTCGCCGCAGCCGCCAAAATCTAGAGCCCCGACGCAGACAGGGTGAGGAATCTGACGGCCCCGGTCACATCGAGTGATCTGCTGCGCTGAGCCCGTCGCCCGCCTGCATGCATAAAGACAACTTATGTGCCAACCGCTTGTCAAATGCTCGTTACGTCAGTTATAGGTTCTGGTAGCGGTCTAAATGGCCCTTTTCAGGACCCCTATATTTT